GGCAGCTCCTGTCGAGAGTTACTACCACTCTCTATCATCCATGAATCTATCCAGCCTCCTTTTGAAACTTTCCAGCTTTCCAGCACTTACTACAAAGTTGCTAAGCTTGTTCCACTCGTCCACCACCCTATTTGTGAACCAGTTCCTTCCTATCTCCCTCCTAAACCTAAACTTATCCAACTTAAATCCGTTCCTCCGAGTCCTATCCTGCTCGGATATTATAAGAACTTTATCTATATCCCATTTATTGATTCCTTTCACCCACTAATATACTTCTATCATATCTCCCCGCACTCTTCGTCTTTCTAGGGAATGCAAGTTTAGTTTCTTTAACCTATCCTGATATGGAGGGTTTTTAAGTCCCGGAATCATTTTCGTCATTCTTTGCTGCACCGACTCTAGTGAATTGATATCCATTCTATAATAAGGGCACCAGAACTCAACCGCATAATCGAAGTGCGGCCTGACTAGGAAGTCTTCAGATTCATAGTCACCTACAATGTTGTCCCAGTCAATATTTCTGAAGTTGAAATCCCCCATATTGCACAGGTTGTTATATTTTGCTGCCCTACTCATTTCCTGCCATATGGGCTGAGCTGCTTCTTTCCCAAGACTTGGGGGCCTGTAAATCACTCCCATAATTATTTTTTCTCTTCCTGCCGTAATTTCTACCCATACAGTTGACAGGTTCCTCTCAAATGATTAATGACTTTCTTAAATACAAAACTGACAATAATTTCAATACAGTCATCTGATATCTAGTACTTATGTATATACGACCTGACCAATGGTAACCAGTGGTGGAAGCTGGGAAGCGGCGAAAGGGGTTCGTAACAATATATAAATATAAATATATATATATATATATATATATATATATATATATATATATATATATATATATATATATATATATTCTACCATGCCATATATAATTTATAGTATAATATAGCATTTTCAAAGTAAATTTGTATTTTATTACTTTTATTCATACCGGTATTACTATGGTCGGAGAAAGTAGTAAAATTGTGTCGGAAAGTAGTAAGGAAAAAATTTAAAGGCACTTGAAAATAAAAACACATGCCCACTTTCTTTTTATGTTCAAATATATAAAAATGCCACTGAGGAAGCATTTTTATTTATTATCTAAACCTAATTTGCAAGATCTTTATGTCCAATTCAGATTGAACCTTTATATTAGTATTCTCTTACAGGTGTTCGAAGAGTAGAGAGAAGCTGAAAGAGCTGAGCTGTATTTCCATGAATTTCCCCCAGCTAGCTAGCCAAGAAACAGAAGGCTCCCTGGTGGCCAAGCTGAGAACTACAAAGCCTAGGAAGGTAAAAAAAATATATAATAATAAAGACTGAGATTTAGCACTCAATACGAAAGCTCTTCCATATGGAGTATAACAAATATTCACTATACTTTGTAGTTATCATGTCAGAATGCAATACTCCAAATTACGGCTAACAGTTAAAGTTTGCCCACGGCAGGCATTAAGTTATGCTACGTTAGGTTGAGGTTAGTTCAGTTTAGTTTAAGGTTAGATCAGGTTATGTTTAGATAAGATTAGGTTAAGTTCACTTAACTTGAACTTAAAAAAAAAACTTTTAACACATTTGCCATAACTACGACAGTGTTCACACAGCGAAAAATGCCCTGTTTTAAATTCGTTTTCTATGAAAAATCAGCGGTTGTGAAGTAAATAATTACCCAAATTACTAAATATAAAAAACAAGGGGCGGGCACCAGGCAGGCCTCTGTCTGTGATGTCATCAAACCTAAGTTCAGGCTCTTTGAGTTTTGGGTGGCCTTAGCACAACCCATGTTGGAGGAATGTGGGCGCATACTACCCCGGCAGAATTATTTAATTATAGTAAGAATACTTTCCTGAATACATGCTATCGAACTAACTAATAAATGCAAATTAATCTAGCCTATAAATATAATACTTACAATCTTATCCCTGAAAGATTAAACCAATAAAAAATAAAACGGATAAAATAAAGATAAGTCGTACAAAGGATTTTTGGAATTGCAATAATTAATGAACGTAATATAATTTGGAACGTCCTGTCTTGTACTCCAACGAATTAGAGAAGCTCCATTAATAATCAGATTTTCCACATACAGATTTATATATCTGCTTCACCATAAATTGCCCTTTATTGATACCATGTACTCTTATCAAGGTTCGAAATTAGGACTTCTCAGAAAATATATGAGATGTGCACATGTTTGGTGATCGTGTGTGGAAACTAGCCTCTCATACGGATTTCCATTGATTTGTCAAATAAACGCTTGTGTCAAATAGGCTGTAAAAAGAGCCGTATTTTATGACGAGGACCTTCATATATTCAGGGATCGCATACATTTTGGTCTTAGGAAGGCTGAAATAGGTCAAACTGCGCTCCTATTAAAAGTGTCAGAAAACGTATTGTGTATTAGAAAGTTATTACATCTTACATCCATGTATATTTGCATGTTTCAACCAATCAGCATAAACAAATTATAACTTTGACTAGTTTCATTTTTCTTACAACTACAGTACTGTATGTCCACGAATATTTATTAAATATAAATATGTGAAACACTTCAAATATCGACAAAAGTAACACGTGACTCCTCAGATTTCGAGTGACCAATGAGTGGCATAATACTAGGTAAAAAATTCTCATGGAGTTTCATTTTATTTCCATCTAGGTAAGCCACGATATTTGGGAGTAAAATCTCTGGCTTGATGCCTTGTAGTCTTACACAATTTCAGCGGAACTGGTTTAAATATCTCTTTGGACATACATGAGTACCAACCCAGCCAATGCATTAGGCCCCCTGCGCACATGAATTTTTTAGTTGGCCAACAGTTTAATTGCATAAGTGAGAATCATTGAGCCAAATGGGAGCGCGCACCACACATGCAATTCAATAGTTGGGCGACTGAAAAGTTTGACATGCTCCAACTTGTGCGCAATGGTATAGTTGGCCAACTCGCTTGTGCATGCAGATTTCAACGTGTGCGAGCGCACTATATTGTGGCGAACTGTCGGCCGACTCTCACTCATTTTCTCACCTTATAGTGACAGATAGCCTTCCCTAAGGGGGTGCTATTCCTCCATTTGGTATTTTTTATGTTATTGAAGGCCCAACGAGGAACAAGAGTTCATCGAAACTGTTGTCGCTCATTATATAGTAAATAAAAAAAAAATTGGGCCGGCCCTTAAATTTTCATACATTTTGTAAACTTGTCCTTTAATCAGCCGTTGCTTGTAATTGGATTAACCCAGTACATTTTGTTTGCGTTTCTTTTTCCTTTAACGAATTACCAACGCACAAACATAAGCTGTTTCTTTTTACTTTTATCCTCTTCACCACTGATCGGCTCGTTAGCCGCTTGGGCGATCGGTCACGTCTCGGTTACGCACTGTTGGCAAGTACTGGGCATGCACCGGCTCCTGAATGTACCTGAACCTGCTCCAGTGTTGCTCAAGTCTTGTCTTGAAAGAGCTCACACTCGGTGCCGTCACAACACTTTCTGGTAGATTGTTCCAAGAGTTCACAACTCTCACTCCAAAAAAGTTTACCCTCACAGTTTTCTGGACTTGTACTTCTTCAATCTTGAGCTGTGACCCTGTGGGGTTCAAGGTGTTTGGTTCACACTCAGGATGGGATGGAGAAAGGAAACTCACAATGTGCTCTCTATATACATGTTGTATTGGATGTACAATGCAGCTTGGTGCTGGGAAGGCAGCATGGTTACAAGCGTGATGTAGAGAGAGCTGGTTGGTGAGGATGCTCAGAGGAGGACCAGCTTGTGGGTCGCCATGCTCACCGGCGGGAGCGAGGACCGCCAGGCAGGCGGAGGAGGAGGTGTGTTGCTGACTGGTTGGTGTAGGTAGAAAGAGACAGGTCACCACGAGGTCAGGTCTTAAATAGCGGGGGGTAGGCGTGGCTTAGTAGTTGACCCCCGCTCCGTGATGTATGGCGGCGCTGGTTGACCTAGACCACTGGGGAATTGGTGGGGTCGGCTACTCAGCGACAAACAGCGTTTGTAGGGGAGAAATCCACTACAACCCCTTGTGGGGCGAGCGTCCGCCAGCTCCAAGTAAGGACACTCGACTGAGTAGTGCCTCTTGAGATGCTTATACACCTCAATTAGGTCACCCCTTGCCCGTCTGTAGTATAAGCTAGGCAAGTTCAGGCGCTCCAATCCCTCAGGGTAGCTGTAGCGTTTTCGTGTCGTTAATCACCACACACTGCTTGCGGTCATAAGAAGTTTCCACTCCACTCCACCTATTCGTGAGATACACTAACAAATTCAAATGCCTTGGAAAATAAAGAAAACATAGGAAAATGATCCTTCCAACTTCATAACTCTCACGTATATATCCCAGTCAGGATTATTGTATTCTGTACACTACAAGCGTGGAAACTCAACCTCCAGAAAGACCCAACATCCCCAGGAAATGTGCAACAGAGCACATATGATTCCGGAATTACGTCATCTAGTTCTAGATTATCCAAGTAGACTAAGACAACCCTCCAGACCGTGACAAAACACAATATAGCAGATCTCATAAACACGTTCAAAATCTTGAAAGGGATGAAAAACGTGAACCCGGGCCATTTCTTTGTGATGTCACGTACATCTAACACGAGAGGACAAATCATAATTTACCCATATCATTAAGCTCGCTACGTTATTATGCAGAACGAACATAGGAAATATTTCTTCACACAGAGGGTTAGATCTATGGAAAAGTTTACCAGCTCAAGCTGTGGTATCGAAAACAATACTTCAAAGCTGTACCATCACTTTACCGTGGCAGTCCTACTCACTGTGATCTGGAAGTTATTTTTTATTTTTATTATTAAACGAGAGTGTTTTAATCACAAAGGTACTGGGGTAGTACATGATAAAAGTACAAGATATCATTGAAAGTATTGTGTTCAGGGCAAGACGCTTGGATACAATATTAGCGAAGCTCATTTGTTATATCCCAGTTTGTGTACCAGATACTGTGGTTGTTTTGGTCTGGCAGCTGTTAGGAGGAAGAAACGTCGACTGTGACCCCGTTTGCGACATAAACCATTTACCATGCGCAATGACCTCTGGAATGGAGTCTATGAAGAAAAGGGTGTACCATGCTGCAAAGTTGGGTCTCTCTATATCTCTTTATGCTCATTTATCTGTCAAGCCTCCTCAAGAGTGTGATGATCTGTTGGGTCAGGTAAGTTACTCTTTTTTTTTATCTAACTAAGGACGGTTTTTTCTATTATTTTGGTGAATATTATTAATGAGTAGATTTAGTTAATAGTTTTCTTTTCGGTTAATTTATGATAGTAGTTAGGTTTCGATTTTTTAGCTCGCCATATCTCTGTTATTTCTCCTGAGTACAGAAAGTGTCATAGAAGAAATTTAGTCTTATTTTTGTTAGGTAATGTGGTTGCAAACAATAAAATAACGGAATTCTAAACGTGGCTATTATCCTAAATTGACCTTCATTTCTTCTGAGTTAATCTTCGAGAATTTTTTATCGAAACTCCCATATATGATGTATTATGAGTTGTGGTAGAAAACACTTTAGGATTTTTATTTAACGACACTATTCCAGTTGGAGTGTATTTTACCATATATTATTTCACCACTTATCAGCTTACTAGCAATTTAGGCGGTTGGTCTGATCTTTATTACTTTGTTTTGAACTTTATTGTTGTGTTAGTACAGGAAGAAACCTGAAGTACCTGAAGGAAACCTGCAAAGTTTGGTTGGGTCACCCTAGATAACACCCTTTTACATCTGCCTTGAGTTAGGACTCGAACCCAGGACATACTGGTGAGAGATAAACACATTACTACTGTACCACCAACATGAACTTTGTCTCATGTATGGAATGGAAGCATTGGTGTATATACAGTTTGTTTTTAATGTTTGAATTTAACTTTTGAGAATTGCAGCGCACCAAGGTTTCGGGTCAGACAAAGTTCATCCTTATAACGAAAAACTTGGAAAAATAAAAAGTAAGAAAATTGTAATTGTTAATATTTGGAAAAGATCAAAAACATAATTTCAACCTAACCTAACTATTAAAAATCAGTCACAGCATTGCTTCTCAAATGCAACATAACCAAACCTAACCTATCCTAACCTACTGCATGGACCCAGTCGACTAACCTATATCCGGATTCGCTGGCTACCAAAACTTGTATCGTTTTAGTCAGAAATTTATATTTTTCGAATTTTTCTGACTTTGATTTCAGGTTTGGTTCTCTAGGTCCCTTGTTTTTACTTTTGACTTGTTGGGTTAGGTTGGTTTTACATATAGGAGGTTAGGTCCTTCTGATTTCTCTGACCTGACCTGACCTAACCTAACCTAATGGAACTGCAGGAGTGGTCAGAAAAATGGCAAATGAAATTCAACACCAGCAAGTGCAGTGTAGTTAATATTAGAAGAACAAATACTGTCAATGTATACAGTCTTAACAACATCAACCTAGAGAAGTCAACTTGTGAAAGAGACTTAAGGGTACTTGTAAGCCCGGACCTACGGCCTAGAAAACATTGCGTTAATGTTCGAAATAAGGCAAACAGAGTATTAGGTTTTATATTTAGAAGTGTAAATAATAAGAGTGCAGAGGTCTTATTGCAACTATATCTTGCGCTAGTCAGGGTGCACCTCGATTATACTGTTCAGTTCTGGTGCCCTTATTATAGAATGGATATCAATTCACTGGAGTCGGTGCAGCGAAGAATGGCGAAAATGATTCCGGGACTTAGAAACCTTCCCTATCAAGATAGGTAAAAGAAACTAAACTTGCATTCCCTAGAGAGACGAAGAGTGCAGAGAGATGTGATAGAAGTATTTAAGTGGGTGAAAGGAATCAACAAAGGTTGATATAGATAAAGTTCTTATAATAAACAAAGGGGACATTACAAAGGTACTCAAACTATCCAACCAGGAGTGAACTCGTAACAATGGTTTTAAGTTAGACAAATTTAGATTTAGGCGCGAAATAGGTAAACACTGGTTTGGAAACAGAGTAGTGGTTGAATGGAACAAGTTACCAAATATCATCATTAACTCGAATACGCTGGATAGCTTCAAACATAGGTTGGATGCTTATATGAGCAATAGGGGTTGGGTGTAAATGGGACTGCCCAGTATGGGCCAATAGGCCCGCTGCAGTTTCCTCCATTCATATGTTAGGTTAGGTTAGACTTGTATACTGATATTTAAGAGTCGTTAGGTTAGGTTATTAATCATTTTGTTTGGCAAAAATTAATTTCTAACACCATATTTAGGATGTTGTTGATATATTGAAGAATTTCTCTTTTATTGAAAAGTTTCCTAACTGGGCACCTTAACCAAGACATATAATCTTAAATATTGCACTGTTTTGTACTTTTTATATTTTCTGTAATAGTTAGGTTGCGTTAAGTTAGATTTTTTTATGTTTGGTTTCTTCAGTTTTTTTGCGTGTTTTTACCCCATAATTTCCCTTTACTTCAAAGCCCTGCACACTGTGTGATGAAAATATATATATATATATTTTTTTTTTAGTAAAATCAAAGGTTAAAAAAGGGGGAATATAAATTTTTGACAAAAACAACACCTGTATAAGTACTGTAGAGGAAAGTATATATTTTTTGTTGCTCCTATCTCCCTATATGCAAATCAATATAGAGTTCTGTGGTTGACCTTTTCCAAACTTTATCATTGTAATTCCTCCAAGCTTATTGATATCCTAAAGGTAAAAAACTAATTTTCTCTGATATAGCTTTTTCCTAAAGTGGCTCATAATAACAGGTGCTATTGTAAATTGTTAGCTTCTCTGGAATGGGTGATTCTAAAGATTTATCTTTTGTATTTACTGGCGTAAAATCACAAGCGCCGTTGTTAACATTCGTCTAGACTGGGAATTTGAGGAAGTAGCTATGAGATACTGCTACATTATATAATTTATCGTTCATAAATGTATCTCCACTTAAAGAATGGGAATTAGTGCATCATACTGTACTGTATTACAACAGTAATATATTTATTATAGATGTTGGCTTAACATTTCATAATATTTACATAACTTTGTTTTATATCTCACCTGGTATACAGTATCATAAGTACAGTACAGTACATACGTGTATAATTTTATTGTTATATTTCACTTATTATATTGATTATTGGCTTATAATCATTGTGTATATCAAGAATTTTCAGTAAAAGTGTGCTTTGTGGCGTTAAATCTAAGCTATTAATATTATTCTGTACAGGTATTGATTTTATTAAACTGTCATAATGATTGCAATATTGTAGCTATCTATTTAAATTTCACAAAAATTACAGTATTGTGCCTGTGTAGAGATGAGAAGATATATTAAATTTGATTCATTTACAGTATGTTATATAAAAAAGAGCATAAACTGCTGGAGCATGGTAACTGGTTAACTAAAATAATACACAGATTCTGGGAACAATGGACCGTTGAGATGCGAATTTGTGAGGTTGGTCTGTAGCAAGTGTCTTTGTGTTTATATCACCCGTTTGTTCAGGTTTATAACACTCGTTTATTCTAATACCTTTATTTATGAATATAATGAAACCTTTTGATGACAAAAAAATTTAATCTCCTAAACATGATTTTTCAATTAGATATTCAGTTTACAAAATCATTTGGAGAAAACATCTGCTCTGAAGCAGACAAGGAAGTGGCAAATTTAAAAACCCACTGAATTAAGTTTGATGTTAACAGGAACAGACCAATGTTTGGCAATATTCAGTGGTTTATTTCTGATAAAATGAAGCATAGTTTAGTGGTGGTCTCATTTCCCATTTGTTGTGTGAGCAATCCAAAGGCCTAACAATAAAAATGTAGGTTAAAGTTACATCCTGTGCTGTTGAACCACAAAGGGTGACTGGCGTGGTCACTCACATAACTTATGAGGCAGTCTACATGGGTGCCAGATCACGCTGATATTGCCAAATGTGTGTCTTGCGTATCTAGCATTCATATGCAAACATAAAACTGTTTTATTGTAATTTTTTAATTCATATGCAAATTAGTGTATGAAAACCCTAAAGCGATAATTTAGATCATATCCAAATTTGCATATGAAAACCCCAAGAGTGCTAATATATGTGGTTGGAAAAATTAAGTGTGTAGCTGTTGATTGATTGTTGCATGGCCATGCAGGTGCACAGCTTACAGGGAATATTGATTATGACCCACCACACTCCTGTGTCTTAGGACAAACCATGATCTAATATCAATCATATTGAGTGATGGTTGTCAAGGGAATAAAGACTTCAGATTACCATTAGTTTCCAAGGTCTAGGGGTTTACTGGGAAAACCCCCAAAATTGTACAGTATATGCAGAGTTACTGGTTACTCCTCATTGGATCTTTTATGAAATTAGTTTTCAAGATCAAGCCCTCATTTTGAGAGGAATTCAAAATGTTAAATGGGAAGTGGTTGATATTGTTGCCAAATATTTTTAATATAATACACTACTTATCTAAAACTTATCATACCTGGAGTTATATTGTGCAGTTCATACAAGAACAGGTATGGAGCCAACTATGAGGCCAGGTGGGATAATGTTCTGTTGTTTCATCGTATATCACATCTGGGACCATGAAACTTAAATAAGTGGGCCCGAGACAATGGACTAATTACGACCTGCTCCTTAATTTTAAGTGAATGGCGTGCTTAAACAGCTCTCTCGTAACATCATGTGCACCTTCTTCCAGAGCTGATTATTGATAAGTAAGTTAATTATTTCCCATGTATAAAAAAATCACCTGTGAAGGCCTGCTTGCTATGAGAGCAAATCCAGGCTGGCCTAGTGAACCGAAGTGTTTATATTCCCCAGTGAAGTGAATGTATCAGTGGAAGAATTAAGGCCATGGTGAACCAACCCAAAGTAGTGAATGTGGGGTCCCCAGGTTGACAAACTTGCTCCTTACAATGTTAACTGATATTTGAGTAGGTTTCATTTAGACAGTGGTGTGTTGTGGTAAAGGAAACACAAGGTCAGAGAGACTTAATAAAGTTGTCTCTGGCCTTGTGTTACCACCTAACTGTTACTTATATTGTGGTGTAATTGTGAGTGAATGACTCATATGTCCATGCAAATTGTAAATCAGTGTGGAACCTTACCCCAAGTAAAATGTTAGTGCAACTGTATGCCCATATCTGAACCCTATCTTAACAATTATTGATTAGTTATGGCAAAGTACTGCATAACCAGTAACTTAGATACCGGGTAGATGTTGGAATTTAATGGAAATCATTAATCCATTAGTGGTCGTGTTATGGATTGTTAAATATCAACCCCTGGTCGGCTAAATGTGAGTAATTTTTGTTTCGGGGAAGTTGCAGTTTGGTGTATAAAACCTGAGGATAACATTCATTTTGGCTGTACTGTACTCACTATTTTGAAGCTCCTGCACTGAGACGTTGATGCTGGAGGCTTGGCTTGCATGGTCTTGTGACTGCAGCGTAATATACTGTACTGTGATGCCACATTGAGTCGTGTTTTCTACCCATGGAATTATATCTTTGATATTCCCCTCACTCAATTTGATTACCTTTATTACTTGTAGTTGTTTAATTCATTCATAACAGTGATGGGTGTATCAGTCACAAGTTTATTGCTTTACATTAACATTGTTTACATTATGAACTGGCAACGACGAATCTCAATCCATCTTACTACAGTACTCATACACAATACCGAGTTCTACACAAAAAAGAGGCCTCACACCCACGCTGTGTTTTGAGAGGTTGCCGTGTGCCATATTTGACCTACATTAACCCTCCCAAGCCATTTCAGGTGCCGCCGTAAGTTTTTTTTTTTTTTTTCTTCTTTCTGAGAATAGTCCACCCAAGCACAGATCATCGACCCACAACGGGGCCTAGGGAAGCGAAAAAAGAAGAGAAAGTCACTTAGGTACATCGATGTACGTATTTGACCACAAACTGGTTAAATCATCATTTATCAAGTACCGGGTATACAGTCAACCCTCGCTTTACGCGGTCCCACATTACGCGTTTCCACGTTTACACGGTACCCTGCCGAAACCGGAATGCTCACATTCCGCGGTGCGTGTACCCCTTTACGCGGAGAGCAGCTGGCGAGCCGCGCCATTTTTGGATCCAAACCTCCCGCCATCTCTCCCGCCATCCGCCATGTTGTGTAAGCGGCGCAAGCAGGGTGCGCACAAGGTCGCCCAGTCATCAAAACATTACCGAGTTCTTCACCCGCCACCCACCACAGCCAGCCCAAGTCAGTGATAGTGATAATGATAGTGAGGATATGGACTTTGAGGGGTTTGACAAAGAGGCCCTGCAAGCCTCTGTGGTGGATAGTGATACAATTGATACAAGTGATACAGGTGAGGGCCAATAATCTGCCCTCTGCCTCGGAACCAACCCCCCATCCCCGTGTGCCCAGCCATCTTTTCTACTAATGTAAGTGTTAAAAAACCTAATATTATTGATATTTCTCTTAATTATTGATTGTGTGTGCATACCATCATAAAATTAAGAAGTTATTTTTACTACAATGTAGGTATTGTGTCTGAAAAAGTGGAGTTTGGGGGTCGGCCCGGTCTCTATTTCAATTAATCCCATATGTTATGTTGTTCACTTTACGCGGGCCGCCGTGGGTTGAATTAACCGCGTAAAGTGAGTGTTCACTGTACTGTATACAACACATTCAGTGCCAGAAAGTAACATAAAACTCTATGGTAGTAATACACCATATAATCTCCCTAGTGAAATTTTCAGTGTTAAGGTACCTGAGAAACTGGACGGGAAATCTCATGTTTATTTTTTTTTCCCTGCAACAGGAAGTTTGAATTAATATGAAAATCAATGTAATTAAATAAACTTTCCTTTGACAGGTTGTAGAAGAGGATGGCCAGAAATGCACTCCACTCATCATAGCTGCACGCAATGGTCATGAAAAGGCTGTCCGTACACTAATAAAGTTTAAACCAGATTTGGAACAAGAGGGAACAGTAAAGTTTGATGGATATGTCATTGAAGGTGCAAGTCCTTTGTGGTGTGCAGCTGGTAAGTACTCCAGCATGCTAGAATCATAATGATAAGGTATGTGCTTATGATAGTATTGTGCAGGTATAAATATTTGAGAATACATAAAAGTGAATGCTAGATATCAATCTGAGAAAATGTGTATTTTGAATCTTCTGTATGAATTACTGTACTGTACTGTACTGTATATGATTCTACCCATGGTTCCCTTGTGAATGTTTCATAAACAGTCATCATCATCACTGTTTTCTAGTCATTTTTCACACTTGTGTGGGTTAGCTACACATTATTATCTTATAGCATGGTGTCCTGGTTGCCATCAAGCAAATTTTAATCAAGTTTTACGGTTGGATGCCCTTTCTATCGCCAACCCACTTTTACAGAGTGGGAACTGGGCATTGAAGGACTTCCAAGCATCCACTTAGCTGGCAAGGCAGGGTCACAACTCCCTGAGGTAGTCAAAGATTACCCGCCTACCTTAACAACATGCTGTATGGTAAAATTTAAATGTACTTTTTATGCCCTCACCACATATGGCAGGAGGCATTATTTGCTTGCCTTATCTTTCGTACCTGTGATTATCTGCCCATCTGTCCACCTAGTTAAAGATTTTCAGCTACCTTGAGTCGTATGTTTTACAAGTGCAGAAAATGGCCATAAAACGGTGATGATGAGCAAGGTTTGATGAATCAGTTTTGTTTTTCATAATTGTTACTGTAGAAGGACATCTAACTTTATGACTGACTTAAAGTACCCTGTAGAGTAAAATATTTATACTTGTCACTTATCAACACAGTATACTTTTTCTAGTGTCCAACATGAATAGAAGTGAGGCATTTAGTTGTGTCAAAATCCCTGATTTCTTTTGTTGCACAGAATATTAGTTGAATATAAAACAAAATTTTGCGAAGTACAATAATAGTAAATTTTTGCTTCTCTAGTTGTATAATAGTCTATTTACAGGGAGTGCTTGTTATTCGTATGGGTTCTGTTCCTAGAAGTCCATACGTTTATCAATTATATGAATCATGCCTCAATTTTTCTCATAAATCAATTTGATAAGCGGGGGTTAGGTTCCAATCCGGTCAAGTTGGGTAATATTTGTTGGTTCATCTGAAATGAATGCATAAAAACATGTAGAGTACTAATCATTTACAGAACTACAGTACTGCAATAAATAAATAACATTCCAGTATTAAATATACACTGTACATTAGTAAATAAAAGTTTTTGGTACGTTCAGTACAGTATACAATTACTGTACAGTACTCAATATCCACAGCTTGAGTATGAACACTCACAGTTAAACATTGCACTGATTAAGCAACCCATGGTGCATGGTCACATGCAGAGTGGAGCAGCGTCTCCTAACAAACCACCACCCAGCACTACACTGCCACTCAAATAAAACACCTTGAGTGTGAACAACTGCAGCAGGAAGCAGTTGTTCAGACTTGGGGAGAGTTATAATTTGTTAGCATTATTAAATGATGGAATTAGTGTTAAAGTGAGAAAATGTGGTGTCTTAAGAACTGTTCACATTATTCTATTCCTCACTGGTTGGCACCTATGGTACTGTAGTATGTCCTCTTCACCTTTAGTGTAAGAACATTAAATATATCTCTCATGTTTTATTTCTTAGAGAACCATTGAATATTTTGATTTTATGAATGAATATCAGAGACAGTAGATCAGCTGATGAAAATGTCGTCTGCACCACTTTCCGTACTTTTCATTCTGGAACACAGGGTGAAATGTTTAGATAACCCGGGTATGCTGAAGTGTTGGTATGCCTGCTCTGCTTACCAGATATTTCTTTATGATAGAAATATGAGTTGTCTCATGAAGCGATTCATTTGTATGTACAGTATTCGAATAATATAGAGTTTTGAGAACATTTCGCTAACATGCTAGGCACCTTGTTCACGACATTGTTGTTAACACAGTTGCCAAACATGTTTTCTGATGATTCAATGTTACCCTTTTTCTTTGCCAGTTTCACTGATCTTTATATTTGTATATCATCTTTAAATGTTGGAATTTTCCTCAGTATTTGTAATATGTAGTTACAGTAAGTTTTCATTTTTATGCTGATTTAAACTTGTTGTTCTGTAATTATGTAACCAATCTATTAAAATACATAGTATACATGTACATGACTCGCTTTAAGTCACTTAAAGTCATGCTTGTTCTGCTATACAGGGAATAGATATATGTCATTGTCTTCATTTTATTGTACTCTGTTACATTTACACACATTCGCTCATACAGAATTTGCAAAAAAATGAAAATAATAATTATCATAAGGTCGAAAACATAAAGGGAATACAGTAAACAGTTCTTACCTGGTCCACCTGTTAGCTGACAAGAGCAGAGTGGGGAGGGAGGAGCAATATCACAACAGTACAGGGTAATGAACAGTCCATACAGTATTCAATAACACGCCAAAGTCACAACAATAACAGCGATGCACAGCAATAGGAACGATGCACAGCGATCGATAATATACAGGGTAAACACTAGTGTAATATCGGCCTGGGTTCATAGGTGGAGTGTCGGTAGCATACCCTTACAATACGTGATTTCTTTATAATAAGCCTAGATATGTACCCCCTCTGGTTACAAAAAAAAAAATCCTGTTATTTGCTGCAAAAGCTACATAATGATTTTTTAAATCATTTCTAAAATTCAGGTTGGCTGATTCATAGGTAGTATCTTATATAGCGTCTCCCTTTCCAAGTGGTTTAGGTCGGGCTTGAAAATTCAACATTGTCACAATCTCTGAGTGGGCCGGGAGATATGCAGTATCACAATGCATTTATTTTACGCCACTTAATTTTGTTATTTCCACCTTGCTGTAATATTAAACTCGTGATTACAGTAAACCCTCGATAACTCGGCACATATGGGGCTCTGGCCTTGCCGAGTTATCTCAAAGTCTGACTTATCGAGGCACTTCCCCTCTCCTACAAAAATACAACAATATAAAATTATCGACCCGTATATGTGTACATGTACTGTAATTACTAAGTGTAAAAAAAGTAACACTTACCAGCACTGCAGGCGGAGAATAAAGCATCATAGTAAGAAACACAGATGTATGGTAGGTGACACAGAGACATGGTAGGTGACACAGAGACATGGTAGGTGACACGGAGGCATGGTAGCTGATGCAGGTGGCCAGATATGCCGAGATTTTCCCAGATAATTTTACATATCTCGGCATTTCCCGAGTTATACTAATACATACCGAGACCATATCCATGCCGAGTTATGTAAAACTTTGAGTTATCGAGGATTTACTGTACAGTATATAATACTGGATTGGTCGGTGAATCGGAAAATGGAATTCAATCTTTTTTTTATTTAGTTACATGTGGCAATTCTAAATGGAATGCAATTAGCTAAGGCCTCACACGGCAAACATGCCACGGTGAGTTTCAGACATCACTTATACAGTATAAAATAACTTACATTTACACAATTCTACACTTATTTTACTATTTATTGCACACAACGATGTAGATATTATTCACTGATGCAATTTTTAGGCGTCTTCACTTGACATATGCTATCGGGTAAGACAGTTATGGTAGTAGAGGCAGACAGGGCTCCCTCCCTCCCACCCGTGTCTCGCCGCTACGTCGTGAATCCTTCTCTACCATCCCTACCTTTACGCTACCGCTCGTCATGTTCTCATCATGCCCACCCCTGCCCTTATACACCCATAATGCCCTCCCAGTAGAGATGCCCACTTGGAGCACAGAATCCCCATTTTTTTTAACTTCAATCTTGAATTTTCCCAGTAAGTTGAAGATCGCTAAACCGAACAGTTGCAGATTGTTAAATAACCATGGGTGTTGGAAGTTTTAATTGCTAAACTGAATTATCGCTAACTGAACGATCACTAAATGGTGCATCCCTGTACAGTACATGTACTGTAATATCATTTGTTAAGCACACTGTACAGTCGTGAGATGGCTCACAGCAGAAGGGATACTTACCTGAAGTGCTTGCTCCTTTTCTCAGTGTTTGCCTGGTACAGTACAGTACAGTAATTGTGTTAGTGCTGTTGTGTATTTAACTCGTGACCCTTGATTGTAATTTGTGTTTTTCTTCTCTACCATCATGTTTTAAAACCATTCACCAAATGAACGAAAAAGTGCCTGCCACTAAGGAGCAAAGGAAAACAATTATCCTTGGAACTGAACTGAAAGTTTTATGTCTCCTTGATACTGAGGCAAGTGTGGTGAATATTGGCATTGATCTAGGACTGACATCTGCAACATTGCAGATGATTTGTGGGAATGCAGAGAAGATAAAGTGTATAGCTCATAGTGTTACACCATTACATTTTAGTTCTATTATGAAAAATGTTGATCAACTTTTCTTGATTTTCATTGATCTGTGGCAAATTAAGACCATGCTAAGTTTATATGTGGTTCACCACATAAAAATTTTGACAGTTTGAATGCCAAAGAGGGTGAAGGATCACAAGAGAAGATTTTCAATTCCACTAGAGATGTATTTAATTGCTTCAAGAATCACAAAAAAAATTTCATGGGACCTTACCTCCCTAATTTAGTTGCAGTAATTATGATAACAAAAACTATTTACTGAATGTAGATTCACTCTTTGTTGAATTTTTCAATGATGCAACAACATACTCCATTTACTGTACAGTACTTAGTTCTAATCGTATTCACTAAACTTTCCTTGACTGCAGAATTTTTGGTGTCTTCATTTGGATATTCTCCATTATATGCACCTTATTTTACTATTACTCCCCAACAGTTAGATATCTAAGGTCCTTTTCAGTTTTAAAGTGAAGTATTTAGCTACTTAATTCAATTTGTCATTCTATTATAGATAATATTTGTCACAGAATAACATTTAGATAATGATACCTTTTTTTAGTATATATTGTAATTGGTTTTAACCCTTTGCAGGAGCAGGTCACTTGGGAGTAGTGAAAATGCTAGTCCGTGCTGGAGCAAATGTTAATCACCCGACAAAGACTAATTCCACCCCCCTACGAGCAGCATGTTTTGATGGTCGCCTGGATATTGTCAAGTACTTGACTGATCACAGTGCTAATATTCATATAACAAATAAGTACAACAATACTTGCCTTATGATTGCAGCATATAAGGGTCATGTAGATGTTGTACAGTTTCTCTTAGAACTTGGTGCATATCCCGATGAAAAAGCTCACTGCGGAGCAACAGCCCTTCACTTTGCAGCAGAGTGCGGTCATGTTAAGATTGTGCAAGAACTTTTGGCTCACGGAGCAAAAATAACAACAAATGAACATGGAATGACTCCTCTTATAGCTGCAGCAGAAAGAACACGAAGTGATGTAGTAGAATATTTAATATCAAGGCCAGATGTGACAAGAGAAGAAAAAGTTGATGCACTGGAGCTTTTGGGAGCATCCTTTGCTAGTGACAAAGACAATTATAACATTGAACTTGCCTTCAAGTACATGATGAAGGGAATGAAAGAAAGATACAGTGATCCAAATTCCATTGTTTGTAAGTACTGAATTTCTTCAGTCCTTTGTATGTAATGTTATTTTTTAAATCAGATAAGTATTGTAGTGTGAAATGAGGAATTTTCATAACAGTTTAAAAAAATTGTGAAAAAAAAAATATATATATTTAGAGTGTGATATAGAAGTTAGATTATAATTTTTACTTAGAGATGGAGATGAAATACTGGTTCTATTTTCCTGAAGATTTGCAGATGATAAATTACGTGTCAAAATAGGAAGCAGTAAAGCATGCAACAGAATAGTTTGCTGGTTCTCTACACTTGTGCTCTCAAAACATACGGTACCACTGATTACTAGAAAGGGTAGAGAAAGGAGTGTACTCTGTAATAACACTCTATTACTGTATCTTGCTGGTTATGGGAGGCAAAATGGGAAGTTATTAAAATAATGAAAAGGTGAGAGATAAATAATTCCAAGAAATATGTAACTGGGGATTACATCTTCACACAGTAGATAAAATAAGAATCAAGTTACAGCAAAACTCCCTCTAATCCATACTAATTGGGGTTGGGCTGGAATCTGTAGTGTACGTATATATTGCAAGGTGGAAAATTCAAGTGGGTAGGGGATTTCCATCTAGTAACCTCAGAAAACTAAACCTACTGTAATTTTTAGTCTAAATATAGTCATGTGGCATCTTATGTGCATTTAACTTAGGTGCACTTGGCTTAGGAAAATAAAGATGCAATGAATGTAGGAGCGTATGGCTGGGGGAGTTACTTCCACCCGCGCCCCTCTTAGCCTCAGTTGCCACGTGTACTGAGCAGGGGAGGGGGGGGGTTGTGTTGTGTGCTTCTGCCGACTAACCCTTACTGGTGCTAAGGGTTGGTCGGCAGAGGTAGCACATCCCAGCTGAGCTGTGATGCAGTGTGTAGGAGAGGAGAGGATAGGAAAGTGTGGGGAGGGGAGGGAGAGCAGTGGAGTTTATAAGAGGGAGGACAAGAGTGTGTAGGATAGAGTGAGAGTGGGAGAGGGTGAAAAAGTGGAAAAGAGCATGAAAAAACAAGAGAGGGGATGGGAAAGTATGGGCGAGGAAGAGAGAGTGGGAAAGCATAGGAGAAAGTGAGAGGGCGTGGGAGAGGGAGCCCCGAGGGAGAAACGTCAAACACCACACACACACACACACAACCCTGTGTTTGAACACCTGAGCCAGGCAATTTCTGCTTGCTTGTAGTCACACTATTAGTACTTTCTGAGCGACTGTGTATCTGTGTATGTGGGGAGGCGTATTTGTGTGTAGGTGCATGTGTGTTTGAGAGAGAATGCTCATGTATGTATGTGTGTGTGTGCACTCTTGTATAATTTTTTTTATTTATTTTTTTGTGCTTTCATTAGTTTTTCTAAGTGTTCTCTGCTGAAATCAACTTGACAGTCAGTGGCAAGGAGGATAAATGAAGCTTACAGCAGAGGTGGTTGTGTGGTGCGCATTTAAACTGTAATAGGCCTAACCAGCTGAGTCACCAGATGTACTCTTAACAAACTGCCCACTGCTTCCACACTTATGATCACTTTCCGCACAAAATACATACCCATGCTCTTGCTCTACTTATTTTATAGTTTCATATTATATTTTCTTATTTCTAAGTCACCTGAGAGTATTGAAATGATTTTTCCACAACTTTAAGCTTCATCATATGTAACAATGGCAATCTGCATTACACTCGCCCTCCCTCACTCCATAAGGCGGGTCGGGGAGCAGTAAAGACATTTAAATTGCCGCTGTATGGGTACCTCTCACTCTCTTCCCCATTCCCCTCTATCTACTCATCTTCCCCTTCCCCCTCCTCGTCCCCCTACCCTTTCACCTACTCTTCCCATTTCCTCCTCATCCCTCTCCACTCCCTTGACCTCCCTTCTTCCTCCTCCTCCACCTTTTGTCCCTTCTCTCTACCTCTCTCTTATTCCCATATATCTCCCCCCACTTCTCCATCTCCCCCATTCCCCTCTACCCTTCTCCTCACCCTCCCCCTCTCTCCTCTATTTCCCCTCTTTTCTCCCCATCTCCTTCCCAACTCCTTCTTCCCCTGATTTCTTCCCATTTTTCTTTCATCTCCTCTCCCCCTCACCTCCCTACCTGGTTCTCTCCTTCCACTCTCATCTCCCCACCTGGTCCTCTCCTTCCCCCCGTCACCTCCCCACTAGATCCTCTTCTCTCCCCCAACACACACACACACACACCCATACACCCATGCTCTTAATTTTTCTTATTTTATAGTACAGTAATATCTCCGTTAGCTGGAATCCCTCAAACCCGGAACTCTCCGATTCCCGGAATTGAAATTTTCTTGGAAATCGTACCCAAAGGCAGAATTTTCCGGAAAATTCCGGCTTTGGGAACGATTTTCCGAGGGGCACAATTTCTGGAGATTCAGAGAAAAATTTTCCATTACCTGGAATAATTCCGGGGATGGGGTGATCTTTTTCCGGCTTCGAGAGAGTCGTCTCGTTACCTGGAAATCTGTCATTCCCAGAAGTGCTCGGCATCAATTGCTCCAGCTAACGGGGATATCACTGTATTATATTATATTTTCTTTATTTCTAAGCCACATTACACAACAGGTATATATATATAACCTTGTACTTTATTTGTGATTTAAGGGATTTTCAAGGGTAATGTTGACAAAAGTACACACTTTTTTGCCTTTACGCTCCCTCTTCGGAACGTAACACTCCCTACCCCTCGCATAAGTTGCGACACAACTGTACCCTCAGGGTTTATATACGCCACATGAAGGTGTTATATTTTAGCTGCTTGGGATTTTAACATCTGTAAAAAAAAATCCTAATAACACGACATCTTTTTGTTCAATAATTAGCAGACCAAGTCAGAAAAATCTGTTAATGGGAGCGAGTTTCCACCATTGACCTACCTACAATGAATACCCCAAAGGTATGAGGGGTCTCTGTGCCAAATAAAATTGTCTGGCGTTAGTCAAATAATATATTAAAAGTGGCGTCCAGTAGTAAAGGGGTTAGTACCTTACCGTATATCTGAACACTTTAAAACTTTTTCAATAAAAAAGACATCAGATATTAAGATACAGTACTTAAATATAAATCTATATTATACTGTACACATCTTATTTGTAGCTTAATAATAATAATAATACTTGTACTGTATAGTGAATCCAGAACATGTACTGTAGTTCTTCAGTAAATAGTAAGACTTACTCACGTCTGTCTGGGTCACATGGTCTCGTGAGTAAGACGAACATATCGCTCCAATTACCAATAGTGTATTGATTTATATTTAATTTTATTACTGTATCCGGTGGTTTTGTATTGAAAATAGTTATTTACAAACTACGTATATTGAAAAATATTTTAATGGGATGTACCGGTACTGGAGGGAATAGTAATGCGATTACCTTATGTAAGTTCCGGTGTGCTTTTTCTTTTGTGGTGTATAGTACTGTACATGTATACTGTATGCAGTACCCTATATATTTTTTTATATTTTAATATAAAGATTATTGTTTTTATTTTATTAGACCAGGTGATAAGAACAAAATAGGAAGTACGGTATAGTGGAGGTGGTGCAGTTCTTTCTAGAGCAACATTATTACAGCATTATTAGTGGTAGTAGCAGTGGCATATATGAAGGGGGGGCCATATGGCCATGGTTCTCCCCCTTTTGCTACTGCCGTCAACTCGTTGAACCCATCACAACCAGTACACGAGGATGTAAGTACTTAAAAATAAATTTTGGACTTTTTTAGGGGGGAAGCCTCCAGCAGAACAGAAATTTCTGACAAAGCAATATTTCTGCACTGTGCAGGTTGCATAATATTAGTGTATTTATTTTTTCCTTCACAAGGCTAGAGGTAATTATACTTAAGCTTCCCCTCACTGGAACCACAGATGCCAATATAGAGAATAGTATGTGTGCTGGTCCTGGATCAGTGTGTGTTTGTGTGTGAGAGAGTGCTGTTCCTGTCAAGGAGTTGCCAAGTGGAATAATACGTCCTGCATATTTTCCTCTTGTTGAATGATGGGAATGATTGTATCTGTGTACCTCGGGATTTTTAAGTCCATAAATATGTAGTACTGTACTGTACTGTACTAATATTGGCCATAAAATACGTCCATTATTTATTGCAGGTGGCCTCAAAAAGTCCCTGAAATTGGTCAAATTTCAAAATGGGCTGCATGGGCTCGCTGCGTTCGCCCTCTGTTTACACCAATGGATAAGTTTCCAGAAACTTAAATATGCCACTGATTAGAAGTATTAGTATTAAGAAGCTACCAATATGTAGTGTACAGGATGTGATTGCTGTATAATGAAAGTAGTAATTTATGAAATAATTTTAGTTTGTGGTGCAGTATTTCCTCTGAAAATATTCACCAACTGCTGTTGTTACATTCATTCAGTGGATTGAAGACAGTGGAAACAATACTGATGATGCTATGACAGGCACACCTAGTCTTCTAAATACTCAGATTTTCCTTATTTATTCTGAAGTTGTACAGTACTGTAAATGGAAAACAAAATGCTATTGTAATATTTCATCATCTTCTCTATTCATATCTGCTAAATAGCATGGGCCGAAGTGTTGAAAAAGTTGGTGTTGGAGTCAGCTGTTGTATCATCTGCTGCTTTGACAACATTAAGATGCACAGTACAGTTTCTCACAAAAACAAATGCTACATTTTTTTTTGTCTACACAATAATTTTAAGCCAATAAAATAAACATGATAAATGAATATATACAGTACAGTTCTGTACAGTACACTAATAATTTTTTACTTAAGAGAAACCAGGCGAGATTGGGAACAAAGTGAACAGTGTGAAAACTGAGGCAATATCTATAATAATTGCACAGCATAGTACTGTACTGTAAAATAATGAAAAAAAAATACAAGCAATCCTAGGAATATACAGTACACTACAAGCAAAATTTTAAATGTAGGCATTCTCTGATTTATGAAAGGGTTCCATTGAGGACCACAGTGGAAATAATTCTTTTGATTTTTTTGGTGTTGTCCTCAATTTTCTATTATATGTACAGTACTGAACTATATGATGAGTGCTTGGATTTGTTTTTCATACCCATAGTGTATATTATAATACAGTACACATGATAAATTCCAAATAAAACCAATCAATCAAGCTTTAATTTTTGCAGATGCAGGGTGTAGACTAGGGCTGCTGAGAGAAATTTAATGTTCCCTTAAGGGTTTTCTGAAAGGTTTTGTCAGGAACATTCTATTTTAATATTTTAAACCTGTAATCCTGCCATGGGGTAAGTCAGATTTGCATGTACTAGTCCCAATCTAGGTGTTATTCTGTGCTCCTTTATGCTTGATCGCAGGGCATATGAAATTCATTTTGGGGGTTCTGACAGTTAATTACCTCTGGTTTAATTGTTAAATGGGGCTAATATGCACATTGCTTGAACTTTGGTCATTCAAGTAAATGCTCTGTCTAAAGGTAGGGTTTTCCACCATTTTTGTTTTTTCCCACCAACAAAGTTGCCTGGGTTCATCTTTGCCATTCAACTTGTAAGAAGTCTCAGAGTAGACATTTCATTAAGTTGGTACAGTTGAAGACACTGGTCTAGTAAAATCTTTATTTATATTAGTTACAGATTCAGATTTACTTGAGTAAGTTTATTTGCTTATAGCATACTTGTAGGTGTCAGTTATATTATGTCATTTCTTTTTAACCATATGTGTTCTGGTATCATGTGGTTACATCCTAACATATTCTTTCAAATTTAAAATTACCTGCACTTTATTTCAATCCAATATGGTAGCCAATCATTTTCATTGAAGCTTGTAAAGCTGTAAAAATAAGGTGTTTGTCATCTGGCCTAGGGGTCAGTGGCTCCAATGTGTTATTGACTCATACATTGTTAATATTCTTCTGTCTATTGATTAGGAAAACAGCCCTGAAAACAAGTTTAATGAAGATGAGTCTAGTGAAATAATGAAGCCTGTGACAAAATAAAATAGGCAAGAGGTTCAAAACATAATGCAGTGTAACAGTCTCACTGCTGACTCGAGCCAGGACAGATGATGCAAGTGATTTCGTATCATGTAACATCAATGCTCAGTGTCATGGTGAATAAAAACACCAGTGCAATTATTTCCCAACTTTGTTGTTCATTTTTTCTGTCTTTATATAAAAAAAAATAACAATAAAGAACAAATGTTTTACTTTGCTGCAAACAGGAGTAATGGAAGTTGAATGGTTGGATTCTTTTTTTTTAGTTCTTCATAGTGAACATTTGGTATTTTTCTTTCTCCATTACTGACATGTTAGTAGTTAGGACAACTCTCTCAAGGGGTATTAGTAGGTTGTCTATTTCCAGTCCTGAAGTTTTTGTAGCACCTCATTCCTTGATTTTTAGATGGCCACCTATTGAAGAGCATTAAGCCAGAAATGGAGGATTAATCTTGAAATTTATTTTTCTGTTGGAGGCTGTAACTAGACAGCTCAGGTAGCCCTCCCATCTTCTCTGTGGTTCATGTTTTGTCCGCTGAAATTATTGTTTCAATGAATGCATTCAGATTCTCAAAGATTATTAGAGGGTGGAACTAGTATCCTAATATGGAAGTCACTGATTGATCAGACACCAGCTCAGAGCAGACATTTAGCCTCCTTCCTCCATTCTGTCTGGAAATGTGAAGGTAACTTTTGCACATGTTCCCTTATTTTAGGCCGGTTGAGAAGAAGAGGGAGGAGGAGTGATCAGTTAGATACTAATTAATAGATTGACCCTGGTAGACACTAGGGAATCAGTCATAGGGCTTGTAGAGCTCCTGTTAAGAGCCATCTGGCTATGGGCTCTGCAAGAAAAAGGGATATCAGGATCAATCCTCTATGTCTGCCAGTTTTATCAATTGAAAACAATATTTGATACATGAATTATTTACAGTATGATAATTCAACATGCTATATATTCCATTGTAAAAATTCAGAGAAAATTGACTTCTTGTCATCTTGCAGTGTTAATCGTCCTCCTTTTATGATGAGCCACAGTTAGAAGATACTGTAGTTCAAAAGCAGTAAAATGATGTTCAGTGTATCATTTTATTTTCTGCATTGACTTACCTGCACTTTTTTTTTCACAGATAAACCCAAAGTAGAGTTTGTGGCTGCCTACGAGAGTCGTATTGAATGTAGAACAGTAAGAGAACTAGAAAGCATTAGACATATTTCTGGAACTCTTCACATGGAAAGTTTAGCCATCAGAGAGCGTATTCTTGGACCCCATAATCCCGAGGTAATTATATGTTCAGAAGTTTTTCTAGATATACAGTATAACCTCAGATATTCGGCATTTAACTATCCAGAACTCTCAAGCAACCAACATATTTTTGGTGGGGGCAATTTCCAATAAGTAATGTTTAATCACATTTAAAAAATCAAGAAAATCGGTTTGAATTTGGCACCACTTTGCCCGTGGTTCCATTTTTAGCCATGAGAGGTGCTGTGTGCGTCCTGCATGTAGGCCAGACACACTGAGCGCCGCTATTACAGTTCCGCTTACATGAATGTTTATGCCGGTGTAACCGCTGTCATTGTCTTATCCATCCAGCATGCCTAAGAGAGGAGCTACAGCTAAGTGCAAACTCATTTTGCTTACTCTAGAGCAGAAGATGGATATATGTAAGTGACTGGAAAAGAGCGACAGTTGTCATGTGTTGATGGAAGAATATATTTACTATGTCCTTTTATTCCTCTTATAATATATTTGCTATGTCCTTATATTCCTTTTATAACAATTTACTGTCCTTTTATGATATTTACTATGGCAATGTTCTTGAGTTTGAAATACATGTTTATGAGATTAACTCTCAAGCATCCGGAAAAAATTATTATCAGGCACTCTTAATTCTCCATGCATTCCGTATATCTGAGGTTTTATTGTAGTACAAGAGCGAGATTGTATTCTACTGTAAGTTATTTAGAATCTAGTGATTTTGCAACCAAACTGAGGCAATTATTTATTCTTAGCTGATGTAGCAGCTAGAGAGAATAAATGTTAGCATATAAAGGGAAGTCCATATTTGCACTTGATTTTGGTCACCCAAGAGAACTGTAGGAAAATGCTTGTAAATACAGTATGTAAAAAAAAATTATGAGGTTGTGATAGCTGTTTTGGTATCACACTACAGTAGAAGTCCAAAAATCCGGACTGCTTGGGGATTGGGTCGGTCCGGATTTTCGGATTTTCTGGATTCTCAGGCAGTACTTTTAAAATTCAAATTTCAGGAGAAATAAAGAAGAGACGAACAGGTACATTTTGATAGTTTATTCATTAGCAAATATAGCATGCTTCATTTATCTAAAAGAGCAGTTTTAAAGATAAAGCTGTGAATTCTAAAATTTTATTCTTTGCCTTTTTTATATCATAAATTGTAGACTTTCCAATGTCGTATGTTTCCATTAGAACAGTATTGCTCACACCACGTTCTAGTTTCTTAATTATTTCAAGTTTGTCACTCAATTTCAACGTGTTCTTTTTTCTCTTCACAAAATGAAGTTTATCTACTTTAGGAGCCATTATTATGGGCTTATACAGTACTCTGTAAGTGGAAAGAGTAGGACTCAAAATTACATATGTTGTCACAGTTTGATTGCTCATTTTAAAGTGGTGACCGCGTGGTCGCTTGTTGTCGCTGTGCAGCTGTGGCGCTCACGCATGCACACATACACACAAAAGCCAGCTAAAAAAAAAATAGAGTTTAAGTTTTGAAAAGTCCGGATTCTCGGGTGGTCCGGATTTCCGGCATCCGGATTTTTGGACTTTTACTGTAATTGTTAAAATGACTTTAAATAACAATGAATAATTTATTTTTATAAAAATTCTACCTTTGGTTTGTTTAATAATTATCCTGACATGATACAGCCAAAAACAGATCCACCAATCACCTTTACATACAGCCTTATTTTACCAAGTATTGCCAGGTAAAATTGCGAGCACGAGACCCAGGGTGGGGTTGGTGCATCTTTGGCTGACTTGACATACTCAACGAAAACAAATACTAGTACTTACTTAAACCGGTGTAATTTCTTTGAAACCATTTATATACATTTGGAATTTGATATATATAAATCTATGCAATATATCACTGTTTGCGAACTACCAAAAGCTAACAATAGCAGAAAACGAAAAACATGCGCTGAATTATATTCATCATTTAACTATACTCTAAATTAACGAATTCATATCTAAGATCATCTCTACCCTTACTACACCTTTGATGAAATCCAGTCCAGAAAAAGATAACTGACAAGAATAAAAGCAGACCGATAAGTTCCTCCACTCTCTCACAAAGTGTTTAGGCGACTGGCGCTGTCGGCCTTCAGTTGTGACGTCATCATCAGATTTGTGAGGGAGATCCAGGCCTTCTCTATCTAGGTGGCCTTGCCCTTCCCCTCTGCCAGCTGCTGCCAGATAAACATTCGTCCTCCACATACAATATACTCCTACACTTATTTGTTCTTATTTTTATCTTTATAGTACTGTACAGTACAGGTACTCTCCGACTTACGACGGGGTTAGGGACCGACATCCAGGTCGTAAGTCGAAATGGTCGTAAGTCGGAAATGCTTAAATAACACATAGAAAATCGAAAATTTGGATCTCGTTTTCTTCTCAGCACCACAAAACACTCACTTTTAAGCTTGCCAGCCATTTTAAAATGAATTACAGATGAAAATTTTGTCCGTGTAATGACTTTGGGACTCAAAAATACATAATTTGACCACATTTTGGTACGACTGAGGCGGTCGTAAGTGCGGGTGGACGTAAGTCGAGTCGGTCGTAAGTCAGGGACTACCTGTACGTATACAGTTTTCTTTTTATTCTTAAGTCAAATTCTGTGGTTACTTGCATATAGCACTTTACAGTAAATAACAATCATCTCGGTGACAACAATTGCTGACAATCAGACTTATATGTCTGATTTTCAACCCAGAGAGTTCTGTTTCATATTTTGTTTTCTTGTTGGTGTAATATTCTTTTACTAACCATGTTATACGCTTAAAAACCTTAGTTGTTGAAGTGCAGTAATAACATAACAACAACTTATTTTCTTTAAACAGTTCAGGTAAGCAGTGTTATCTCTCCACACCCTGCCCTCCCTCATATATTCGCTTTTTTGGGCTGGGGTCTGCCCCCAATTAGTCTAATTTATCGAGATTCTACTGTATTGACAAATCTAATAATTTCTTGGAAAGCTTGTCTGTGGTCAACATGTTATCAACAAACATACTAATGCCCAAGCATTGTAGTAAATAGGAAGTAATGCAAAAGTACCAACTCTCAGGAACTCAAAAGTCCATGGACAATTTCTCTTCAGGGGAGCTAGGTCTTCTATTGGTGATGACATGGAGTGGGGGGGGGTGTCTAGATCCCCCATTTTCCTCAGAAAATTTCAATACTTTTTCTTTAATGCAGTATTATATTCAGGCATCTTGGTTTAGCAAAAAGTAATTACTATTAACCTCAGAATATCTCCTAATATCAAGTGCACATGGCTTCAAAATACCCATGATATTGGATAATGTTAAAAAAAAATTGTAAGGGGGGCTGACTGCACCCCGCCTCATCTGGGTGGGCTCGCTATGCTCGCCATGTTCCCCCACCCACAACTTCTTGGACCCCCCCACCCGCTTTGATATTCCTGGATCCACCCCTGGGAGGATGTTCTCATTTAAGAAAAAATTTAGGCTTTCACATGAGTTGGGGACCAATTAATTCAGAACACATTAATAAGACCCCCTCTGAGTCGAGCTACTGTATATGGGGCTCAAGGCTGTCCAAGTTATTTAGAATTATGAATTCTAACTTATGCATAACCTCCCCCCATAGGTGCTTTTTGAAAGATCATTTTGCCAATAAGTCCCTTCCAAAAAAAAACAAAATTAAAGTTAACAGGATACATTTACACTGCATTTACTTGTAGCAGACAAATCTTGAAGTCAAGGACAATAAGGGGTATTACACTTACAGTACTTATATTCACACTTTTATTTAATTACGCTTTCTATTTAACTACTGTACATTTATTATTAGTATGCACTTAAATCAAGCTGATGTTGCAAAAGGAACTCTGCTTCAACCTAAACTCCTCACAGATAATGTTTATGGAAACCCCAGCATTGATTCTGTCACATTCAGTTTCTCTTCTGAGCACCATACCTTTTCTTCCAGTGGTTCTCAGTGGTGTGTTTTGCCATTACTTACTTTAGAAGCCAAAACAATACACTAGGGAAGCACTGAATATGAACAAAACATAGAGTGGATGGTGGAGCAGTGGTCACAACTAACAACATCCATGAGGGAACTAATGCCTCACCCAACTGCCACCCCACCCGACAACCCTAAGCCAGAGCTTGTCTGACTTATGGGGATTATCCACTTAGAGGGGTCTTACTGCATAAACTGAGAACCAGCATGATATTACTTTTAGATAAATTTTGTATCCGTGATTGTAATTTTTTAATTTATTTCAGGTTCCCCATCCTGTAATATTTAGAGGAGCTGTGTTTGCTGACAATGCCCGTTTTGACAGATGTCTACAGCTGTGGATGCACGCCTTAAGATTAAAACAACTTAATAAAGTGTGTGTCATGAAGGACCTTCTAAGATTTGCTCAGGTAATTATATCAGATACATGATCTTTATGACAAGCAGTGTAGAGGTAACTGCAAATATAGATCAGTGGTATTATTCCATGTAAATGTTCACATGCAAGTGTCTGAGTTGGTAATGTTAAATATGATAGTAAAAAAGAATTAGGTGGTTGTTTATTAATACTGTGCTGGGGAATTTAACCATGAATCTGGGTTATAAAGACGACCGACAAGGCCATGATGGAGTTGTTCATCAAATACAACACCCCCATCCCCTCTAGTGCTGCCTTGGAGCGCATGTTCTCCATGGGCAAGGAAGTCTTGAGGCCCAAGCGCAGCAGAATGAGCGACAAGCATTTTGAGATGCTAGTATTCTTGCGGGGAACAAATGAATAATTAAAATATAATATAAACCATAATAAATGATTAAAAATTAATTAATATTTTTTGAATTTTGCATATGTTACTCCCATACACAGGAGAATATGCGTTTTGGGGCTGCATTTGTACGTCACTGAAAACGCGTTGATGCTGACGCTAACGGCACCAATTTAAGAAATCGTTTACGCTGACGCTGACAGCATAAAATTTCTCGGCCGTTTGCACTGACGCTGCCATTTTTTTCGTTGACGCATGTAACACTGTGTGTATATATATATATATATATATATATATATATATATATATATATATATATATATATATATATATATATATATATATATATATATATATATATATATATATATATATATATATATATATATATATATATATATATATATATATATATATATATATATATATACACACACACAGTTAGTACCCCACTTAACGCGGTCAATTGAACCCAGAGGGTCCCGTGTTAAGTGAAATCCGCGTTAAGTGAACAACAGAACATATGGGATTAATTCCAATAGAAACCGGCCTGACCCCCAAACTCCACTTTTTGAAGGCACATACCTATGTTGTAGTAAAAATAACATCTTAATTTTATGATGGTACATGCACACAATTAATACTTAAGAGAAATACAGTCGCCAAGTTAATGTCCATTCAAATAATGGACTCAACTCCCTCCCTCTCTCACACTACACTCGCTGGCTCTTCCCTCTCAGAGAAATTTTTGGGGGAAAACCACTAAATTTTAATAAATAATACCTCAAACTAAAGTTAGGATAATACAATTGACATTGCTGGATTCCTTGTAAGACCAGGAATATTTTGAATATAAATGTCATATATTTTGCACAAAAGATAACATAGTTACCTAGAGAAAAAATTTTATCTAAAATTTGTATGTTTAATGAAAAATATATGATGTTTATATTCAAAATGATCACCAAATTATAAGAATTCCAGCAATGTAAATTATATTCTGACCGGGTAATTTGTATGAATTTTATGAGCTAAAACAAATATCTTCAGTTAATAAAAAAAAAAATAATCTTCACAACACTATCTGTCAATCAAAGTACCCCACCTTGCCTCCCCCCCTCTTCCAACCGCGTGGTCAGTCCCAACCCTCCCCCCCACCCCCCACCAATCCTCCCTTCCAGGGTTTTTAACATTTAGTATTAAATAATACCTCAGATTAAAGTTAGGATAATATAATTGACATTGCTGGATTCCTTGTAAGACCAGGAATATTTTGAATATAAATGTCATATATTTTGCACAAAAGATAACATAGTTAATTTGAGAAAAATTTTTATCTAAAATTTGTATGTCTAATGCAAAAATATGATGTTTATATTCAAAATGATCATCAAATTATAAGAATTCCAGCAATGTAAATTATATTCAGACCGGGTAATTTGTATGAATTTTATGAGCTAAAACAAATATCTTCAGTTAATAAAAAATAATAATAATTCTTCACGGGGTAACAGATGGTCGGTCGGTCCCTCCCTCACCCCCACCCCCCACCAACCGTCCCAAGGAGATGTGTGGGATAACCACTAAATTTTAATAAATAATACCTCAAACTAAAGTTAGGATAATATAATTGACATTGCTGGATTCCTTGTAAGACCAGGAATATTTTGAAGATAAATGTCATATATTTTGCACAAAAGATAACATAGTTAATTTGAGAAAAATTTTTATCTAAAATTTGTATGTCTAATGCAAAAATATGATGTTTATATTCAAAATGATCACCAAATTATAAGAATTCCAGCAATGTAAATTATATTCTGGCCGGGTAATTTGTATGAATTTTATGAGCTAAAACAGGCAGTCAGGCAGGGTGGGGCAAATCTAAAAATAGCATCTCGAGCCGGACACTCGACACTCACCGCGTATATGAGGAAAAAATCCGTGTTAAGTGAAAGTTCAGCTCTGGCGAGGCACCGCGTATATGATAAAACGCGTTAAGTGAAACCGCGTTAGGCGGGGTAATACTGTGTATGTATATATATATATATATATAATATATATATATATATATATATATATATATATATATATATATATATATATATATATATATATATATATATATATATATATATATATATATATATATGTGTGTACACATACATACACAGTAAAACCTCGATTAACCGCCCACATATGGGGGGAAAGGGCCGACGGATAATCCGAAAGGTCGATTAATAGTAAATAAAGTCTACGGAAATAAAACATACATTTTCAAAGTACCTATCCTTAACCTACCTCATTTAAGTTCCTCTATTCATTTTTGTTCATTTGCCATTCATATTTCAATAGAATTTGCTTTAAAACAGTAACCACTTTAGTAAATAAATATGAACCAGCACAGAAACCGTGAATAAAAAATGGAAAAGTCAAAGAACATACAGGTATGGCATCATGAAAATTGTGACCAAGTCCCAGGTTGCTGAACTGACTTTCTGCCTCATTTACACACAATTGCAGGGTCTCAATTATTTCTCTTACTATTGAAAACACAACATACATATAGGTATATTGTTTCTCACTCTTGATTTTTTTTTTCAATTTTGCATTTCTTTATGGTTCTTTATTATTATTATTATTATTATTATTATTATTATTATTATTATTATTATTATTATCATCATTATCATTATCATTATTATCATTAATATTACATTATCGCCCCCCAGGCCCCGATGTGGGTCAGTGACTTGTGCCCAGGTGGGCTAATCCCCGTAAAAAAAAAAATTAGGGGCCCGGGATCGGCTGTTAATCAAGGTTTTACTGTGTGTATATATATATATATATATATATATATATATATATATATATATATATATATATATATATATATATATATATATATATATATATATATATATATATATATATATATATATATATATATATATATATATATATATATATATATATATATATATATATATATATATATATATAATAAGCCAAATGAAAGTTTAACACAGTTGCTATTTGCATACACTCCCTGCTCCACCATCATAGCGAAGATCAGCTGGAACACTGATTCCCTAGCAACACTCCCCACCAGCTACACTCTGTGCTTTCCTCCCGTTACGTGTTTGCCCTTAGGACAATTATTTCTTTTACTTTTTTAACAATATGTATTTAGGATGGTGTGTGCATGTATCAGTAAAAATAAAAAATAAAAATTATGTGTATCTTCCCAAAAATACGAGTTGTAAAAAACCATAACACCCCACAGCTTGGCCCAGTAACCTGATGGTTACAATTATAGGCTAACCTAGCTACAATGACATGATTAATCACTCTTCTATCAGTAAACACTAATAATAATTGTAAATCCAATGAAATATGGCAGGGAGTGAGGAGAGTTACAACTGCAGATGATGCGCTAACTAGCAGTCACTCACTCCCCTTACCCACCCCCATTGCCAGACGTAGCTAGGCATACATATGGGAGAAATACCTGACCTTCTTTTCTCTGTTCACTTGTTTGGGCACCTTCCTGCAGCTGGAAGAAGGTGGTTGAGGGCTTTGGGAGTCATCACAAGCATGAGGAGCACAGTTGTTAAGAGATCAGAGTAGCACACGCGTGAAATGGACAAATGATTAATCCGGACTGAGGTGGAGTGAGCGCACATGGCCCAGCCACCTGGGACAAGAGAGACACCTTGCGGGACTCCATGAAACTCACGAGCTCCCTGTCCCAGCCGTGAAAATGCCGCCAACTTTAAATTTACCCGCAGACATGCTTGGGTACATCCAGGGTGTCATATACAGTATATATTTACTGTATATACATTTTATCATAAGGTCACAAACATAAAGGGAATAAACATTTCTTCATGTGCCAGCGAGAGTTAGTAGGATGATTTCGGGTTTATAAGCTTGTCTTTTTTTTTCCCAGTTACTTGGACACTCAATCCTACATACAATACTTAATGTACACAAAAGTCAAAGAAATAACTATCTTTTAAGTCAAAAACATAAAGGGAATAAACATTTCTTTGTGTGTGAGAGTGGGAGGGGGAGTGTTGCTAGGGGTCGGAAGGGGGAACGTCCCCAGCCAGGGTGAGTTGCTATTGTGAGACTTGAAGGTGGCCACACACGACGCAGCCTGGGTCTATGCAAATGGCAGCTGCATTAATCTTTGTTTCCCTTAATGGTTTTAGCTGCATATTTTCGTTGAATAGTATTTTATTAACAGTTATAATGTAGTAGGTAGTATATTACAGTAATTGTGTGCTCTTTATCATTAGTTAGGTAGATTTTGTTGTTGTTTGGGAACTGATTTCATGTTTTGAGGTATGATATTGTGGTTTACGTGTCATTTGGGAACCGGGCCCTATTTTTCCCATATGTTCTTTTATTCGCTATACAGAAATTCACTTAACAAATGATTTTTCAGGCACGTAACCCATTTGTATAGTGAGGGATACCTGTACTGTATTATAATACTGTACTGGGTTAGGGGCAAGTCAGAATGGTACAGTATTTCTTGTACCTAGTACAAAATTCAATCAATCAATCAAAGTGTCATCCTCATACTTTAGGGTTGGTGTCAACGGTCTTCCATTCTAAAATGCTTTTGGACTGTCTTTACTTATCCTCCCTGATTTTGCATCTTTGGTTACTATATGTACAGTATTGTATGCTCATATATTGGGACCCCATATACAGTATTCTGTATTCTCTTTTATTATTGGTATTCACGGTTTTAGGATTCGTGTGCATTTCCAAAACCTAACCCCCCACGAATTGCAAGGGATTGCTGTATTCCAGTTCTTCCTGTATTAACACTGGACAATGAAGGTCATAACAAAGAACAGACCAACCGCCTGAATGGCTAGTAAACTGATAAATGATAGTGATATATTAAAGATAAGAATCAGAAAATTAAACTTAAAATTTGGATACCATATTGTTTCCTGCTTTAATTGCATTACCTGTGCGTATTTCTTTGTGACTTGTACCTACTATTTATCTGATGTATACTTAAAAACCGTGTTCAGTGTAAACAACAGCTTTTGTGAAATTACTGATTAATATACAAAATAAATTTAAGCCATATCATGCCTGCTATGCAAAATTTGTCTTAAATTTTTTGTTGTTACTTAGCAGAAAGCTGTTGATGTAAATGTGAATTTAACTGTGCTTAGACATCTTGCACATATTAACACAGGTTGTTATCTTTAACCATATCCTTTTCCCGATTAAAAGAAAAGTGTCCATACCATAGCATTTCTTCCTTCTTTTTCCCCTCATTACACATTATATACAGTATCATGCTATCATTCTTTTTACTGTAATGGAAGAGGTTTGAACTGCTGTAGCTTCTGGGATCTTTCTTGTTTTTCCACTTCAACTTCAGTTAATGGAATAATAAAACACATTTCCCATGTTTGAATACTGTATGTCTTTCCCCTCTCTTTTTTTTTTATGTATATAATGCAGATCCATACATTTTGTTTCAGGTTTTTTCACAAATGTTACATGTTGGGGTCCAGCTGGAGTTTGATGCTGTGCATGAGGTTTTAGGTGCGACTGTTCTGGAGCTCAAGAGAAATCAAGAAAAGATTCAGTGTCCTGGACCTAAGGATGATGTAGAGACAGTTAAGGTAAGAAATAAAATTACCCAGTAAATTTTTTATGTAAACTGCGATGAATGATGCTATTGCGCTTTGTTACCAACAAGTGCTTTGTACAGTATGTTGCATAACATCTTACGTCTCTCATTTATGTAACTCCAAGGCCATATTTTTGTATTTTCAGTTTTTGACCTTTGTTGTTTGATTTAAAGTTATTTTGTTTTAAAGTTAATAGACTTTATTGCATGCACAAGAGGGTTAAGTTACAGTTTCATCTATTTTTATAAGTAAGAAATATAAAGCTTAAGATATGTTTAAAATCCAGAACATAGACTTTTTAAATTTTCACAAAGATATGTACTACCACATAGGCCATATTAATCATTAGGTGATTTTGGATTATAGTACATCATTAGGCCAGTGTTTCCAGATTTACTTTCTTTTCTGGACAATAATTGGTATTGAATTGGTCGGGTAAATAGTGTTTTTGAAGAAGTGGTACAAGTATTCAGGGCACTGTAATTGTACACTGTGTGGTGTTTGCCTTGTCAGCTTGGCACACACATGGTATGATCTTAAGCAATTCATTTGATAGCATATACTCATTTCAGGCATGCTGGCAAAATTAAAGGCTCAGTCAGCTTTGCTGTTATTGAAGGTAACAAGTAGCATGAGAAACATATTGACAAAAAAGATTAAAAAAAATTTCTTGGCAGTATGGAAGGAGGACCAGAATCAGGAGTCCGTAGCACTAAACTCTGCATCATCAGTGAGAAGGTGCAGAAAGTGTAGAAGCACATATTGCATAGAATATTTTTGTTTTCCTAAAATTAAGATTTTACTTTTTGCTTTAGTAAGAATATTGGGTATGGGGAAAGAGGTCAGGAGTATAACTTCCCATTTGTTATGGAAAAACTAGGTTTACCCAAAATGAAGTCTCTGTAAACAATTTTTTTAGGATTACATCCTTCTTTACATCTAGGGAAGAGTATATAATTGGTCAGTTCTCATTTGGGGATGTTTGGTTTTCCAGTTTTTAATCTTTTGTAGTACAGTACAGTACTTTCTCCTTTTCTCACATGGTGTACAGTAGTTGGCTTAGTATTACTGGAGTCAACTGGCCAAATCATGAGCCCTTAAGCCATAACCAGATGACTTGGAAACCCTCCCTCCTCCCTGGGGTTCGTGATTAGGTGGAATTGAAATGGAAAAGGTTGGCCCAACCTGAATTCACTTAGGTTCATAGATGGCAGACTAGTAACCTTGGCACTGTGAGTCCTAATTGTGTAGACTGCCTCATTCTTGGTGGGTTGTATCAGGGAAAGGGAAGAGTAATCAGTACAGTATATCCAAAAGGATTAACAGATGAACCTTGATCGATGTTGAAGGGTCCTGTTTCAAGTCTCAAAGGTCCCATATAAGTTGACCAAAACTAAGAGAGCCTCTTGGCTATGTGCTCCATAGAAAAAAAAGGGCTTTCTATTTTACTCTTGTGAGAACCATTGATATAATTGATGCTGTGAAATGAGGAAAATCAAATTCTTAAGATGAAGTAAATTGAATATGTTGGGATGTTGGCTTCTTAAAGATACTTGAATACATAGACTTGTTGAAAGAGAACAAGATTATTACTTCTGGATTTCATGCTGTAATAACTAATATTTTGAGGTGGGTATAAATATTTAAGTTTTTCAAGCATTATGTTTTCTCTTTCTCAACAGGATGAAATGGAAAGCAACATGATCACTGCTTTATATCTGATTATGATTGCAATGTGTGTAGCAAAGGGTCGTTCGACGTCTCAGCCTGTTGGCGTTGGAAATGGTGGTGTTGTGGGCAACAATGGCATTGTAGCTCTTAATGGAGGCATTGCAATCGTAGGGTTTGGAATTCGAGGTGGAGAAGGAGATTCAGCGAGACCATCTCTCCAGCATCTGCATCAGTCTGTAGAGAAAGAGTCCCAAGTTCATCACACAGTATATAAGTAAGTTTATATAACAGTTGCCTAAAGATACTGCAAGTAATTCACCTGTAGCACACAGTGATGTTTTACACCAAATACAGTACAGTATAAAGTAGGTGAGGGGTTGTCAAAACATAAATGATTTAAAAGTTTAATCCTTTGTCAACAACAATGACATGACAACAGAGATGACTTTGAAAGCAGGGGTGTCATAAACTCTTGCACATTAAATACAAGTGAGCTAAAGATGAAGTACCAGATCAACAAAAATATTTTTTATAATGGTAGAGAGTGTGTGTGCGTGCGTGCTACTGTTTCCCTAACCTTACTCACCCTGCATTAGGCAAACTGTTGAACATATGAAGCACTCTGGATTGAAATGATGAATATGCCATTGAGTGAATAATCATTTGGAATTCAGTTCTGGACTTTAGGATAATTCGTTATGAATGTGGTTTGGGAGCAACACAGAGTATCCCATTTTTGGATCAGTAAAGTGACATAATATTCCCTTTTGAGATAGTATTTTATTTTCTATTGTTCATCAGTAGGACATAAGGGAATCAAATGATCTACTCTGGGTTTGGTTGTTCAATAACACCAGGAAATGCAGCAGAGACCAGGGAATGAGTACATTATGATTGGATTTTCTTACACTGCTGCAAAGTGCCCCATCATTGTTAAATGTCTTGTTGAAGAAAGGTGTAAGTTATAACTGCAATACTATATCTTGGCCAAGAGTCCAAAATATTATATGAGATAGTAAATTTGATTTCCCTCTTTTTAGCCTTGTTAGAGTTGAAGCAAGGACGCGTAGTGGACAAACTCTGTTGCACTTGGCCGTCAACCCAGAAACTCCTGTTGATGACTTCCACACAAATCATATATGCAGGTAAGACACTTATTTATATAAAATACAAAATTTATAATTCTGTCTGTGGCCATACCTAAAGTAATATTTATTCAAAACATTTAGCAAGTTATATCTCACAATCTTACATACTTGTCAGAGTTGATTGATTATTTATCTTTAGTTGCCTGAGGAAGGTTCATGAAACCACTTGAAACAACCATAGCAGTAACTTCTGCTCATGCACGTAATTGATTTAAAAATGGTAACCACTTACTTTGGGTAAACATTTGTTACTGGCTTTGGATGTTTTCATTTAAAACTTGACATTCTTCTTTTGATTGAAAATATTTAGTTCTGATTCATCACATTTTTTAAGGTAATATAAACATAAGTAGATATTGGTTATGGGTGGTACATCCGGTACAACACCAGTTAGAAGAATCGAACATTTGCATACTTTGTTGATCGTAGACCACTTTGGTTGATGAAATGCTGTAGTGGCCTTACAAAGGCACTGGTAAACTTTAATGTAACTCCTTCCTCCTCTGTCAATTTATGTACAAAATCTACTAAACTTCATTCTACACTACCACCATTTCTACATCTTCAGAGGCCTCTGATGCACTGCTCTTTGTCTCAAACCTCATAGTATAATAATAACAGCTGGTCTTTTGTTTCTCAAAAGGGCCAGTTCTTCTAAAGAATTCACGAGCACTTGAAATAAAAAAATAAAAAAATAAAAATCACAAAAAATTGCAAGTCAACTTCTATCATTCGTATATCCTTAAGTTGTAACACCTTCCTAAATCCTGTGATTATCCATCGCTGTACCCTCCTCAGGATTATAAGCTTTAAAAAAAGGAAAGGTCTAAGTGTTTCTCAAAGACCTCCACAGAAGTCAGCTGCTTCATGGATATAAGCAACTGATTGTATAATATGGGTGCTGTAGAGGTAAAGGATCAGGCAGCAAATAAACATTCTCATTTGCTCTAGGCTCTCCTCATGGCATTGAGGGATCATCTCTATAATGCAAAATCATTTCAGAATGTGTAGGTTGGCCAAATACATAGGTTCACCAAACATAAATGCCATAAAAGTCATTAAGCAGAGTTTGAACTCTGTCCTACTTTTAATTGGAACTTAATGCAATTTGATCAAGAATGGGTAGTGGGAGTCCAGTTTCTTGATAAGAGAGATAAGAGGGGTGGGGGGAGAGACTCCTTCCCCATACTATAGGCAGCAATTAAACTCATTACACAATCTAAATTTATTTAGCCATGGCCATTATGGTATGTCTCAAAAGGATTATAGAATTATAGAACACTGAACCACCTTTCTGGTGGATCATGTCGGAGCCAGGCACAATCTGTGTTGATCTTTTTACCTTGGGATATTATTATTATTATTATTATTATTTTGTATTGTTGATTGGTTTTAAGAATTTTGTTAACCCCAACAACGGCGGCATTTGGGAAATTGATGTTATCCCATATACCACCCCAAAAAAAGACATAGGAAAGTTACATTAACAAAAAATATTATTTTTAACTGAAAGAGAAAATATAAAATTTAGAGGCCATATAAACTATATACTCATCTTGGGTGGTGAGTCATGAGTTTGTGAAATGAGGTGGAGAGTAACTGGCAACTACTGAATGCTGGTTGTTTATGTGATGCAAGAGGTGGTTGTGATGACAAACAACATGGTTGTATTGGTGCAAAGTAGGTTGTGAGCCAGGCTATGGCATCATAGGTGTGGGTGAGGGACCATTGAGGACAGGAGGGGGAAGGAGGGTCAGGAGGCATAAAGAATTCCAATTCATTCAAAGATGATGACAGCAAGTTGATACTGAGGCTTCACCAGCCTTGGGTCTCACTGTAGAGTGTCTACCAATCATCGACTTTTCATTCTTGATAGGGTTTTGGGTGCACAACTTTAAATTCATGGCACCAAATGCCAATTGTCTTAAGATGATGATGGTGCAATTTCGTGTAATCATCTGAAGAAAATGATAGCAGTTAAAAGAGTTTAAAAAAATTATTGATAATTTACATATTATTTTTCAGATTTCCTTGTGCAACAACAACCAAGTTATTGATAGCGTGTGGAGCTGATGTCAACAGTATGGATAATAACCGCAACACACCACTTCATCTCATCGTTCCATACCAGAAACCCATCAGGTGATTTCACTTTATTCTTTGTAATTATGATTTTAAATAAATAGTTTCTTGATATTCTGAAATGGCAAACTCGTTCTATGAGAAATATTTGTGTTTTACCTGGTGGTACCAATTAGAACATACAGTAGTTAATGACAAACTCATCCACTGCAGGCTTAATGAACCTGACTTAAACAGATAGCATAAGTGTTAGGTATTCAGTGGAAGTTATAAGAGAGCTCTAAGTTCACAAATCCTTCCCCACAATTCTATAGCGTTAACCACACCCACTTACTCAAGTTTCATACTCATGGTAAGGCTTAACTCTTAGTAATAAGATACTTATCACTTCTAAAAGTCATAAAATGTTCACATGCATACATACTGTAGATACACACTACATACATACATACATACAATACATCTATCTTATCTATATAAAAGAAAGAAGTATGTCTGTTTGTGTGTGTTTGTTTGTTTGTTTGTGTGTCCGCACGAGAATCTCGGAAACTACTTTACCGATCTGTAGTGATGATGGATGGTGTTATATGTAGTGATGATGGGTGGTGTTATATGTAGTGATGATGGATGGTGTTATATGTAGTGATGATGGATGGTGTTATATGTAGTGATGGATGGTGTTATATGTAGTGATGGATGGTGTTATAGGTAGTGAAGATGGGTGGTGTTATATGTAGTGATGATGGATGGTGTTATATGTAGTGATGATGGATGGTGTTATATGTAGTGATGATGGATGGTATTATATGTAGTGATGATGGATGGTGTTATATATAGTGATGATGAGTGGTGTTATATGTAGTGATGATGGGTGGTGTTATATGTAGTGATGATGGATGGTGTTATATGTAGTGATGATGGATGGTGTTATATGTAGTGATGATGGATGATGTTATATTTAGTGATGATGGGTGTGTTATATGTAGTGATGATTAGACAATAAAATGATAACAGTTTAATGCTAAAAAAAATATTCTTTGCTGTACCGTTGTAGTGAAAAACATGGTGGAACTAACATACACCGTTAATGAACTATTGATGGAAGAAGAAGTTTTGGGGACTGAACAGTGAGACAATGTGGAGCCTCCCGGAGGGTGGCGTCCTACCATGGCCTGTTTCTGCTAGTTGCTACATAAAAACGCACATAATTCAATATAAATTATGAGGCTGTGACTAGAGGCCCTCCAAAAGTCACCAAACAAGTCTGGAAAGGTTTATTTCTGATACACTATGGAAAAATAATGAGCACTAATAAAATAATAGAATACAGTAGCACAAGACTGTATGAATACATCACAGACTAACCCAGTTACCTATAGAATCAGCAGTAATACTGGATGACGCTATGCATGTTAATACTGTACAGTAATCAACTTGAGGACATTTTTTTATTCTTCGTGAAACCCCTCCCTCCCCCCCCCCTTTTTTTATACGTGAATACAGTACATATTTTACTTGTGTTATTATATATATAAATTTTTTAATCATTCTTTAGTAAATTTTTAGGTGTTCTGGTCCCTGACCCCTTACTTTGTATTGAATTACATTTCTTTTTATATTGCGATTGGACTATGTTCTTTATTCATAAATGTTCTTGGACTCAATATCAAGGAGAAACCAAAGAGTATTGTATACATGTATATTTTTCCTTCACTGAAATTATACATTAATTTGCAGAAGAATTTGAAGGAGACTTTGTGTATTTGTATGAATGTATACTTTCAAAATTACTGTACTATGGATTTTGCCCTTTCTCTGCTTTTAATATTTACATATTTTACCGTTTCAGTGACTTCCTAACACTGCACAATATTATTATGGCACTTATAGAAAATGGTGCACACATGGACACAGTCAACCAGATGGGAGCCACACCTTTTGACTCTGCAACTACTGGTATGTTATCTTTCATATTAAAATTTTTCATGATGTAGTACAGGGGTGCTCATTATACTTCTTAACGATATATGTCACTTCACATATATGTCGCTAACAAATACAGGAAGAAGTTTTGATAATACGTCACTTGTTTCAAATACTGTATATACCTGTCAACAGCGCATCTGGCGACTTGGCTGGCTATGCCTGTTTCAGTTTAAATGCACTCCACACACAGTAAGTGCCCCCAAAAATTATAAAATAATTATCATAAGGTCAAAAACATAAAGGGAATTAATTATTATGTGTGTAGAAGCAAGCGCTGAGGGTGGAAGGGAGAGAACTACAGCTGGCATTTCTTCACTCACTGCTCTGCTCTTTCACCATCTCCTGCTAGATGGCAATGCAGTATTTTTTTTTTTTTTTTTATTCCTCACATTTACTGGTACAATTTATATTATTTTATGTACAAAGAATAAGTTCTTCCACACACATACTTCCCACACATCCAGCTCACGATATAGTTCAGGCAATCACCCAGCTCAGCCGACTCACAGATGTGTGGCGGCTACTGTTGTGGGTGTTTACACTGTGACGCATTTAAAGCTTAGTAGCTGACCACCTCATAATACATTTACTTCGGCTAACGGAGATATTAGTATACAGGGCCCCCCCCCAAATCTCGCAGATTTTTATTTCGCAGTCCTCTATTATTCATGGTTGACACTCTGGATGTACCCAAGAATGTCTGAGTAGTTTTAAAGTTGCCGGCATTTTTGCGGCTGGGATAGGGAGCCGTTTGTTCTAGAGACAGTAATTTCCTTTATCTGTATTGTAAATATATGTGTGTTTGTAGACACACATATATACAATACTGTACAGGTAAAATACATAATTGTCCTGAGGGCAAACACATCAAGGGAATATACACAAGTACTAATTTTTCCTATACAGGGTATATTTCTTTATCTTTTCTTTTTAAACTTAGGGTTTTCAGGAACTGTATTTTCATAAATTGGAGACTGCATTCATTTTTAATAATAATTTTGAAGCACAATTTCAGTGCTTCATATCTCATTTATTAAGTAAGTTTCTTAATTTTTCCCACTGTTCAAAATGATAAAATTCAAATGCTTTTACTTTTTTCTTTTAATATTTGATATTCACCCAGTCAGCAGTTATGATAGAAAGTTGCAATTGCTGTCTGTAAAAGGTTAAGTTATATTACTGTAGTGAGGTACTGATCCTTACACTGACCTGTTTTGTACACTTAATTTTTTATGTTATTTTACCCTTTCCCTTGTTGGCTTGAATTAATGAGATTTCACAATAGGCAACACATTAAATAGAGATGACCCTGATACCCTGTAGATAACCAGTATGCAACCTATCTGGCTGGATAGTAGTTTACTTATTCTACTTTATTATTATTTTATTTCTTTTCACAGGTGTGGCGGAGATAATTCTCAGAACTCAGAAAAAATTAAGTCTCAAATGTCTAGCAGCCAAAGTGGTAAAAATTAATGGAATCTCATATAAGGGTCAAGTTCCTCGACATTTGGAAGCTTTTATTGAACTACATGGACCGGGCCATGTTGATGGACTTTCTAATAGGCCTTGCAAAAATGAACATAGGCTATGAAGACCTGTATCTTAAGAGTGTAGTACTGTATGTTATTGTTGTTATTGATCTTAATAAGTAAAGAGTTTAACATGTTGAATGCTTTCTCATTTTTAATTTATTCAAGACTAATCATTTATTTCATGAAAGGATGCTGGTAAGTATATATATGTCCCAGGTGGATATGCATATGGAGCAAATCTTAACACAGTATTACTTTAAATTCACCCACATATGACTTTGCTACATACGTTATGTCTACAACATCATGTGTGAGATTGATCCCATGTTTCATTATCTTGTCTCAGTTGTACATATGCCACCAGATGTGGTTATTAAAGCTTTTCTGTACTATGGTTTTCATTATATCTTATACCATCATTTTGTACAAGACAATCCACCTAAAACATTGCGATCCACGCCATCATTAGAATATCCAATTGAACTTTGCATGACTTATTACTTAGATTTATTCATCTTTTGGGGTATATTTTCCTTCAGTCCAATATATCAGTCATTTTATATGTATCTTTTTCTTACAAATTAAATTAAATATCAACAAGATATTAATGCATTAGACCAGGGAGGTCAAAACGTTGATCAAGATCTACTGATCGTTTCAACCATGACAACCATAAAGTTGTTATTTACTGAAATTGATTTTTTGAGAGTTAAAAGCAAAGAATCTTTTTGATAAATCAAATAATAAATGGTGATCTTATACTGTATTAAAATCAAAATAACTGATACAATTTCATCTTGTGGCCCTTGTGGCAGAGTTATCACACACAGTTTACAGTAATATATTTCATAGAGGAGCTATCAATATAATGTTTAGTAAAAGAATTTGAGTAGAACAAAGTGAAAATAACTATGATACTGTAGCACATCTTCATTGTCTTTTGTGTAAGAACATGAGATAAGTTTTAAGTTTTCCAGTTCCAAGATCGAAAATGGAATGTAATGGAATGTAATAATGGAAAAAAGAAATGGAAAATATAAAATTATATAAAGGATAAAAATAACTCCTCTTACACATATGAATTATTAATTAATGAGATAGAAAGAAATAGAAATAATAACAAAACCTACATAATACCCCTTTTATATACAGTATATATTAAAAAGACAGTAAAAGAGAAGTAAATAATTCAACAACCCCCCTCCCTTACAGTACAGTATATGTCTTTTGGTCAATGAAATGCCACTCAAACCTTCCAGAGATACATAGACCACATCCTATGTGACAATGGATTTCGTCACCATCTACATAGAAAACATCCTAATTGCTTCTCGTACCTGCGCCAAACACCACTGCCATCTGTGCCACCTACATCACTGCCTTCAGGAGCACAACATCAAGATTCATCCCTTTATTTCCTCCGCCACAGAATCTTGTCTGATAGCATACAACAAATCCTGCAGAAGTTGACAGCCATACAAGATTTTCCGAAATAAATGACTGCAAAGAAACTGGGAATTCTTGGAAATAGTCAACTAATACCACGGCTTCATCACCCAGGTTGCTGATATTCTCGCCCATCCCCATGATCTCCTCAGAGGCGTTCCAAAGTCATCCTGCCAGCCTCTCACCTGGTCCTTGGAGGCAACAACAGCATTCTCCTTCACAAAAGACCACATTGCAAACCTCACCCTACTCTCCCACCCTGCCCCAGATGCTAAGACTGTCCTCACTACAGATGCTTCATCTACCATCTTATAAGAGGAGGTCAGTGGAGACCTCATGTGCATCTCCTTCTACTCACAACAACTCCAACCATCCCCCCTCAAATACAGTACCTTTGATCTTGAGCTGTTGGCTACATACCTCGTGGTCAAGCATTTCCGGCACTTCCTGAAGGCCTGCCAGTTCGCCATATTCACTAACCACAAGCCACTCACCTACACCTTCTCCTTGAATTCAAAGTCACACTCCCCAAGAGTCCTCCAGCACCTGGCTTACATCCCGGAATTTACCAGTGATGTCGGACACATCAAGGGGTAACACAACGAAATCGCTGACACACTCTCATGGTGTTTCGACTACAATCATTTTTCTGCCACCCAGCAAGATGATGAAGACCTCGCCTCCTTCAAGACATTGCCCACCGGTCTTGTCCTCCAGAAACTGCCCATCCCTGGTACAAACATCAAGTTGTGGTGAGACATCTCCTGTAGTCGGCCCAGATCATTCGTCTCGTGCTCCCTCTGCCATACCATTTTCGACCACTTTCATGGATTCAACACACACACGCATGCAAGCCTCTCAATGTCTTCTCATTCAACACATCGTCTGGCCTGGCATCAAATCAGACTCCCAAACATGGGCTGCCCAATGCCTGGCTTGTCAATCCTCTAAGATCCACCAGCACAATCGTGCTCCAGTGGAGATATTCCCACTACCATGGGGCCGCTTCAAGGTGTTATATTTGGTCATCGTTGGCCCCCTTCCCACCTTCTGAGGACAGACCTACCTCTTCACCTGCATTGAACACTTCACAAGATGGGCAGAAGCCATCCCTTTGCCTGGTATCACTGCCAAAACCACCACCCTGACATTCCTTTCTGGTTGGGTTTCACGTTTTGGACCCTCGACAACCGTCATTACAGATTGCGTGGCACAGTTCAAGTTGCATTTCTGGCTAGATCTACAGTTCCTTAGTGCCTTCCGTCATCACACCATGGTCTGCCACCCCCATCAAATGGTATGGTGGAATGCTTTTATCACCAGCTGAAGGACTCTATCAAGCCTTAACCCCATCCTTACCGCTGGGTGGATGACCTCCCTCTGGTACTCCTCGGCATTCAGGCCATGCGCAAGGAAGACCTCCACTGCAGCCCGGCGGAACTCACCCTTGAAGAACCCCTTTGCCTCCCTGGAATTTTTTTGCTCACTCAGGAGCCTGACTGTATCACCCCTGTTGCCCACCATGACTTACTTCAAGCATTATGGCAGTTAGTCGCATCATTCAAGGCCACTCCTCCTTGCCAATCATATTGCCACCCCAACAACATTTCCACAGTTCCCCTAGACACTGAACAAGTTCTTGTCAGGTGTGACACCCACTAGACCCCACTCCAGCTCCCTTACAATGGCCCTTTCCCAATTGAATCCTGTTCAATAAAATCCCTGACCATTGACCGCTTCAGCAGACATGACGCCATCAACATTGACTGCTATAAGCCAGCCATCTTGCCCAGTGAGATCCCAAGTGGACCCAGCATCATCCCCCTCCCCCGTTCTCAGACATCTCTCATTCCCTAGCCTCTCTCCATCAACATCAACTTCACCGCATCCACAAGACATCTGGTTACCTCCTACTATTTCCTCTCCTCGTCCTGAGGACACATTATCTTTTCCTTTCAGGGCGTCGACACCCATATCAGCCACAAGATTCACACCCCAGCCCACTATACCTCCTTTGTCTATGACAGCCACCAGAAAGCTTCAGATCCCTGCGACCATCCTGGAGTTGCGAAGGAGGGGGGGATGGAATTGTAGGGGGACATCCTACAAAATCACACGAGCATGCACTTTTTTCTGGTCCATGCGCTGATTAGGCATCACCATTTAGCTAACCATAGGCCAGTTCTTGATTCTAGCGCTCTGATGAGCTATCGGACCAACCGTGTGCAGACAGCTGCTGAACCAAACGCAGACCATTTCCCACAGTGCACTTCACGGAGATAAAAGGGCACGCAAACAATCAACTAATATGCCCCGTTAACATACGCATTCAACGGACTCCAGTTAGCACCACCAACCAACATAAAAAAATTACAAGTCATACAGAATAAAGCACTGAAGTTCACACACAACACACACACACAAATGAACACCAACTCCTGTTTTCCCTAGCTTGTCCAATTACTATTAGGGGGTGGTCCTCACCACCCTAGGATCAGCCCCATGTGGGGGTAATAAAACCCCACCCCCCTCCCCTCGTAATGGGAAAGGGGAAAACCTGGACCGAAATGACCAAGGTAGTGCCTCATCACGAAGAGGTGTACAAGGCATGAAATTGCCTAGGCCACTAACAGATCGACAAACGGAAGACTATCAGGTAAGACCTGACATCACCCGAATCCGTAGGTACCAGAGGAATGGCCAAGACTCCTTTGACGGCAGTAACGGATTTATTATAAATAAATGTATGAGGGTCGCCATTGGGGACGTGGCGAAAGTCCGGAGCCTGAGGAACGGTGAACTTCAGGTCGAGCTGATGAACTGTAGTCAGATTAAAGAGGTCATGAAACTTTAATTCTTTCATACATATGAAATAGAGGTCTATGTACCTAACTTCCTCATTACCTGCAAAAGGGTTGCAACCAGCCCCGAATTTCAGTATTTCAGCGAAAAAGATATTGTGATTAGATTTGTAAGTGCCAGCAGTTTGGACAACACAAAGTACTGCAGGAACCCTGCAGTATGTGTGCATTGCGCCCATAACAGTGTGCACGAGGAAGAAAGTACATCTGCTACCTTGAAGTGTAACAACTGCAAGGCAGATCATACTGCTTCTGACCGGACCTGTGAGGTCTGTAAGAAGGAGTAGGAGATCTGCATAGATGTTGCACTACGAAGACTTGGCTATAGGGAGGCAAAAAAACTTGTGGAAGAAACCCAAGCCCCTACACAGGGAGTCTCATATGCCCAGATGGCTAAAGCTAAGGTGAAGATAACCAGCAGTTCTTGCCAGGCAGACGACACCTACGAAATTACTACCAATCGACAAAATTTTAATGGCAAGACCAAGAAACATTAACGGGACGCCCCCAGTCCCTACTACTTCGACTGGAAAGAACAACACTAATACAACTAAGACGTTCTGTACATACATGAGCAACTGCCTCAAATAGAGATTGTATTAACAGTCAGAGCCTCCATACCCATCTGTACGTACAAGAGTTCGTAGACGAAGCCAAGTTATTCAGTGAAATTAAGAACCAGACGAACTGTGAAGACCTATAGCAAGATCTCTGTCAGCTTCAGGTGTGGTCAAAAGAATGGCTGTTTAGATTCAATGTCATCAAGTGCAAGAAGATGCACCTAGGTGCGTACCGACAGTAAGGAGGTGTATCATATGTCCCAACGGAGTGAAGAAACAGCTAGTAGGTCTTATAAGAAGGTTAAGATATTCAGATGGTCCACCCCTTGTAACTTTACTTTTTACTTTTTTACCTTTATCCTTTTCGCCACTGATCAACTCGTTAGCGGCTTTGGTGCTCGGTCATGTCTCTGGTATGCATCGTTGGCAAGTACAGTACTGGCTCACACTCGGTTTTGTCACACCACTAAGAACTCTAGGAACAATCTGCCAGACGGGGTGACAGTACTCCAGATGGGGAAGCACTTCACTCTTGAAGATCGTTACGAGGGAAGGACCGTCGGGATTATGATACGCCTCCTTATCGTTGGTACACCCCAGGTGCATCCTCTTACACTTCGTGACATTGAATCTCAGCAGCCATTTCTTCGACCATTCTTGGAGCTCACTGAGATCCTTCTGCAGCTCCTCACAGTCCGCCTCAGATTAAAGAAACAACAAGTTCAGAAAAATATCAGGACAAACTTTTCTTGGAGTGAGAATTGTGAAATCTTGGAATGTACTGCCAGAGAATTTTGTCATGGCACCAAATGCGAGCAAGGTCCTGGATGCATTCTGGAGACTTGAGCCAGTGCATGCCTAGTATATATAGTACCTGTACAGTACTTGTTAACAGTGAGTGACAGACGTAACCAACCGCCAAACGGATAACAGGCTTGTGGGGGTTCAAGTTGTTTGTTTCACACTCAGGATGGGATGGAGAAAGGAAACTCACAATGTGCTCTCTGTATACATGTTGTATTGGATGCACAATGCAGCTTGGTGCTGGGAAGGCAGCATGGTTACAAGCGTGATGTAGAGAGAGCTGGTTGGTGAGGATGCTCACAGGAGGACAGCTTGTGGGTCGCCATGCTCGCCGGCGGGAGCGAGGACCGCCAGGCAGGCGGAGGAGGAGGAGGTGTTGCTGGCTGGTTGGTGTAAGTAGAAAGAGACAGGTCACAACGAGGTCAGGTTTTAAATAGCGGGGGGTAGGCGTGGCTTAGTAGTTGACCCCCGCTCCGTGATGTATGGCGGCGCTGGTTGACCTAGACCACTAGGCATACACTGGGGAATTGGTGGGGTCGGCTACTCAGCGACAAACAGCGTTTGTAGGGGAGAAATCCACTACAGGCTAATCAGTGGCGGAAAAGATAAAGTAAAAAGAGGAAGTCTGGCATATCATTTATAAAGTAACGAACAACAACGGTCCCAATATATACTGTACTGCCCTGCCAGATGCGGCACCCCACTTGCCACGGGTACACTTTACGATTCCTTGCCATTCATCACCACAAACTACCCTGGGATATCCAACTCGTCACGGACATAAATGACGATTGCTTGCCATTAATTACCACACACTGTTTGCGGTCAATAGTCATGAAGTAAGTATCTAATTTACACCAGGACGTTCCCTCGAATTTCCCTTCTAACTGCTATTAAACCTTCATTCTTTCATGTGAGTTACTCTTGCCCATGCCAACATTGCGAAACAGAAATGATCTACCCATTCGACCATCGAACTGACGAGAGATCTGACCAATGACGAAGAGGATAAAGTAAAATTATAAGTACATAATTGAAGCAAACTGCTAGTCCAACAGTAATTGTGAAACAGTCGTCAAATTTGAACCAGCTTATAGTATAATGACTTTCAAAGATTAAATATTTTACGTGATAAGAACGAGCCCGGTGAGGGTTAACGTACAGTAATACATTATAAGAAATACTAGGTCGTCAGTGAAATACGAAATAAACTATTGATAATATTAAGGTTAGGCATGAGAGGTTTTCTATGGTGCAGGGAGGATGTAAACAAGAGGAGAACAGTGATAGTGAGCCCTGCTGGAGGACCACAGTGCTTCCTGTGCTATTACTCCCTATATCCCTAGCACTTGTTGACAGAAGAGCCACACTCTAACAGTAATGCTTTGACTGTTGGTGTAATGATTTAAGCACTATAAATAATCCCTGGCCATTCGTAGTAGTAAGTATTGTATTCGAAATAAATGTAAACGGTGTCAGGTGGTAGGAAACAAGTACTGACACCTACTGCTTTGAAACTTTTGTATATATATATTTTTCTCGAAGCTAAAGCTAAGAGAATAATTAATTGCAAACCCTATGAAATTTAGATAAATTACGTTAGGGCATATCATTATAACTGTGTGTAAAAGTGACATACGCTAAAAATTTTAACTTTATTTTGGTGTTTTGGAGCTGAAAGTTTCAGCCTGAAACTTCATAATTAGTTCTGCTGAGTTATTTCTCTATCTAAGAGTAGGAGAGAAGTCCCAGTTTCATTAAAGCTAGAAAAGATAGGCTTTGGGTAATCAACTTACTTTAGGGTTCTCAAGAATTAGTGATAAGTTATGTTCCTCATCACTGTATACTGTATCTGAATTTTTATTATATATATATCAGTTTTTATTATATGATTACAATGAATCTGGTTAAAAAAAATGGAAGAAGTATTATAATGTCAGTTTTTAAATAAAGTTTAGGAAGTATCATTTAATGTCACCATTTTTTGGTTCTATTCCTGTAAAAATAATATGACTTGAGCTATGATATGTTCTTTTAAAAATTATTTTATTAATTGAGTTTAAGACTTATCTTTTATAGTATATCCCATATTTCATAAGAATTTTACCTTCAAAATTTTATGCAGGAATTAGACAGAAATGACATTTTATCTCATCAAAATCAAACATTGGATTCACATGTGTAATTTTGTGATGCAGCCAGAGCACAATTCGTAAATGCAACAAACAATTGGATGCATGGATTCATAGACACTGAAGTTAGGAAGCTTCATGCAAATCATGTCCTCTGTGCATGTGACAAGTGGGTCACCAGAGCTATAGTCATCTCTTAGTTTCTGGTCCATTTTCTGGACTGGTGCCCTGGGTTTGTGGTGGTGAGCATGGTTGGGGGACATCACATTCTGATTTTACCCAACAGCTGCCATCATGCAATATTGATTAACCTGCACAGGTATGGAAAATGTCCAAAGGAGGGCCACCAGACCGGTGCTTGTACTTCGGCACCTCAGTTACCCTGAGAGATTAGAGCACCTGAAATTGCCTAGCTTATACTACAGGCGGGCAAGGGGGGACGTAATTGAGGTGTATAAACATCTCAAAGAGGTCATAGCTCAAAGTTGAAGAAGCCGCAAGCCCAGAAAACTGTGAGGGGTAACTTTTTTGGAGTGAGAGTTGTGAACTCTTGGAATAATCTGTCAGAGAGTGTTGTGACGGCACTGAGTGTGAGGTCTTTCAAGACCAGACTTGATAAGCACTGGAGCAGGTTCAGTGACATTCAGGAGCCAGTGCATGCCCAGTATTTGCCAACAGGGCATAACAGAGACGTGACCGATCGCCCAAGCAGCTGACTAGCCTATCAGTGGTGAAGAGGATAAAAAGTAAAAGTAAAACATTGATGATGATGATGAACAAGGTCTCATTTTAGTAAGAGTGATATATTGTACATCACTCAGTGGTTCATTCCTGTTAGAATCAGATACAGCTACCTTTTACAGTAGTACTTGTAGTTCAGTTGTATATTTGGTAATACACCACTGGAGCATATGGCTAACACCAGGAGGAGTTGTTTGATTTCATTCATGTTTTCCACAGATGCTCTTTGGATGATAGTAAGTAATAAAAGTTATTTATTTATTTATTTTTTTTGTAAGTACAGCTCCTCCTCGACTTACGACGGGGTTAGGGACCCAAATCCAGGTCGTAAGTCGAAAATGCTTAAATAATACTTAGAAAATCTAAAATGGGTGTCTCTTTTTCTTCTCAACACCACAAAACTCACTTTTAAGTTTGCCAGCCATTTTAAAGTGAATTTCAAATGAAAATTTTGTCTGTGTACTGACTCTGACATTGGAACTAAAAAATACGTAATTTGACAAAATTTTGGTATGACTGAGGCAGGTCGTAAGTGCGGGTGGTCGTAAGTCGAGTAGGTCGTAAGTCAGGGAGGAGCTGTATTTACTTCTTTATTTTTTGTTTTTCTCTATGATCATAAATCACCTGTAGTGGGTAGGGTATGAATGAAGAAGAAAATTGCAGGGTAAAACTCTTGAAAAACTGATCATGTGACAGTAAAATGACATCTACGTGCTTTATACGCGAAGAAATTAATATTTGCCATTACTGTTCTACTGTATTCCTAAAAAAAATTCTATGTTGCCTGCTTGTGTTGTTGTCTGCTGTTTGTTTTCGCTCGGTCCGAGTGTACTCTCACGTCTACAAAAAATGTAAATTTACACTGAAGCTTCAACAAAGTTGTTTTCATTGGTGCCAGATATCAAAATAAGTACTTTCTGTTCAATATGCCGGGGGTCCCCGGGGCGTAACCTAACCTAACCTAACCTAACCTCGACTAGTATTTGGTGTCACGAAGTCACAAAAAATTGGTAAACTTAATTTAATCCGAGTTAATAGATCGAGTGCATGTACCTAACCTAACCTAACCTAACCTAACCTCGACTAGTATTTGGTGTCACGAAGTCACAAAAAATTGGTAAACTTAATTTAATCCGAGTTAATAGATCAAGTGCATGTACCTAACCTAACCTAACCTAACACAACTCAGATTAGATTAAGTTTACCAATTTTTTTTTGACTTTATGACACCAAATAATAATCGAGAAGTGATTCACAGCCTGAATTACGCTTGTACGACCATCATTTGAATTCATTACGGCTACATTTGGCTACATTTGGGTAATTCCTCGCTCCCTCGGTACATGCACGCGATCTATTAACTCAGATTAAAGTAAGTTTTCCAATTTTTTGTGACTTTCTGACACCAAATACTAGTTGAGAAGTGATTAGCAGTCCGATTTATTCATGTAGGACCATTATTTGACTTCATTGCGGCTACATTTGGGTACATTTGGGTAATTAGCCGGACCGGGGTGGAGTGGCAGCGGTAGTAGCTGGTTCTTTCTTGAAAAAACATGGTGAATGGTAGTTGTTTTCTCTTAGCATTGAGGTCTTTAAACATTTCCTTGTAGTTATTCACACACTCAGGCCGTACGGTGCGCTAACAAGCATTCACTGTCTCTGGTTTGAGTTCATTGAATGCTTCACTGATGTTGGTAATGCAGTCCACAATGCTGTACTCCTTCCGACACTTGCTAACATCAAGGTCAGGGTCTTCATCCATGGCACTAAGGATATGACCAAAAGAGTGGCATGTATAATATTCCTTGAAGGTATGTATTACACCCTGATCGAGAGGCTGGATAGGAGCAGTGGTGTTAGGGGGTAGGAACACCACCTCTACACCTGGATGGCTAAACTGTAAACTTTCTGGGTGCTTGGTGCATTGTCTATCAATACAGTAAGGCCTCGCTTAATGTCGGGGTTACATTCCTAAAAACGCGGCGTTATACGAAACAACGTTAAGCTGATCAATTTGCCCCATAAGAAATACAGTAGATAAAATACGGGAGTTACGTTCCTGAGCCTCCCTTTGCCCCATGAAATACATTACATATACAGAAAATCATTGCCATTTCTATAGAAAATAGTGCATACATATACAACTACTAAGTTTGTATTGGTACTCAGTGGCGGCTCGTGAAAAATAAAATGGAGGGACTGCAAGCCTCACACCGAGTCCCCACCAAACAATAAGCATGGAATTTCAGAACAGTACAAGCAGGAACAAAGAATATACACGCCAGTTTAACATCAGTGTTTATCAGAAATGTGAATGGCTCTGTGGCTGTGACGAGGCAAATACTTTATTCTGCTTTCCATGCTTATTGTTTGGTGGGGACTCGGTGTGAGGCTTGCAGTCCCTCCATTTTATTTTTCACGAGCCGCCACTGTTGGTACTCACCTATGGGCGGAGGTGGTAGAGGGAGTGTGTGGTGGGTAGTGAAGCAGAGGAGGAGTATGGCGGGAGTGGAGGAGTATGGCGGGAGTGGAGGAGTATGGCGGAAGCGGAGGAGGGCGGGAGAGAAGGAGGTTGGTGAGTCACAGAGACTGTGACTGTTCGATTACACCTACTGTCCTGACAATTATGTATCTAGGGGTGTTATATGGAAGGAGTTTTACAATTAGAGAGGTAATATTAAGTGTGTCTGTCTGTCCCAGTCAGTCTCTGTCTACAGTACATATATGTCTGTGTTTGTTTGTCTATTTGTCTCTTTGCCTGCCTGCTTGTATTTGTCTGCCTGTCTGTTTTTGTTTGTGTGTTTGTTTCTCTCTCTGTTTGTTTGTTAGATTGTTAGTCTTTCACACACAAAATATTGTCTTACAATATTGTCATAGTTTATTGATAAGCTACAAGACATCATCTCTCATTGCTTCTTTAGATGTATGTACTGTACCTAATGATGTATTACATAGGTATACTTACTGTACTTTACTGTACAGTCTCTGCTAACTATAGTGTTGACAGGACTTTCTATTTCAGATATATCAACACCTTCTATACTGCAGCAGCCCAACAGAGCAGAGATGGATAGAACGAATTTTGCTGTTCATGCCCATATATGCTTTTAATTCCTGGCTATCAATCCTCTTCTTCAACGACAATTATTACATCTACTTTGCCAGTATCAGGGACTGCTAAGAAGGTAAGTATTAAAAAATGAATACTACAGTAATTGTAATGTTTTCAGTCAGTTGCAAGGTCAGACTTTGCTTTCACAATGTACAAAAGTAAATTTGGTTTGAATTTTGGGGTAATGCAGGGCTGCCACAGGTCAGGGAAAGTGGGGGAATTTAGTGGCAGGTCCTGGGAAATATTGTATATTTAGAAAAGTAGGGCGCATAACTCTCACCATTATGTCATGGGTTCGAGCCTCGGCCCGGACACACATGAGAAGGGTGTTATCCAGTGTGACCCTACCAAACACCACAGGTATCCCGGGTATTATTGCGGAGAAAACTGAATACCGGTATGTAAACTATGGGAGTTCTTTAAGATGATTATTACCCTATCAGATGAATGGGGGTTTTAGCATCAATAAAGATGCAGTTGAAGCTCACATGTTGGAGCAAACTGTAGTGGCACAAAAGAATGATCTGTGATGGGGTTTCAAACATTTTAGCTGAAGAGAAAGGCAACATGTCAAAGGTGACTGCTACTTAAGAAATGTGGAAATATTGCAGTAGGGCTAGGATAAAATGTAAAATCTATTTAAGTGAAAAGAGAAATACTGTATGCACAAAAATGAGTGTTGAAACTGAAAAGTCTTGACAAAAAAAAGAAATGAATGCAGAAAAGAAAATGAAGCTTAAATGAGAAAATGTATTTATATAGTTAGAAAGTCTGATGATTTAGCACAAAAGCTAAAAAAGAAAGAAAACTGTCAATACTACACTTAATACTTGTCGAGTCCAATGCATTACATAAAAGGTCCTTAAAAATTAAAGGTGTTTTGGAAGATAGAGTTGCAAAAATTGTAAAACTTGAAGATCTGTTGAAAAAATTGCAATGCATATTGCCCAGCTACATCGTATTGAATTCTAACAGCCTATCATACCTTGCTTCTTTGTCAGTTAAAGTACTGAACCGTACTGCATTGAGTGTATTTATAGACCAAATTTGCTTCTTCATTAATGTTATATATATATATATATATATATATATATATATATATATATATATATATATATATATATATATATATATATATATATATATATATATATATATATATATATATATATATATATATATATATATATATATATATATATATATATCTATATATATATATCTATCTATATCACAGGCTACAGTGTTCACTTGAGAATTTTATTTATTTTTGCACATTTTTCATACCTAAAGTGTTCACTTATGAATTATTATTTTTTGCAGAGTATATTTATTTTTTATCTTGTACAGTATTCAATTGTGAACTATTGTTTGTTGAGTTCATGTAATAAACTGATAACAAACAAACAAACAAATGTTCGTTGGGTGAAGAATGGAGGCTGTAAGGGGAGGTGGAGGCCTTAAATCCTTACATTATTTCTGTACTGTACAAGTTTAGTTTTATCAGATCACTTAAGTTTTTACACTCAATGGGCCATCCTTAAGGATGCAGTGATCTGGTTGAGCCAAAATTCCTTAAACCTTACCACTTTTTTATATATTTTCTCTAAATCTTCAACACATTATTTTCTTCCTATCTTAACCAAAGGCATCAATTTAGTTTTATTCAGTTTTGGTCATTTGTTTTGTTACAGGGCAGTGGTCACATTTCATGATAAAATTGGTTGTTGAATTATATGTTAGCAATGGTTGGTAGTGTTCCATTGGGATTAACTCTTCAGTTGGAAACTGAAAGATCTTCCCATGGCCAAAACCCCAAATGACAAGTCCCAGAATGTGGGAGAATACATCCTCCAGTGTGTGATCACCATATCCTGCCTCAGATTCATACAAATTATCAACTCAAACTTATTTTGTCTCCTTTAAGTAGTTGGTGAATTTATCAGAATTCAGTCAGGGAAAGTCAGAGAATTTACTTCTAAAATTTCTGTGGCAACCGTGTAATAGATATTTCGATGAATAATAATTTTTTTTTTGTTCGTGTAATTTGCTTGTGATAATAAGTATTTTTCTTGCTTTGTTTTCAGATGCTATAATTTTGCAGTATATATGTCACAATGGGGGATGAACCACCTCCATTGCCACCAAAGCTTAGGTCTGTGACTGGGAGCCGGTACACTGAACAAGATATTGCCAAAGCATTAGAAGAAGAAAACAAAGAGTATGAGCGGATCAGGAGAGAGAAGCTTGGGCGGTCACAGTCCCAAAGATCTGCCTCCTTAAAAGACGATGGACTACAAGGTGACTCATTTTTGTGAAGTTGTAGATTGTTTATTTTTTAAGTACCATACAATATGCTCAGGCCTCCTCTATATAAAGAATGAGGATGAGGGTTTGTTCTGTAGGGTCTTATTCACTTATACTGTACCAGTAGATGTGAGAAATAAATAAAAATACTACTAATAACCAAAAAAATACTGCATTACCATTTGTCAATCATTTCACTACACACAGGACACTGGATTCAGCAAACAGCCAAGATTCCCCACGTATATCTACCAGAATTTATGAGTTTAAAAATGACTACTATAACATAGGTCACAGCTTGCACGAAGAAATGTTTATTCCCTTTGTTTTTGACCCCATGGTAATTATTTTATTTTTATTTTATTTTATATATTTTTTTGCTCATTCTATATGAAAGATTGTGTGTGCATGTAACTGAGTGAAAAAAAAATTACATATACCATCTACCCAAAATTATGAGTTGAAAAATAACCATAACATAACTCGGGCATCCTTCTCTCTCTCTCACTGGTTCTGCGAACATCCTCCAGGCATTCTAGATGGTAACATTTTTCTCTACTGGTGAATTTAACCACTATCCTGGCCCATACGAGGAAATTAGTGGCAGTGGTGGCGACAGTGAGAAAAAAGCGCATTTATACTGTGAGAACTTTTGAAAAAAAGTCAAGATATTGGACTCACTAAAGAGTGGAGTATTGAACTCTGAAGTTACGCATCATTTACCTTATTATAAAAAAGGGGGTTATACGTCTAGTAAACCCTTGAAAATCTGGACAATTTGGGGGGAAAAGGAATTTGGACTTGCTGATTGTCTGGACCTTTACCAATTTTTTATTTATTATTTATTTATTTATTTAATTTTATTTTTTGGGGGGGGTCTGGGGGCCACTGTACTATGAAGCCACTCATTAACCTCCCCCCCCCCTCAGTGGCTCTTAAATTTTTATTTTTATTGGCAATAAATGTCATGTGTGTTTTCTTTTGCATTTTCCCTTTAATTTGAAGTCAAATTACTGTATAGTACTAATTATATATCAAATTTTTCTAGAATTTAATACTGTGTGTTATATCATTTATGATGAAACATACACCATAATAGGCTGATCATACGAGAATATAATACAGTGGTCCCTCGATTAACGAATGGTTCAATTAACGAAATTTCAGTTAACGAATTATCTCCCATAAGGATTTTCAGTTCCATTAACGAACAAAACTTCGATTAACGACAGCCTTATGAGAAACACGCTTTGTTGTGTGCATCAGCTGATTGGCTAGTCCGCCAATACAGTAATTGGTTCTATGTTTACATTCGTTTCCAGTGGAATAAATATCAAGAAAGTTGTGCTCTTGAATATTTTTGCATTTTTTATATTAAAATTATTGGTAATTCTGAAATTTAGTTAACATATTGATAATATATACAGTACAGGGAACAGTTTTTGTGCGCCCATCAGCTGATCGAATTACCCAACAACGCTTCTCAGTTTAACTTTGTTTACAGTGGAGTGAATATCGACTTTGTTAGTCTCTTGAATATTTTTACATTAAAATTATAGGTCATTCTGAAATTTAATTAACATATTGATAATATACAGTGCAGAAATTATTATAAAACATGAAGGCATTAGAACCAATGCAATCTGTAAAGAATATGGCATTTCATCATCGACTGCCTCTACAATCAGCTGTGTGATATGTAAACAAAGCTGCCGGGAATACGACGTACACACCTTAAAGTACCGGTAAATTAAAATACAGTGCTCTATTGTTTTTTATTTATTATTGTACAGTACAGTACTGTATTTAGTTTATATTTAATGTTTTGCTAATTCTATTACTATACAGTACTATACAGTACAATTCTATACAGTACTTTGTATGTACTTTTTTTGTGAGTTGGAACCAATTACCCAATATCCCATTGAAATAATAGATTCAGTTAACGAAAATTTCGGTTTACAACTGATTCTGTGGAACCAATTGTGTTTGTTAATCGAGGGACCACTGTAATGAATAAATTAAAACAAACTGGCAATCACGGCAAGGTCAATCCCCCCCCCCCCACCAGCAAGTTTACACAAGTGTCATCTCTTGTACCTATTAGCTCTCATTAGGCCTATATCAAATCTGATTAGACCACTGTACAGTATCCCATGAAAGAAAATACTGTACAGTACATTATATATTTTAATAATAAACAAGGTAATTCATTTTATAAAAGGTAATTTATTTGGTTAGCTATAAAGCTAACCAATCACCACACTGCATTATGGGCAAGTGCATTTTAAGAGTGGGGGAATTAACTGCTTAGTCACGGGTCTGAGAGGAGGAAAGAGGCCAAGGGATTGATTGCTGGAGACAATTTTAAATGACTGCTTGCAGCAGGAATTTCAAATGACAAATATTTAAGGTTTTGGACAAATGTTATCTTGCCCTGAAAGGGTCCGGACTATCTGAAATCCAGAATTATGAGGTCCAGACTTTCGAGGGTTTACTGTATATAAGAAAGACCTGAATACAGTATGCTTGAATTTTGTGCTTATGTGGTTATTCCAGGAACATAACCCTCATGTACTCAGAGACCCTACTGTATGTGTATGTAAGCTGTAACATAAAAATGGCAATATCTCAATGAAATTAACCTCCAACCCCGGAGATACTTACTGCGTGGGAGACAGCTGAGCATATGTTGCAGACAGTAGTCCTGTTGCCTCTTCTGCTTCCCCATGAACCCAAATAATCAGACTCGTAAACCCAAAGAAGAAGACACCAATTTGTAATTCTGTTAATAAATGCTTTGGATTCATGAGTCTGAATCTAGGGGTTTGTGGAACAGCAAAAGAGTGAGTGTACACTCGGTAAAAAAACTCTTTACAATTCATGTGCAAAACAAAATGACACCACAAACGAAGGTTTTTGGTCAATGCTCAGGAGGCATACTGTTATTCACCAATCATAATGTTCAGGTCCAAATTCATCGGACCATTCCTGAAAGATACTTTTTTTACTGAGTGTACATACAGTACATCCACTATTTCCTGTGTTGCTCGCTGATGACAGCACCCTTACAGCTGTGGCAGGAATTTCAAGGTTGTGAGGGTAAAGTATTCCAGTTGTTCTCAGTGGAGGGAAAAGTTTTATGAAGTCGTGGCATAAACCTGCTTCTCCATCAAATGACTATTGTTAAAAGATAATACAGTGCCAGACAAAAATACTGTAGTACATGTTTCTGAAGCTATATAATAATGTGATATACACATGAGACTTTGTGTGCACAAATGAAAATAAATAGTATACAGTACAGGTCATAACTAGCCCCATGCATGAGGGAGGATGACCTTACGAGTAAGATAGTACTCAATGTGTTAGTACTGTACAGATGTTTTCTTACAGACATATGTGTCAGGTCATGCGGCTCAGCCCAGGTCAGTCCAGTAGGGTTCCAGCTGTCCTTGAGACATTACATATCACACTTTCCATCCCCATTAAATAATTATCATAACTGGGTGCTGATATGGGGGTTTACATATCTGCTAGGTAATAGGCAGCTACCAAACAGGGAGGTTCTACTGCCTGGGAAGATATTGGGAGCATAATGTGTTGTCTTATGGTAGACCCATATATATACTATTTCTCACTATTAATTATATATATATATATATATATATATATATATATATATATATATATATATATATATATATATATATATATATATATATATATATATATATATATATATATATATATATATATATATATGCATGTAGGTGCATGATCTAGGTATATGCTGATAACCCTGAAGATGTGAATTACATTGGGAACTTCGTGTTTTCTTCTTTCCTATCAGCATATATATATATATATATATATATATATATATATATATATATATATATATATATATATATATATATATATATATATATATATATATATATATATATATATATATATATATATACTGTTTCTCACTATTGATAATTTTTGTATGTCTTTGCTATTATTATTATTATTATTATTATTATTATTATTATTATTATTATTATTATTATTATTATTATTACATTTTGTCCCCCCGTCAGGCCCTGATGTGGGTCAGTGAGCTGTGCCTGGGTGGGCTAATCCCTGTATAAAAAAAATAAAAAAATAAATGTGTCAGTGACATCTTTGATAAATGATTGAGGTGTGGTTATGGGGCCACAGGCTAGTATACATGTACTTTTTCATATACAATTGACTTCATGTACAAATGTAAAACTTTTTTCCTTTTAAAGTGGGGCAGACACCCCCTTCCTGAACTGCTACTGTATTATGGTATATAACTTCTCATGTTTTAAACTACTGTGTTTCTGGTATTTCAGATCGACCAAGGTCTCAGACACCCACTGAAAAAGGAAATTCAAGGACGGGAGAAGTAAAGCCTAGACCTCGTCCAAATTCAGTCACTAACCAGCCAGTACCCAAACCTCGTACCATTAGCTTGTCACAGACTCCGCCAGTGAATCTCCTCAGTCAAACACAAACTATAACCAAGCCCAGATCAGTTTCATATAGTGCTTCAAGTATCGCTCCTGAGGCAGATGCAGCCAAGACCAGTCAAACAGCATTAGTAAATGAATCAAATAAGAGTTGTAGAGATGGAGGAGGTCAGCAAGATCTTATGTCATTTCACAGCCCAGAGAAACCAAAGAATGATATTCTTGAACTCCTCCATAATATCAATGCTAATCAGAGTGCAGTGGTTCCAGTTTCATCTTCTCAGGGAACATACAGCATGTCAAGTACATTTAGACAATCATACAATTCTCAACAAACATCTCAACGGCCATCATCAAGTTTGTCTACATATCAGGTTTTCACTGGATCACACTGGTCGGCAATCACTCAGAATGGGACATCATACCCTAGTTATAGTTCAGCATCTACTGCAGTTCCTTACAGACCAGCTTTCTCTCAGTCACAAACTGCATCTAGTAGCCTCAGTTTTACCAACTTCCCAAGTCAGTTAGTACCATCATCCCAAGCACTTTCTGGTTCTCAGTCTGCTCCACCGCTACCCCTAAGATGCCCAGTAATGGAGAGTCACCGAATGAGTGCTTTAGTTAGTCAATTGTCTGTGACTCAGAGTGCATCAAGTAGTCCAGCAGAGTCTCCAACAACTACAGGGACACCCACATTGGAACTTGTCAGAACTAAGGCTAGCACACCCAAAGATGATGATCTCATAGACTTAGGGCGAGGTTCACTATTAAAAGATTCTTCAGATAGTGTAGCAACAAGAACCAGTCTCTTAGATGTATTTGATCCCATACTGTTAAAAGCCAAAGAAGAGGAGGAGGAGCTAAGAAGAAAATCTGTAACTTCTTGTACCAGCACAGGAGTTAGTGAAAGTATTTCTACTGCTGGTGTACCAATTAGTAAAGAGGCTCATGAATTGCTTCAGTATAAGATGCCCAAAGTGCTCGGTGATGATGAAATGAGTTATTATGAACAAGTTGACCCCTTTGAATACATGCATCCTGGTGCAAGTAGCACTAGGTCAGATCCTGTATATGACATATATGATGGTTTAGTGAGTCCTGGAGCAGTTGGCGGAGAAACGTTCGACATTCCACCGCCACTACCTCCTCGGACAAGTGCTAGAGAGCCCGAAGCAGTATTACGCAAAACTGTGACAAGTCCCAGAATGCAAAAGAAACACATGGAAAAGGTAAGCCATTCTTGTATTTATGAATCAATTTTATTTATTATTATTATTATTTTTTTTTTTACTTTGTGTATTGTGCATTTTCTCATTGATCGTACTTATGGTGTACTTGTTAAATGTGGTGCCACTGTGAATGATTTGTTTGTTATTTTTGAAGGGTGCAAATAATATTACATAAGTTTGCCCTGGATCCTTTTTTTGTTTTTTTGTTTTTTTTGTTTTTTTTGTTAAGGGGAATAATAGCCCACCCAGGCACAGGTCATTGACCCACAACGGGGCCTAGGTGGCAAAAAAATAAAGGGTAAAAACAAATTAAAAATAGAAAAGAAAAAGATTATATTAATCTACACTACGAAGATGCCAGAAAACCAGGTTTTTTTAAGTGAGACAGATTGTATGAGTATGGAAACACAGAAGAAGGCAAAGCATTCCACAGTTTGACTGTGTGAGGAAAGAAGGATGTACTATAACAGGTTATTCTAGTGTGATCGACATCCACAGAGAAACGGTGGGCACAGGTGGGCAAGATGAGTGTAACGAGCCCACAGCCTTGCCGGCGGTACACAGGATGCCAGATTCACCAAACATTGCCCGTTAAAGTACCTGTAAAAGAGAAAGAGAGTGAAGCAACATTGCAGCGAAGAGAAAGGGAAGACAGATTATCAACTAAAGGAGGAGAGTCAATAAGACGAAATGCCTTTGATTCCACCCGATCTAACAGTTGGACAGAAGAGGGGCCACCCCAGATATGAGAGCAGTACTCCAAGTTAGGACAAATGAATCCCTTATAAACTTGAAGCAATTGCTCAGGAGTGAAGTTGCTAAGGCACCTGTACAGCATTCCCAGCTATTACTGTACTGTACCGTACTATTATTACTATGATTTGACAAAATAAATGCCTTGAAAGCATACAGTGAGTTGATGCAGTCCTATTGTAATGCTTTTAATATTGCATTTTCCCCCCTATTTCTCAGCAAGCTTCAAATGATATACAGTAAGAACACTACCGAGGTAGGTAAAATGTTCTACTTGTTTGACAGGTGGTAGGTCTGCACCTCTGTGTTGAGCAATTATCTCTGTTTTTTGGATGTTCATTTTTAGTCCAATAGCCTGACATATTGCGGAGACAACCGTGAGACTGTGTTGGAGACCTTTTGGGGAGTGAGCTCCAGGAGGTGGTAGGTTGAAGATTTTGTTATTGCCTGGAGGTGGCGGAGGTTGAACAGGTTGCCGTCTAAACAGAATTGGATCTTTACGCCGTCATCGTCGTTCATGGAGTTACGGCTGACCAGGGTCACTGCTGTAAGGTAGAGATTGAAGATGACTGGGGCCAGAATGCACCTGTTTCACACTGACCTCAACGCTAAAGGGTTTGGACTTTGAGCCTCCTGCAAGTAAACATGCTTGCATGTCCTCATGGAAGCTGTTGAGGATTTTAAGAAATTTTTGCTAAGTCATTGAAAACTATGTAGAGGTCATGGTTCTGTTCATGGCATTTTTCTTGTAGTTGACATACTGTAAAGATTATTATCAGTTGCGCTGCGATCTTTACGGAAGCCACATTGCGTCTCGGGTAGAGTGGACTCAGTGATGTGTTGGGCTAAGCTGCAGAGCATAATTCTGGCAAGTACTTTGCCTGCCACAGCCAAGAGAGATATCCTTTGGCTGTTACCACAGATGGAACAGTCACCTTTTTTTCTTGTAGATTGCGATGATGCTTGAGTTCCGCCATTCTTTGGGGACGCTCTTGGTAGACCAGATGACAAGAATAAGTTGGTGGAGGAGAAGGTAGCCTCCACTCTTAAAGATTTCTGAAGGCAGGCCGTCTGGCCCAGCACTTTTGTTGTTTTTGAGGCCCTTGACAGCCCATAGAGTCTGGGAGAACTCAGGTGCTGCATCGAGTTCTACCGCCGGGGGCAACTCTGGGATAGTATCTAGTATGTTGGTTGAGAAGTCTACCAAAGTGATCCAACCATCGATCCAGGATTTACTGTTTGTTCTTAAGGATTTCACAGCCAAGTGATCTCACTGGATTGGTGTTGCGCTTGATGGGACCATGGATGGGTTTGATGGCATTGTAGAAGCCCTGATGATCGTTCTCGTTGGCGAAGCTCTGGATTTCTTGAGCTCTGGCTTGCCACCATTCGTTTTCCATGTTTCTCAGTCCTCTGTGCTTTGGTCCTGAGTGAGCACCAGTTGGCTCTGAGTGCAGCAGATTGGTGGTAACTAGAAGATTGTATATGCCATCAGCGTTCTCATCAAACAAGTCCTGGTGACATCATCTGGTTGTGCCGAGGATGTCTTTTGCAACTACTGACCCCTCGTTTACGAACACCTCGGTTAACGTAATTTCGATTAACAACTGCCTTCCATAAGGATCTTCAATTCGGTTAACGAAAAAAAATTCGCTTAACGAACTTCTTACGAACCGACCTCAACATGTTTTCGCTTGCACTGACCGGGCAACCAGCTTTAGTATCAGTCCGCCAATACATTAATCGGTTCTAGGGCTTAAATTCCTTACTATTTTTGTAAATATCAAGAAGTTTATACTATTCAATAATTTTAAAAGTTTAATATTCAATTTTTTAGTCATTTTAACAATTATTGAACAAAATTGAAGGTAAAGTGACTAGTTTAATGGGCGGCATCCAGCCTCTTAACACAGCAAACAGGCGTCAGTCTCTCTCTGTTTTCACTGGAGGTAACATCTTGCTTGAGACTCTCTTCAACTAAACGCTTTTTTTCTGTGTTTCCAAGCAAATTATTGGTCATTTTGAAATATATTTTATATATTGACAATATATAATGCAGTACAGTGTTGATTTAAAGAAAATAATCTTGAATTAAACCAGAGAGCTAAAATTTTATGGGTGAAATGGCACCATGGGGTGACTTCTCTTCCACCCCAATACCTTCTCTTCTTCCTTCTCCTCCACCCCCATTCTAAATCCCATCATCATCATCATCATCCAGGAGCCTTCTACATACACACCTCAAAGTAAGTGAACTTTCTACCATTTTTGTTGAATTTAGGAAATTTTCGGTGAGCTGGAACCAATTACCCAAAAACCCATTGAAACAATGGTTTCGGTTAACGAACGTTTCGGTTAACGAACGACCTTCTGGAACGGATTGAGTTCGTTAACCGAGGGGCCACTAATACATATATGGGCAAGCTGAGGTTGTTCCATGCATTATCTACGTCTATTGTGTTGCTGCTTAAATCGATTATGGGTGTGGAAGACAGATGCTTAGGTAGTGTGCTGTGGAAATTTTCAACTACTGTTGGGTTTTTGAGGGCTTTGCAACCTAGTTTTTTGTTTGGAGGTCGTAATGGCACTTGGGGATGAATTTCGAGCCTCATCTTGGAGTGGATTAAGTTATGGTAGGTGAAGCGGTCTGCACCTCTCATGGCCCAGGTTTGGAGAACTTCTCGCTGGTCACATTGCTTTACAATGATGTAGTTGAGGAGGTGTCAGTGCTTCTTCCTTGGGTGCATCCAGGAGGTTTTATGCTTGTTTTTAAGTTGGAATAAAGTATTGGTCACGACTAGATTGTGTCCTAAGTGCAAGGAGAGTCGTAGGCCATTGTTGTTTATGTTGCCGATGCCATAGTGGCCCAGAGCGCCTTCACAAAGGTGAAAGTCTGTACCAATTCTTGCATTTAAGTCACCGAGGATTATGACTTTGTCGTTGAGGTGTCCTGCGGAGAACAAGGTCCAGTGACTCGTGAAATGAGTTTTTGGCTTGATTGTCAGCGTCCAATGTTGGTGCGCAGATGCTGAAAAGGGTTGCATAGTGCCCTTTAGCTAGAGGGATGCGCCATGACATCGGTCTTTCAGTTAAGCCAATCGGAGTTTCTGGTACTTTGTGCAGGATGGCATTACGAACAGCAAATCCCACACCTTGCAGTCGACGTTGGTCCTCTTAGTACCCTTTCCAGGAAAAGGTGTAGCCTTCTCCCACTTCTGTCAGTGAGTCCTCGCCAGAGAGGCGCGCTTCACGTAGAGCTGCAATGTCGATGTTGTATCTTTTTAGTATGTGCACTACAGGAGTGGTACATCTTCGGGGTTTTGTCACTACCTCTTGGATGCCCAGGAGGGTGCGGACATTTCAAGCCGCTACTGTGAGGGGAAATCGTACTTTACTTGCGTGTATTTCCACCGCAATTCGAGATGCCCCGACAGCCAATGTGAGCTGTCCAGGAGTTGACGGAACAGCCAATTCTTAGGCCTCCTTTTCTCGACCCTTCCCCGTCAGGGGTGAGTCGTGGGGCTCCCTGAAGAGGGCTGCTTAGTTGCATAGGAAGCTGCCGGAGGAGGATGCTGTTCCTTGCCCCATCCAGCTAACGACCATCACTCCTATGCCACCTGCGTGCAGTACTTGGGCCAGTAACTTCCGGCGACATCCTCGGCCTGTCACTGTCACCCTATCCCATTGCCACAGGACTGTAAAGTTGTGTTGATGGAGATGAGATACTGAAACAGTTTGCCTGCTCGGTGAAGGGCTTATCATGATGGTGGGAGTGTATTGACCCCACCACCACCACCAGCTTGGTCATGATCACCAAGTTCCAGTGGCAAGGGTGGACTCAAGATAACTTTCAGGTGACCAAGGGGACTGTCAGAGCTCCAGTTAGTCGGAGTCTGCTTGACACAAGTCACTCAACTGCGGCTTTGTGTAGGGTGAGCTCCCCCTAGCCTTATGTCCTCCACAAGGCAATGGTGGGGGGGGGGGGTGCAGTGGTTGGTAGGTGTCAGGACGTGTCCGCACACCAGCGAGCCTGCACATCAGGGTGTTTTCCTGGGACAATTATAAGGCATAATGTCGATATGAAAAACTTTCGGAATCCACATACAACGGTTTCCTAACTATACAACACATGAAAGGAGTTGAGGTAATGATAGTGAGGTTGTTGGAGTGAAACAGCCATAAGTTGTGTAATTTTATGCACATAATTCCGCAGTGTGTTACAGAGGTGTTATTAACAGTAAATTTTGAACATTTCCTCTAATAACACAATTGTATCACATTGTGTACAGTAGTTATGCGCATAAAGTTACACAAGAACATACGGCTGTTTCACTCCCAACAACCTCACTACTGTATTATTACTTCAACTTATTTAAAGTGCTGTACTAGTTAAGAAACTGCTATACATTGTGCCAAAGAATTGTCCCTGTAATTTACTGCATGTATTTGAGAATCACCCTGTATTGTACCAGTAAATTAATAATGTGAACACTTTCGAGTTGTGATAGATAATGTCTTATCAATTATTGTTTCATTTCATATCACATTAGCAATTGTATCTGAGTGGGCGTAATAAAGATATGAGAAAGATAGAGTTATCAGGTACAGGCAGTTCAATTTGTTGTGGTGTTGTATTGTCTTATTACTCTTTTAACTCCCTTGGTAAAGTTATGAAAAGCTCTTACCAGGTGGATGCATATACATCCATAATATTTTAAAGTGTTTGTGTACTGTACAGTGAAGTATCATAAAAGTGATAGTTATGGTGTTAGCTAGGAGCAAAAAAGAATTAGATGGCAACTCAGGGAAAACTCAGAAGGGCAAAAAAAAGGCAAAGAAAACGAGCACTTTCTACTCTTTCCCCGAAGATGTTGATAGTAGTGAATGTGTCCCTGTAGCAGTAGAGCAACAAGATGAATTGTTGGAGAGCAAGAGTAGTGGAAGTTTAGACCAACTTTATGTAACAGAAACTATTGGTGATTCTCTTGAAGATGAGAATGATGAAAGTGATGTCGGTTTTGAGATCAAGACTCGAAAATCTGAGAACCACTGGTACATGATTTATTATGATGGAAGTGTTGTTATAAGTGAAGATGAAGAAGAGGATTGGAATGGAAATAAAGAGCGTGATGAGGTTGATGCAACATCCATAGCTGTGTCTTCACTCTTGTCTACAAATCCAGTTCTCAAAGACGATGAGAAAAAAGAAAACAAAATGATCAATAAAAAAGATTCCTCTGATTATAAAGAGGTACTATTTTAGTTTCTCTATTGGAATCCAAACAAAATACTGTATAAACAACAGCTTTAGCTTCACTTTTTTATCTCATAGACTATGCAACAAAACTCATATCTGTACAGTACTGTAAATATAGCAAAAATGGTTTTAGTTTTATCCTGTCCTCACCATAGACTGAGAATATAATTTGTTTGTCCGTTCTTTTCTATAAGTCTGTCCATCTTTATGCCGGTCTGTTACTTCTAATATTGGGGCTCTCACATTTTGAAGTCCTATCATATCCATTAAATTTCCGAAAGTTTCTACAATACTTTGGCATTACAGGGGGTGCCAGGGTTACGAATGGGTTCCGTTCCTGAGGACGTTCGTAAGTCGGTTTTGCACGTAAGTCGGAACAGATGCTATATGCATACCGTGCTTATAAAACAATGTTTAAAATCCCACTATATCATAGCCTAAGTCCTTATATACATCTAAAATCACTTAATTTAAGACAAAAGAAGAAATAGAATGACAAAATACAATAAATGAAAGTAAAAAATAAGTCATCAGATAAATAAAATACAAGTACTGTAAATTTCAAATTTTAACCCTGTTCGTATTGGCGGGTGTTCGTAAGTCGGGGGACCTCCTGTACTGTAGTTCTTATTGTACTTTCTGTATTGTACTGTAGTTCTTATTGTATTTTCCCCAGCTTATCTTGATTTTAAACCATAACCCTATATATATATATATATATATATATATATATATATATATATATATATATATATATATATATATATATATATATATATATATATATATATATATATATATATATATATATATATATATATATATATATATATATATATATATATATATATATATATATATACACACAGCTAGACCCGACTTCGACTGCTTCGACTTACGACCGTCCCGGAACTTACCGCCCAGATTGTTGTTGTTTTTTTTTTTCAAATGGCCTTGCGCATTTTCTATACTGAAACGTTTCCAGTTAATGTAGTCTCCATGTATAATTAGAAAATTATGGGGGCCCTATGTGCATTCAGCTGACTACATTAAAGGTAAGTGCTCACTCACACTGTATCCATTCCTCATTATTTATTACTTTTACTGTACTGAATTTCATTGTAGATTTTTTATTAATTTTTTTTTATTAATTTTTTTTTTTATCTATGTCGGACTTACGACCATTTGGACTTACGACCTGGATTTGGGTCCCTAACCCCGTCGTAAGTCGGGGTCTAGCTGTATATATATATATATATATATATATATATATATATATATATATATATATATATATATATATATATATATATATATATATATATATATATATATATATATATATATATATATATATTAAAAACAAAAATCATGCGAGGTTATTGATTCTTGTATGTACTGTGCAGGCAGACCATGGTTTACGGGAGGGTTACACTCTTGAAAAATCTCTCGTACTGATTTTTCATTAATGAGTACATCTTATTTCATATTGGATTATGTATATGTATTTTATGTCATGATTTTCTATTTCTCAAGCATTTTCAGTCCCCATTTTGTGAAATAACCCTAGGCTACTTTATGTTGTTGGATTTGAACTCCGCATCAGCAGTATCCAACCCAGTGTATAGTACCTCATAAAGAACCATTGCTTTGGTGTGAGATTTTGGAATGGGGTGATGTTACCCTTGGTTGTTATTTTAGATTTGTTAACTTTATTTGAGTTTTTCCTTAATAAATCATTAAATTATTTGCTCCAAAATTACAGGACATTTGCTGTATTCATTTGGGAATAAATTTTCTTTAGGTGTATTTTGAGGACCACAAAACTATACAATATATTGGTGTTCGTCTGTTTCAAGCTGAAGCAAACAACAATTTTAATTCTCTCACTTTCTCTTCCATGAGCATTGTCTTCTGTAGTGTATATATTAGCATTCCCACTGTCCATTTCAATGTGTCTTTCTCTTTGCCTATTTTCCCTGGCTAAAAGTAAAATACTGTACCATAACCTCCTTTGTAAGTCTATCCCTCTACCCTTTCTGCATAAGGAACCTTTCAGACTGGATGCAGGTCAAATTGACCCCACCCTAACCTAACCAAACTCTTAGGATTGGGTTCTGTTACATTGGGAACTCATGAATATAAGGTATTGCTGACCATTGGGACTAGGGCTCTTAGATCTTGACCCCAATCCTAAACAGTAGGTTAAGCTAGATTGGGGTCTGTTAGAATAGTGGCCCACTTCACTGGTCACTATCAACACAACCCAGTCTTATCCTAGGCTCAATCCCAGTGACTTGCTATTGTGTAGTCTACTCAAACAGGCAGAATATTTTCTATAAATGCCTCACTTCTTCCAAGAGCTCTTTTATGGGTTAATGTTGGTTTGCAAATATTTTCTTAAACAGTAATTATATTTATTGTATATGTGTAGACGGTGATTGCTAAGAAATACCAAAAGCTATACAGTACTGTATATACGAGTGTACAATACTGTTTAAATATTTAAACATACCTGTACATCTTTTTTTTTTTCAGAAACGCTCAGGTGTAGTAGCATTTGATGGAAAGTCGAGTACAAAGCAGATATTCCTACGTAAAATCCCAGCACTCAGTGCAGATGATGAAGCAAGAGCTTTCTGGGACAGCATCAAATCACGTCGAGGTTCAAATTTTTGTGTTTCTGTGTGGACATTTGAACAAAGTAGAAATTTGTCAATAGAAATTTTAGTGTTTTGGGAGACAAAGTTCTTGCATATAATTAAAGTATAGAAAACTTCATAAGAATTATTATGGTACCATAGATGGGATTAGTATATACTGTACAAGTTTAGTAGGAAAGGGAGCTTGAAGGAAATAAGGGAAGAAAGTGGTCAGCCATCCACTGACTTCACCTCAGGTGTATAGAAAAAGAGTATGGGTGCACTGGCCCAGCTGGCCACTTAACTAGTGACAAAGCACGACTAACCCCACTCCACAAGTGGTGTTGTAATTTTGCTCTACTGTATATTGAATAGAAGTTTGTTCACTGAAGATTCATAACCTAAAATAATCTCATTTAACCGAATTCTCATTCATTGGTTACTCATTCGGCTGGACAGTGGGAAGTACTGTACTGTATATTGATATTTGCTGGATGAGGAAAAGCTGGTAGTTCATTTTGGGGTTAAGTGAGATGAACAAGTTCAAATATAATTTTTGGATAAGAATTCAGATTGTCATACATAGTACTTCACACCAGAAATAAGAAGCAATAACAGCACTACTGTATAAGTGTTAATCATTGCAATAAACTGTACCATTTTTATTTCAGGAGAGTATACTTGGAATGACCACATTGGGAACCCAGGTCTGCTACATAGTGCCTGTTTGGAGGGAACTGTTGACCCAACTCTTAGTGCTAAGCTGTCTGTATACTACCGGGATGTACAATCTGTTACTTTCACCTGCAACTGTGAGTGTTTTCAGTAAATTAAATTTTATTGCTTTAAATTTAATAGCATGGTACACCAATGTTAATGCAGTATGAAAAAATTGAAATGTAGTACAGCCTCCATTTACATAATATGCCTCCATTAATCTTCTACACTTTGCTTGTCTAAAAATTTTGTCAGTTGAGGTAAAGCACTGATTACACCTGCCAGTGATTTAGGACAGCTCAGATGCATAAGCATGACTGATACATACACCTAATAATTTATAAAACAAGATCATTAACTTGAAACCTTTGTTGAATCTGTGATACAATTTTAATGTGAGAGGCCTTGCATGAAGTATACAGTAAAACTTATCAAGGACTGGCTTGATATAGTCTCGGTAGCGTAAATACCAGGATAAATATCCAGAATAATTGCCACATAATTGTTGAATTTCTTGGAAGTGTGATGTAGTTTGTTAATATTGGCAGATTTGACTTAGTCAGGCCTCATGAAATCTGAACAGATATTTTTGACTATACAATGACTTGCTTTCCTCAAAAGATGGGAGTTAGGTGATTTGCTCTAAAAGATGGGAGTTAGGTGAGTAACTAAAAGATGGGAGTGAGTTGTTTGACTCTAAAATATGGGAGTTAGATGAGTGACTAAAAGATGGGAGCTAGGTGAGTGCCTCTAAAATATGAGAGTTAAGTGAGTGACTCTAAAAGAAGAAGCATTGCATAAAGTAAGCAAAAATTTTTGTTTGATGGGAAATTACTTTAATAAAACACAACACTTCATATCTGACTAAAGATGAAGTAATTTGTACAGTACAGTACAGTGATATCTCCATTAGCCGGAACAATTGGTGCAGAGCACTTCTGGGAATGACAGATTCCCAGGTAACAAGACAACTCTCTCAAAGCTGGAAAAAATCCCTCTTCCCCAGAATTTTCCTGAATTTTTCAGGTACAGTACCTGGAATATTTCCTCGGAAGTTCCAGAAATTGCACATTAAATCATATCTCAAACCCGGAAAGAAATCCCCCATCTCCAGAAATTTTCGGGGCACTGGAATTTTCCAGAATGATGTATTATTTCATCTATCAAAGCCAGAAAAAAAAATCCCCTATCCTCGGAATTTTCCGGGTACTGGGAAAATTTTCTTAGAATTTTCCAGAAAATGTGCCCCTTGGAAAATCTTTACCAAAGCTGGAATTTTATGGAAAATTTCATCTTTGGAAACAAATTTTGGAGAAAATTTCAATTCCAGCTATCAGAGAGTTCCGGTTAAGAGGGATTCCAGCTAATGGACATATTACTTGTACAGTACAGTACAGTATATGTAAGTGATACCCCTCTTGTGAGATTTACCAGTTCATGAACAAAACCTTTATTCATGCTATGCATATTGCGCATTCATTCTTGCAATGCTGCAAACATTTGATGAAACCACAATAGTTAACACAATCAAAATACTGTAACCACAAAAATTAACACAATAAGCTCCTTATGGTTTGATATAATGTAATGACTAATATTTTGAGTTCTTTAGTCAGTATTACATGGTACAGTACAGTGTTGTGAACCGTAAAATAATTGTCTAGGCCCTGTGTACAGAGCTAAGTTGTAGGGCTATAAATGCAAATTTTTATGTCTTAGGGGGTACATGCACCTCTGAAACCCCCTCCTGGTCACATGTACAATTTGTGGCCATATATATAAGGTAAATCTTCTATGGTATCTGGTTATCATCTTAGGCCTATGTGATGTTACTTTGATATACAGTACAGTATCTTTATTTTGATTGATTGATTTTTTGTTTTTTTCACTTTTCACTAAAGGTGTCTTCTTTCTCCTGTAGTGGACTCGAGTGTGGAGCATGTTGTGATGCATTCTGTGTGTACCTTAGAACTTCCTGGTGAATATGCAGATTATGTTCTTAAGGTAAGCTACATTTTTTCTTTATAAAATGCAGGGATTACATAGAACAGTATAACATGATTCAATGATTACCTATAGTGTCCTCTGTCCTGCTAGTATCCACTGGGGGCAGTTTCTTGAGGTACATGTAATTATTATAGGTAAAAATAAATGAACACTTGATCAGACGTGGGGTAATCGTAATCTGTAATTGTTACCGATTACAGTCAGTTTCACATGTTCAAGCAGTTGTAAGACATTGCATTATATTTACTTAGCTTCATTATATTTAATAAAAAAAATTCACACATTGCTGACTACTGTACTGGTATACAGTAATACCTAAATGTTCCGCTTGTCATCTGGATCCCAGGATTAGTGACCTGTTAATCAGGTGCAGATAATCCACCTCAGTTACTACCTTAGCCTCTTAAGTCACAGTTAGTCAATGTCAACATTTTAAAGGAACCACCACCAAGCTGAGTGGTTCTATAAGTGAGATCATGACCTCATGTGACACTGAGGTCACTGCCACTGGCTAGATTAGAAGGGGGAGTTAGGAAGGATGTCAAGGGTGTGGGTAGCAGTGAACATTAATGTGACCTCAAGTAATGTGATGGTGTAGTCAGTGAGGGAGAGATGGTTATCAACTTGTCATTAATACTGGCAACTTCTTACTGATAATGACTTCCTTCTGGATTAGATACAAGGTTTTATCAGTTAAGGAATACTTTTTCTTTAATGTGAAGCTTCTTGTCATCAGTATTAGTGCAGCTCAACATAACCAATTTACATATAATCTAACAAAAATCCTTTATGTAACTAAACTGCACACAGCTACTGACTGAGTAGGCTAAATGGTATGATAATGCAGAATACCAGGCTGAAGATCATCACTTATCAGTTCTGTTTAGCAATTTAATTGTTATGTAATCATAAAGTCATGATACATTCTTTCTTTGTTCATTACTATTGGAATTTAATTCTTACAGGTTCGAGGAGTGGATGATTACTTATCTGGAGAAACTATCCTGGGGGAATATGAATATGTACACAGTTGTATGAAATATGACGAGGATGTTGTCTTCACTCTCATGCTTGCTGAGTCTGTCAAGCAGTCCTACTTGCGCACTGTAAGTTGTACAGGAAATTGGGCTACGTATGGAGTGGTTAACACATTGGCATAATTAGTATCTGTACAGTATAAAAAACATTACTGTATTAATGTTCTATTTATGTACACCTATTGTTTCATTAAGAGATGCAGAAATTTATCACACCATAATTTATGAATGATGATTTTGCTACAATAAACAGTATTGCTTAGAATACACGTTTATGGCTTTCAGGAAGAGGATGATCTTGCAGTTGTGGATGTCCGTGTGGAAGACCTCATGTCGGCTGGGTCAGGGGAAGTGGTACATCATGAGACATTAATTATTGTTGTTGGTATGTACTACAGTATACTGTTGCAACTGAGTGAAAGGGCAGCACTAGTTCACATTTATTCACATACTCATTATTTTTGCTGATGTATAAAGATTTTGCTTAAAGTTGAGCTAAGTACTCTAGTGATATCCACAGCTTGTTCCCCCTTTTTCAAAATCCTTTAATGCATCCATTTTCACATCTAAACTAACGCTTCCTTTGTCCTATTGTCTACTTGTTCACGATTTATCTTTCTGTGTTAATATTTCACATTATTAGAAGCAATTTGTGGAAAATATAATTTTGGGGGAACGTTTTGGGTCATATCTGTTGGGGCTGCAGATCAGTACCCAATGGGAGTTTACTGATAATTTAGGTTGCTTCATTATATCAAAATTGTTGTATCAAATGGTGTTTTTTCAGGGGTCTACTGTATAAGATGTGTTTTCACTTATACATCCCATAAACCAACAAATTGAAATTGAAAAAAGCCTTGTAGTATATTGGACCGAGGTAGTGGTTGTTTACTTAGAGTAGGTCTCCTTAGATCCAGTTTTTTATGACTGGGACACAACAGGTGGATAGGTTGAGAAACAATAGAGGGATAGTCTGAGAAACAATAGAGGGATAGTCTGAGAAACAATAGAGGGATAGTCTGAGAAACAATAGAGGGATAGTCTGAGAAACAATAGAGGGATAGTCTGAGAAACAATAGAGGGATAGTCTGAGAAACAATAGAGGGATAGTCTGAGAAACAATAGAGGGATAGTCTGAGAAACAATACAGGGATGGTCTGAGAAACAATACAGGGATGGTCTGAGAAACAATACAGGGATAGTCTGAGAAACAATAGAGGGATGGACTGGGAAACAACAGAGGGATATATTGCAATTAAGGAGGTACATAATTAACCCAAGGCTTCGCTGCTTTTAGGGACAACTTCCATATAAAAAATTCCCGCTCTTTTTGTATTGAAAGATCCTACTATAGTTGGAAAAGAGGATGCTTAGGTAGTACTGTACCCTGGAGCAGGAGAAGTATTAAGTTCTGCTCTGGGGATTAATAAGCTATAAATCATAATCAATTTGTTCATATTTTGGTAATGTTATGAGAAGCCGGGATTCAGTCTACTGTAATATTTTCAAAAAGTAAGTCAGGTGCAGATTCTTACTGTTTTTTATTATTTATTTATTTATTTATTTATTTATATGTTCATTCATATATTTATTTTATTTTAAATTTACTACCAGAAACGTTCGAGATAGAATTGACACGCCTACAGAATTCTGGGTTTTTGTTGGTGGATGGAACCCCAGTGCAAGACCTACCAACTCCTATGAGGTCTAGGAGGCTTCGGCAGGTCTGTGATTTCATTTGTAAATTTTGTATACACCTGTATTATGAAACTCGGCCATTTATTGAATTCATATTTTAAATATTTTGTTTGTTTTATCAAGTCTGTTTAGAATGTTGTCTGGAAATATTAAGAGAATAATGATAAGATGGCGCATCTTGTAAATACTGTACAGTAATCATTCCATATAAAATACAGCGTGTAGGCCATTTCCACAAAAGGGATATTCCGCTAACTCAAATATACAGTTATACCTCTGGCAGTGAAGTGAGTATGTTCATGAAATCCACTTCATTCTTGGAAACTTCATTGTCAGAGCTAGATTTAAATGTGAAAAGGCTCCAGTCCTTCATTATTCTGTATTTTGCATACACCAAAATTAACAAAAAATCTTACAATAAAAATGATACATAGCACAACATGAAATACGATAGCACATAGTTTATATACAAAATATAGTTCTTTCCATCCCTAAACCATTCTCTGGGTGACACAGAGAGTGAACAACACTCTTCTACCTGGCTGCCAGCCACCCAGCCGACTCAAAGAGATGTGTGTGTGTGTCTGCTGCTGTGCTGCACTGTGTGTATTTCGTGACGTCACATAGGGAATGGTAGAGCGCAGCCGCAGCTGGGATGGCAAATTGTGGCAACACAGTTATAGCCCACTGCCTCCCCAAATACACACCCATGCTCTTCATTTTTCTCATTTTATAGTTTAATATTATATTTTCTTTATTTCTAAGCCACATTACAGTATTGAAATGATTTTTATACAACTTTTATAGTTTCATTACATGTAACAATGACATCTCACAGCTGACTAGTGATGTGTTATGGGGAGTTTTATTATTACTTCAGTATAATGGTTACTTTACATGATATTAGATGCTCTTCACACTATTCATACACCATTCTTGGGTATTGAGTAGTTAGGCAGTAAGTAGACTGTTGGAGATCACATGTAAAAATACTGATAGTGAGAGCAGGTTGTCACCCACCTAACAGCCATCAGAACTGACAAAAATGCCTGATGAAGCCAAAACCCAACATAAACATTCCCAGCCATCAAAATGTACACATTTTATGATTTTGCACACACACATAGGTATACAATACAGTAATGCAAAAAACTATCTTTACACAATTGTGTTAGACAATAAGACAACAGATGAAGGATTTTGACAACTCTACTGAGACAACTGGAGTCACTGTTCATTATGAAATTCATCAAACCCCCAGTAAAGATATTGTTTTGAGCGACTGGGCATTACCAGAAACTCCCTTCTTCAAGCAGAACGCTCCGCTAGTTGAAGAAGCAAATACCGGCACAAAGTTAATCATAATTTTGATACTGCAATTTTGATTCCTGCAATTACAGAACTTGTGACTTGGTGCATCTCTGACTTTTAGTTAATGTTATTCTCTTGTCAACAGGTAGTGAAGCAAATGTGTGCCCTTCTTGGAAATTTAGAAACAATTGAGGTATCAGATGCAATAAATGCTCTGGTTTCTACATGTAGGATCATTCAACAGAGTCAGGTATGTAACTTTTGTTGAGTTATGATTGTGTTCATTTGCTGTTTATGGAGGGCTATGCATTAATTGTGTATGATGATTTTTTTTTTTTTTTTTCAAATTATTCTCCCCTTACCCGTTATTTTCACATTTAGTTCATTCCCAACTGACTATCCCGACCTCCCTAAACTTCAGCCTTGAAATGACCACTAGTGTAAATAGATGATGAGTGCCCTTTGTCCCGCAACGATAGTGATCATCTGTATAATCTGGATCTTTCTGCACCATGATTTTTAAGTTTGGCGCCTGATTTCTGCTCGAGTGAATTATTGTGACTCATTGGTCCCTCTCCATGTCTCTCCCTGCACCAATTAAATTTTTTGTTGTCCTGGAGGAAGTAGTTGCCTACATGTATTCATATACATATTAAAGGCTACGATGTCCTAATTGGTCTGGCAACACTACTCATCCGTGTGTCCAGGCTACAATAAGGCTCAACTCTACCCTCTATGCCTCCACATTTTCCCTCCATCTCCCTTCCTCCTAAATAGTGGCTCGGCTTTATATTTCCATCACTCCACTGTCTGTTTCCGCCATAATGACTATTTTGCAATTAATGGCCAACGTATCAAAACTATGACAATGACCCTCTATGTTTATACAGTTCTCTGGCATTGCTCATTACTTTCATATGTATATTTCCTTGTTATTATTCCTGTAATATTATGAGTTGGTAATACAGTTTTTTATTCCTGTCCTAAGGATCACCACTTTGTGCCTGAAGCATCCCCAGTTGTCCCTGTTGTGAATTAGTACCTAACAGGCTAACACTATAGATAGGAGGTGAAGGTGGTTGACAACATAAAGAATAGATTTCTTGCTTGGTGGATCTCTTACTTTGAAATGCTTGTGGTAAAGGTGTTGATTCTTTGCCACAGACTTTCTCACAGTACCATTCTTTTTGACTGTGTACAACATATGAGGCGCCGAGTGCAACAAGGGGCCAAGCATCAAAAATCACAATCAAGAAAAATGATCTTAAAGTTTGGAAAATTTGAAAATGACAGAACTTTTGAACCAATGAAGATATTGAGTTCATTCAAGTGGCAGTGTATACTGTAGAGTTCTTAAAGCTAGTTTCACAAATACTAAAGCCATATTAATTGAAAAGATTGTTTATAGTAAAAATTGCATTGCTTTTGATGGGTAGTGTTTCCAGTTTCATTAATATGCATTGTTGATGTATAATTTTCATTACATGGAAACAATAATGTATTAAGACCACACCAGATAGTCAAAGGTCATTGTACTGTTTGCATAAAAGCAAACAATACTAGGTGTTACCAGTATTTCGACCGGGGGCCAAGCACCAAAAAGTATAGGCACTTAAGTCTTAGTTATTAATAGAAAAATTACAGTATACAATGACTTGTAATACCATTATTAAATATTGGTAATACAAGTGAGGCAGTAGCCTCCTGTCTATTGTTGCTTGACATTATTGGAAGATAAAGGAATTATGCATGGAGAACAGAACGGCACTTCCCTTACTTAGTGCTATAAGCCTCCTACTAACACACACCACCCACCCTCGCTCCCAGCCGCCTCCTCCTCCCTCTGTTTCCCCCCTATTTGTGCGATAAGACTTGTCACTTGGACAGGAACATAACATGCTATGTGCCACCAGCCTTCACTCCCAACCTCCTTGCCCTTCCTCCTCATTGTTTTGTTTATTTTCTCTCAATGGCCCTCACTCCTTTCTTTCTGCCAGTTGGAAAAAAAAAAAAAGGTTCAAGTCTTATTATATAGCATTCCTATGACATTTTTGTAGAAACATGGACTCCCATTAGCTAAGAAACCAGAAAATAATGAGTCGCTATGAGAGAGAGAAGCTACAATTGGGGGCCACGGCTGCTCTTTCCCTTCTCCCCCTCAGTCCGCTTCGAGGTGCAGATCACATGCTGTAGAGATGCTTTTACCTACCTTCACTAATATAGCTCTCAGCCTTACAAATATATTGCTATCGGGACAGTTTTTTCTTCAAATGGAGGAAAGGTTGGGGAGAACAGATAATACTATAACTCAATTTGGGGGGAATGGCGCTTGTCCCCTTGTTGCACTTGGCACCTCATAATTAATCTGGGCTGATGAAACTTGGTGTAGATAGTTTCCAGCATTCTGGAACTAAATCTAAGTGGAAAAAATAAATGGGCAAATGAACTTGTAAACAAATTCAAATGAGACCAAGACAAATTAGAGAGCATCTTTCCTTCAGTTCATTGTCAGTGTGGGAATTATTTAGAATTAAATTAACTGTTAGCTTAGCTTAGCTTTTGCATGGCTCACTTGTCAGCCCGACCACTCAACTTATCTCAGTTGGGTAGACAACTCACCTGGTTTCAAATTCTGCACATAGTATTCATTATTTCTCAATCGTTTTCTTTCTCTGAACATTTCCACTCTGCTCCTGAAGTACCTTACTGTATGTTCTTGCCTGATTATGCTGTGCTGTGTTACCACAAGCTCACCCATTAATCTTGGAATGTAGTTATGAAGCATTTTTAGATTGCTATGAGGCAATATTTTCTAATCATTCTTATTTTTGTAGGGTATTCTTGATGGTGAGGAAGACATTTCTGGGCAACGTGTGCTCTCTACAGGCTCCCATGATACAACAAACCCAGATGACTTGAAGCAACTGTTGCTAGAGTCTCTGAGTCAACTAGCTGCTGCAGTGAACAATTTTTTGGTGATGTATGCCAGAGCATTCAGGGTGGACTTCACTGTTGACATGACTGTAGATCCCACACAAGGTTTGCTGAGACCAATATTTACTATTATTTTGCATCTTGGATTTTACCCTACCCTAACCTAACCTAACCTATCCTAACCCAATCCAAACTAACTAACTAAACTTAACCTAGCCAAACCAAACCCAGTCCAAACTAACCTAACCAAATCCAAACTAATCTAGCTTAACCTAACCTAACCCAATCCAAACTAACCTAACCTATAGCAAAATCTCGCTTCTGGTTATTTTCCAAACAACCACAACGCATTGTGGTCACTTTTCGGTTTCTGAGCCCAACATATACTTAGTTGACCAAGAGCTTGATTTAGTGGAAATTTTGATTTAACGAACGGGTAGCTCGAATTAGTTTGTTAATTCGAGAAAATACTGTATTTCTATTTCTATATATACAACATTGTTCCCTCAGATTTATGAAGGACTCCAGCAATAAGTAGAAAAACACAAAAAAAAAACACATTGAGCTAATAAAGGAATCTTGTTCATTTTTTTATTTGTTTATTGAATTTATTCTTAATTTATACCATCATAATTTAGAGGTCATAATATAAAATTAATAAAAAAAGTGATTAAGATATCTTTATTAATTCAAGAGTACAGTAATACTTATTTCACAATTTTTATTAAACTTTTACTACATTTTCTTGCCCATTTTTTTCCTTTATTTTGTTGCTTGTCTACTTCTCATCTGGAGCGCTTCATATACTGTACTGTACTAAATTAAAGTTTATAATATATTTGAGATTTATCCCTTTCAGAACAACGAGACATTCGAGATGTACGAGAAAAGGTCTCAATAAAGGTTCAAGGCCTTCATCGCTTACAGTTAGAATGGAAGTATGATGAATATTTTGTTGATGCACAGTTGTTTCATGGATCAAGATGCATTGGCCAGTCTGTCCACACTCAGACCAAGAAGGTCCTTGATGATCCCAAGTTTTACCCGAAAGTCGTCTTTCATCGATGGTAGGAATTATTACAATAATTTTTTTACCCTTAAATATCCTCAAATAAATCAGAATAACATACAGCAATGTAGTGTTTCATCATTGCAGTTCCTTTGTTATGAATGTCTCAGTTAGTTGATTATAGTCAATACTTATATTAATGTACAAACTACATATATGCTAGTCTTCTCTAGTCAAGGTAAATATATAATTGTCATTACAGTACATTAAGTCCCTTGTTCTGTTAATTTTATTTGAAGAACAGAAGTGGCAGGAGGCGTAAGTGGTCAAGTAACAGCTTATACCCTTTCCTCGCTAAGCTGACACGTAAGCCACACCCCTCTTCTATAGCTACATACCGGTATAGCTGATTGGTTCCCCTGTGCGTCTTACCTCCCCGGGCTGCACGTGTATAAGTGTGTATTGATATAAAATTTGTATGATAAATATTAAAAATTTTCTAACATCCTCTCTGAAGTGCTAATGCCTTGAAATCATCTGCATTTTGTTAATTCAGATATTAACATTATTTTAGATAACAACAGGTCTGCTTACCAATTGTGAACACATTTAGTTTGAATTATCTATGAACCAATCGGCTATTAGTATAGAAGAGGGGCGGAGCCTACGGGCCAGGTTAGCGCGGAAATACTATAGCTTAGTGTTACTGGTGGTGACAAAGGCTGAACACAAAGCCATGCCCCCTCCTCTCTTAGGTTGTCATATCAGGGGCTTTTCCTCTCTGAACCCAGATGCCTCATCAACCCTAATGACACATTACGTGCCAAAAGCTCACTTGCATTCCTCCCAAGAATCTCAAATAAAGGCATAGATAACTAAGGGAAAGTCAAGTCTATATAACACCTCCCCAGACACCTGCTCTCTTGGTTGGTTGGTTGTTTGGGCTTTAGGCCTATCAACTGCCAGGGTCATTAAGGCTATCAATGTCAAACTACATCCACCAACCTTAACACCTTCTTCGGGTGTTAATGGTAATTCTGAGACCACATGCACTCGCATTATATATGTGGCCCTTAACTTGCGCCTTCCTACCTTACCCGAGTCTGCCACCCTAAGCTCTCCTGTGTACCGTTGCCAAGGCCGTGGGCTCGTGACACTCGTCTTGCCCGCGATGCCCTCCGTTTCTGTGTGGATGTCGGTCACTAGGATAACCCATTATAGTACATCCTTCTTTCCTCACACAGCCAAACTACAGAATGTTTTGCCTTCTTCTGTGTTTCCATGCCCATACAATCTATCTCGCTTCGAAAAGCTGGTTTTCCAGCATCTTCGTGATGTAGATTAATTTAGTCTTTTTCGCTTCTATTTTAAATTTATTTCTACTCTTATTTTTTCGCCCTCTAGGCCCCATTGTGGGTCGATGACCAGTGCCCGGGTGGGCTAATGGGCTATGTCTTGTAAAAAAAAAATAACCACAGGCAGTGTTGTTTCCTCATTTTACAGTACCCCTTATAGTCTTCTATTCCCAAATAAGCTCAGTTAAAAGGGATGTTAACTTTGTTTGCCCAACAATAAAAGGATTGAATCCATTTTCTCACACTTCTCTTCTCTGCTTATTATTTTAAATCTCCTCTCGAACGATTACAGTATATCAATGGTAAATTTAATTGAACGCACTTTGAAGAATCTTTAATGACTTATTAAATTGGAAGTCTCATTTTAAATAGAAAAAAGGAAAAAAGAAAAACATGTAGAAGCTTTCAATTCGTTGGGAAGCTTTAGGATTGATTTGGTAATTAGTCATTGTTTTAATATTTTAATTTTCCAAAAATATCCCTACTGTGTATACAGTATTGAGTTCATATTAATTCACAACAGTTCATCCATATGTATTTCTGCTTAACCAAGTAAAGTGTGTTAGCAGGATTAAACAGCAAAGAAATGAAGCTTTGTACATATTTATATGCATCCTTTGATTGCTTAAATTGATTTTTAAACGGATTTGATATTTGACCAACACAGGTCTTTATTTTTTCTGGCTTAGTATGAAAATAAATTGAAAAATTAATATTTGAGCAAAAGACTTTAAATGTTTATCAGGTATGATAGATATTATTCTTGGTCAATACTGTTAATTTAAAAATATGGGTTTATCAGAAAAAAAGAAGTTGCAGAATTAAGGAAGGATAAATTTTTAAAATGTACTGTGTTATGTCCCAACAGGTTGGATTTGGGTGCTCGGATCAATACTTTACCAAGAGAGAGTCGTCTAGTCCTAACAGTGTTTGGCTTAAAAGTTGTTGAAGCTGAAAATAAAGTTGAACAGACTCAGTATATCAGGGAAGAGCTTGGCTGGGCAGCGATACAATGCTTCTCCTTTGAAGGGTAAGTTGACAGTTAAGTTATTACCTTTTCTTTGTTTGGCTCATGGAGTGGTAAGTACAGTACAGGCATGATCTTCTTGAGCTTCAATTGGGTATTAAAGAGGGAAGCATGACTACATGTATGTTCTGCTTTTCATTCATTAGTGATTAGATTTAAATCATTTCAATGAAGGATGAGGACAAAAGTAGGCTGTAGAATGCTTTAATCTACTCTATATTCAAAATTGACTGCTTCAAACTTGCAATGAGCCATCTCCATACATCATGTCTGTTAGATCTAGCCACTTATGTGACTCATCCTTTCAGACCACATACCACTCATCTTGGGCAAACATCTTGTCTGCCCTGTTAACTTAAACTAAGCATAGCATAAATGTGGTTTTGTCTCTGTAAACATAACACTCTTTCCCACACCTACCTTAATTAGAAAGGTTTCTAGGGCCAAAAGTATAAAAAAATTTCTTTGGGTTGCTGAGTTTACCGAGACCCTCACAGTCAATGGTGGCCCGGCTGTTGGTTGGTGGCTGATATGTGGTAGTCCACACTATTAATTTTCTTGGCGCTTATATTGAAGCAACAATTACTCTCGTTTCTCTTGATATTTATTCCAAAGAACATAATTTTTTGTTCATACTACCCCTTTTTGCACTTTAACTCAACTACTTTTCAATTTATTTTGAACAGAGTTCAAAACTCGAAACAATTAAGTATCTTCAAATCAGTTTAATAAAAAGGAATATCATTGAAACAATACTCGAGACATACTTCATAACAGTTAGACAAAGTGTGTGTGTGTGTACAGACATTTTATAAAAATATTTGAGTCAATAGGGCAAATATTAATAGCACTGATAATATTATAATATATACTTGATAACATTATCGAAAATGGGATGCCGTACTGCGAGAAGACTGTTTGAGAGCTCAATGGGTTCGAATACCCTAAGACATCTATATTCATACCAACGGTTGGCACCTAAGATGACGAAACACCAGTGGTACCATAGATGGTGACTTTGCATACCTCGGCTCCGGTCTATGAACAGTGTACTTCAAGCCTCCCCCCCTGTAACCATGCCTCATCGTTGTAACAGGCACATCTTGGAGGATAAACTACGACTTATTGAAAGATACGAGGCTAACGAGGACTTCCTTATCATAGCAGCTGATCTGCATATGTAGAGGACAACCGCCTATAGTATTATACAAGACTTTCTGAGAAAAGGACATGTACAAGATGGGCATCGTAGTGTTGGGAAGAAAAGGAAACTTAATGATGAATCCATCGACTTCCTGGTAATGGTGGCTGTATCAGCAATAACTGTGAGTGAGCTAAACTGAACATTGCGAGACATCTTTCCCAGACAGCCTCCAGTTTCTAATGCTTCAGTGGGAGGGGCATTAGATGGTGAATTAATAACAATAAAGAAGTGTCTCAATATTCCACAAGACCGTAATTCTCACGTAGTGAAGGACGTTCGAGTTGAGTTTGCATGTTACACTTATGAGACAGGTTCCCATCAACACAGGAGATATGCCAACGAGGACATATGGCTGCGCAGCACAAGGCGAGTGCTTCACAAGGACTGTAGCACGGCAGTGTGGTGGAAATATCACGCTGATAGCCTCTATCTCAGATGTAGGGGGATTGATTTACCAAGAAATACACGTCCACAGCGTTACGATGGAAGTGTTTACTGATTTCCTTGCATCCCTTGAGGCCGTTTTGGGAGACGAAGCAGCTGTTTTGATTATACTTCAGTGTCCTCAAAAGCACCCTGTGTTGTAGATGTGTGTAACCATGCTGCAGCCAGGAGAGCGGGCCTTAGTGTCAGAGCTTATCGTTAAAGCTTCTCCAGGCCAAGATGGAGGAGGCTGTAACATTCATCACACCTCAAGTAATCCAGGCTAATTACACTAATTCTAACTTTTTTGACTAAATGTATTCAGTGAGAGGATGTATGGGATTAATTCACATTCATAATAAAAGGTGTATAATGGTAAGGAAATATCCCATGCATAAATTTTATGAATATATACTGCCTACAAGTCACTTTGGCTTGACTCAAGCTACAAAGATTTTGATGGTACAATAAAACATTGATAAATAGGACTTCATTACACGCCCCTGTATATCGGAATTTGCTTTTTTCGGACTCTTGAGGTGCACTGGTCACCAGAAATACTTTTAAAAATAATTAGTGTATATTTTAAGAAATGGGGAAGATTAAAAAAATTCTTTATGAAAAGAACAACACTTGTGACAGAAAATCTAATACCTGTAATATTGAAAAATCAATATCCCGGTTATCCCCAATTTCCGGCGGAAATATCATGGAAGAAAAAATGTCTTGGAATTGTCTAAACATTACGAAATACATATTAATAACAGAAAGAGAAAGACCGGTGCATGACTAAAAATTCACCTACCTTCCTAACAATTTTATTTACTACCTTTGAGTGACACATGATGCATCAATTATGCTACTTGTGCACCTAGACTACTTATTAATGAATGATGCAATCAAAATACATCAGCAGATAGCCATGAAACGGTTGGTTAATTCCCAATTAACCAGGTTGGTTCACATATATTATATTGGGCTTTAGTAATGAAACCCAATTGAAGTTTCTTGTTTTGTTAGAAAAAGTATTGTTTATATAATTCCTGAGTGTAGGTCAACCGTAAGCTCCACTATTTATGAGTGTGATGAGAAAGAACGGCGTTTATGTAATATAAACGTGGATCAACGTCCGTTCGATATTAGTTGGTGTGAGTGACTCTGAGTAGTGACCCATCGAGGGAGAACGGAATTGGGACTTCGTCCCCCTTCGAGGGAAGACGGAGCCATCCACTGCGGCTCTCAAATAACGTCTTCCTCTAGTCAAGGCTATCAAACTACTGCTCGCTTTAGGTGGCCAGAGAGCCGGTTACTTGTGCCTTTACTCGGCATAGTATGACGCAGCTTCCCGTGGGCACACCTTATCACGTGCATTGACCATGTCACCTCATAGCCAGTGGAAAGTTACAGGGGGTAAATCTGAATATTCAGTAAATCAGATGTAAATAACCCATTTATATAATACTTTCTGTTGATGAGACGGGCCATTACAGCCATAGGCAACAGCCTTCCTCAGGAATTTTTCTGAATATTTTCGTAATTTTCCGACTTTCATCGTATTTTCAGCTGGATGCTTTCCTTATGCATTTTTTTTGTGACTCACATTTTTCGTACTGGGGTCTGCCCCAATTAGTCCAATTTTTCGAGGTTCTACTGTATACTATCTATGTATTATATAAGGCATAGTCTCTGGTGAAATATACGTTGGTATTTTGTATGTGTGTACCAAGTCCTTCAGCTTGATGTTGCTATGTTACCTACCTTGTTGGATTAAATATATGACACTGTTTGTTGATATTATGTGTCTGATTATCCTGTATAATTTAATATGACTGTGTATTTTGGTGATCTGTCGGTGCAATATCTGCAAGTCTGTCGAAGTAATCTGATGGAATGTTGATTTATAATGAGATGGTATGAAAGATTATGATGCAGTGGTACAGGTTGTACCTCTCTAGTCCGGCATTCTGTGGTCCGGAAACTCCCGTGGTCCGGAACGATTTTAGTTTGTCCAATAGGTAGATAGGCAGCTTTCTTTTTTTTCTTTTTTCTTTTTTTTTATCTGAATTATTATTACAGGACTATTAAATTTTTGCCCCTCAGGCCCCAATGTGGGTCAGTGCCCTATGCCCGGGTGGGCTAATCCCCTTAAAAAAGAAAAACAGCCGTGGGAAATTAAGGTTTGTTTACATCCGGCAGTTCGGCTGCTCTCTCTCTCGCTCTCTCTGCTTGTCTATACAGAGTACAACATTTAACCCTTCAATATATATGAGCAGTAAATAAGTGTTGCTTTCATATTCTTATGTAGAGTAATGACGATATGTTTTCACATGTGCGCACTTACGTACGTGCAGTCTCACTTTTTTTTTACCATTAATGGTTAGCTACTTACAGTATATTGTTCCATTTATTAACATTAAATAACATTACAGTTACTTCAAACAACCATATTATTTTTTTACATTAATTTTACTACAGCTAAAATCAGGGTCTTATTTTCTTCAGTTTTATATGTCGAACCAATCAGTCACTGGTTTCGTAAGCTTCAACATAAACAATGCCGGCAGCCGTCTCGTCTCCTCTAATATTCCACGTATTGTTAATAAATTGTATTGTTAATTTTGTACACACATACATTAATTCAATAAAAACAAATTCAGAAACATTAATTAAAATATATATGAACAGTAAATAAGTGTTGCTTTCATATTCTTATGTAAAGTAATGACGATATGTTTTCACGTGTGCGCATGCGCACTTACATACGCGATCTCTCTTTTTTCTTTACCATTATCGTTAGCTACTTCTATTGTTCCATTTATTAACATTAAATAACATTCCTTAAAACAACCATATTAATTTTACTACAGCTCCAACCAAGGTCTTATTTTCTTCAGTTTTATATGTAGAACCAGTCAGTCACTGGCTTTGTAATCAACGAAAACAATGCTGTGTCATTTCCTCGTGTGTTTTAATATTCTACGTATTATTAATGAATTGTATTGCTCATTTTGCACACATAAACATTAATTCAATAAAAAAGACATTCAGTAATGAACAATAATGAATCTTTTGTTCAGAAGAGAAATGACACTGTTTACACGATTATGCACCTCGTCTGCACGTTGGCGGGCCGTTCAAACCCGTCGAAATTCAAGTTTCAGCCGTCAAAATTTTTATTTATTTATTTTTTTGTGTGTTCCAATAAAATACGTTAAGAATTAAAAACTCGCGAAATTTGAGAAGCTACTATACGACATTTAACCCTTCAATATGTCTTCAAAGAGACCATGATGCAGAGAAAGTGGTGCTAGTGCTTCCAGGCATAAGCACAAGTCACTATCTATCCAGGAAAAGGGTGAATTTCCATGGTCCGGCAATTTCCATGGTCCGGCACCGGTCAGGTCCCGAGGTTGCCGGACTAGAGAGGTACAACCTGTATAATGCAAAATATTGTCTGTACTGTATATTATGAATTTCCATGGGAGTAAAGTGCAAAAAGGGGTATTACAACAATATACTTGTAGCTGTGACCAAACTGTCTTTAATTCAACAAATGGCTGTGAAGGCTATGTCACACACACACACACACACACCACACCACACCACACCACACCACATGAGAGATGGAGAGAGAGAGAGAGAGAGATTTAAAATTAATTTTCCTAATTAGTTTGCCAAGAGTTAGCAAACCATGATAATTAATCAAGGGTTTACAATATATTACAATGTAGATATATTTTCATTAATAATCATGAAAGAAAAAAGTGTTCATTGTTCTTGTGTGTATTACAGGCACCTTTCGCAGGGATATCATCTTCTAACTTTGTGGCCGATGGCAAGTGACAAAAGACTTGGTCCTGCTCCCTACTCATCGGACCATCCTCAAGTGCATGGCTGTGCTGTCCTTTGTAAGTTTAGCTTAATATTCTTTTTACAGTCGAGTGGAAAATTCATGAGGTTAGGCTCCTGCACTACTCATGATAAAACTCAATTTTGATTGAGATTCTTGACCTTTCACCTTTACCATCATCATCACTGTTTTGTGGCCATTTTCCACACTTGCTTGGGTTAGCTGTGATTACCTGTGATTACCTCATGGCATGTTGTCTCGGTTGCCATCAGGCAAATTTAAAGCAAGTTTTACGTCTGGATGCTCCTCCTATCGCCAACCCATTTTTACAGAGTGGGAACTGGGCATTTTATGTAGGACTTTCAAGTACCCTCCTCAGCCAAAAATGAAAGTTGCCATAGATAAGGTTTCCAGATTTTGTTGCATAGCTATATAACATAGTTCCATGTTTAATGTTTATAAGCCACTCCCAATTGTAAAGTTTTGAATATTTTTCAAGCAACAACGGATTGACCTTGTCAAAGCTGCATCCCGAAGTTGAACTGTCACTTCAACCATTTGGCTGAGGCTATGGGAAAATGAATTTACCAATATATGCACAAAAAACACAAGTAGATAAAAACTTGTCTACTGAGAATGTTGTATGGTAAATAGATAATAATTCTTGGTAAAACAGTGTATACTTTTGTGCATCATGTATACAACATTAGTTAAAAACATTGAAGTTGGGTACTGTATTTGGCTCCTCTAGGTGAGTAATTTCAGTCTTTCTATGGTCTCATTTTCTTCTAACATTTAGTGTATCATACAGCACTAATAATTCTGCTCCTAAAAGTCTTTTTTTTTTTTGTAAGACAGAGATACACAGCTAGTTTTCCCTTTTTATGAAATAATAGTTTATTTTGATACATGTTATAGTCTTTACAGATAACAAAAGGGTAAAAGTTAATATAAAAAGTTATTTTAATTTTGTCAGCGGTGGAGTTGGTGGACTTTGGGGGTGAAGTTGTGTTCCCAGAGGTAACACCACAAGAACCTAAAAAACTAGAATTCTCTTCTTTGGACAGTAATACTCAGCAGCTTCTCTCAGATATCATAGAAAGAGACATCTTCACCTTCAACAAGTAAGTCTCTACATGTTTTCATTGAATCAGCATCTTTAAGTTTTCAAAAGGTAGCATTTTTACCTTGCTGCTTATTAGTTAATCACACCTCTGATAAAGCACACAGCAATATAAAATAACAAATAAAAGATGATTTTCTTAACTATTGCAAACTCTCCTTTACTGTGCAGTGTTGGCAGAATCCAGAGCAGTACAATCTTTCACCCACCAAGTGTCATCATCATTACCATTTTATGGCCATTTTCCATGTTTGTGTGGGTTAGCCATCAATACCCAATGGCATTGTGTCCCAGATGCCCTTAGGCAAATTTGCAACAACTTTTATGGCTGGATGCTCTTCTCATCACCAGATCTTGCCTGGTGCAATAACATTCATAACTGTATTGTCCAAATACTGTATAAATCCAGTATGCAAGAACATATTTTAGTATTTAATACTCCACTGGCTTTTCTGCATTTTTATTTTTATGCATTACTCCTCCTATATCACATGACCTAGAGGGGCATTATTTGGAACAAAGGCACAAACCATAGGGCTTACGTATACAGTATACATCATGGTTGTGTATATTTATTCTCCAGTGGTTGGTCCCAAAGATGTGAAACAAATATATGTATGAGTGTGTGTATATGCATAAGTGGCCTGGTACAGACTTGCTTACAAAATAGATTTCAAGATTTATCCATTATCTTTTGTTTCTCACAATAAAACTGCATTTTTCTTTTCAGGGGTTCGGTGGAAGATCGAGAAATTCTGTGGGAAAAACGTCATTACCTGCATGAAGAACCTTTTGCATTAGCCAAAGTGTTGCTTGCAGCACACTCTTGGGATGTGTCTTGCCTTGCAGACCTTCATTCTCTTGTAAAGAATTGGGCCTCACCATCACCTGCAGATGCCTTACACCTTCTTCTACCATGGTGTGTATCAAATTCACTTCTCATCATTGAATATGGTAAAGACTAACAAATAATGTATCAAACAACATCAATAAGAATTTGGCTTCTTCAGACTAATGACTCAGTTTTTCCAAGGATGTTGATAGGCACACACCCTTTATAATCATTGTTTCATGAAAGTAAACCATGGAAGTATGGGATTAAGAAAACAGCATTTCACCGTAGTTACTTCATTCTTCTAGTAATGCAGTGACACCTCACCAATTCAATACAGAAAATAACATTTCACACAATTTCATGACATTTGAAATCTTAAGAAAACTCCTCGTACATATTAGGCCACTTGGTATGATCTGATTTTGCCTCTTCCAAGTTACAGACCAACCCCTATAGTGCACAAGTAGGTGTAAAATCTAAGCCTTTCTTATAACCATATAAAATGGACAATGTAAATTGTGCAGTATTATTATTAAAGCCTTCTACTTTTGATCTTTCTCTCGGCTGTATGCTAGGCATGGGATAAAATCTAAGAATTCTTTTTCATAATAAATTACCCATTCCTCTCTTGGGAACCAGAGGAAGGGAAAAGGACCTTACGGTAGATTATTTTCAAAGTGAAGTAGAGGTGATGGTGATCCTGGTAGCTCAGGGAGACAAACCTTGGGACTTGCAATATTCCAGCTTTAGTTTGGGAAATTGGGGAGGAGGGTGTCAGTTTGTCTGCTGCACCTATGATAATACTGAACTCATGGCTGTAATTTTTAAGGCTCTTGTTTCTTTTAAAGTATAATGCAACTCTTGCATGTTTCTTAATGTGTTTCTCATGGGAGTCCACTGACAGACTATGAGAGCTGGTTTGAAATGTTTCCAAGATTTTGTTAGGATGGTTTATACTGAGAGTTCTTTGTTATTGATCTTTCTTCAGTTGTTAAAATCAGTGGATGAGTGGACACGGTGCTCTCCCCGTCCTAAAAGGATCTCTTGTTTGTGCCTGACGCACCCCCATTCCACGTATCTAGGAATGGGTACCTAACTTTATGGCTGGGAAGCGATGACAGTTGAGTGCGGTGCCAACCACACTGCCTGTTCTTGCATGGACTGTGCTGTATTCACTCGGTCTCAAATGGGTCATCAGGTCAATGAGTCCCACTATCACTTTCTCATTGAAGGAAGTCAAGCTCACTTGAGAAATAGTAGACTGATCTCCAAATTGAAAGGAAGGGGAACTTCATACCAGTAATTGACAAGCTGAAATCGGTACAGGTACTGTAATTTTTGGTGGCAGGGTTCCGTCAGTGTTGTCACTTTTCTATTGGTAATGTGTGTGAAGACTTGGTTTATAAGAAGTGGAGTGTGTAGAGAAGGTTTTACATTTGTTTTAGATGCAGTTGATATCAAAGAAAGTTTAGATAGAAAAAAGAAAATTACTTAAATTAGTCACACTCACTCAGGAGTGCAATTTGTCACCTAAAAGGGAAATGGGTTAACAATGGGTAACAGTTATGTTCATAAAAACTGTTTCCAGAAACTAGGCTAATTTTCTTATACAGGTAACTCGCGCTTGATTTAAGCGTTTTTGGAATAACGCGATTGTTCAATTAATACCAAAAGCTAATTTACGCCTGCCAATTTTTGAAATAACGTGCTCAAGACAGTTTAAATTTGCCGTGCGTATTCGCCTGGTCGCCTGGGTGGAGTCGTGTATGATGCCTGGTGAGGTGCTTGTAAATTATTACTATAAAGTCAGTCATATCAACATCAACGATTTTGATATTATTATTAAAAATAATAATTATTATAATAATGTAATCATAAAGATTATTACTACAGGTACTAATGATGAAGAAAATGATGATAATGAAGTATTCTGTACAACAACTGTGACGACGTCCAGCAAGCTTCACGCGTATCGCTTTCTCAGTTCACACCAGCACTACCGGTACTTTTTCTCTGTGCTCTCATTTGCATTGTGTGTATATCACGTACCTTTTTAGTGTTCAACGCTGTTTTCCCCATTGAGCATGTCTGGAAAATGTCTTATCTGCCTCCTCTGGGGCGCCTAAAGCCATAAAGGCACGAAATACAATCGCAATGGACATTAAATTAAATGTGATCACCCGCCTTCAAAGAGGAGAGCGTGTGTCGGAGGTTGGCCGTGTGCTTGGTTTAAGTGAGAGCACTGTTTGTACCCTGTGCGGTATATGATGGTTCTCCTAACCTGTACCATTTACATGTATTCTTATGGGAACAATATATTTAATTTATGCGTTTTTTAATTAAGTAGTGGTTTTCAAGAACGTAACCCCCGCGTAAAACGAGAGGTGGGTGTATTATTATAAACTGATACTCATGTACAGTATCTCAAAAAAGTATCTGTCCACACTGTGTGAAACATTGAGACCACAGATGATAGATATTGGCACATGCATTAACTTTGGTATATAATTTAACATAAGTAATGCATTTTCTATTTATTTTGGCATAATCAATATGATGTTCAGTTACTAAATGTAGTAGGATCAGTATGCCACAAAGCAATGCATACGAACCCTCCCGAGTTGCATGTAGCATTTCGGAAGTCATTGGACCCATCCTGGCAGATACTTTTTTGAGATACAATACATGCAATATTATTTATTTATTTTATTTTATTTATTTATTTTATTTTATTTTATTTTATTTTATTATTTATTCATTTTATTTTATTTATTTATTTTATTTACTTATTTATTATTATTATTATTATATTATTTTTTGTATACTTGCAGTTTTGCAGACAGTGTGGTGCGTGCTCGTGCAGTAGAATGGATCAGAGGTCTTGGGTCAGATGAGCTGATAACATTCTTGCCCCAGTTGGTGCAAGCAGTAAAACATGAAGCTTGGGACATATCTCCCACAGCAGAATTGTTACTAGAACGTGCACTCACCTCACCCAGGCTAGCACATCACCTATATTGGCTGCTCAATCAGTGCCTTCCTCTGCAGGTGTGTAAATGATGAAAAAATGATAAGAGGTAAAAATGTGTGAGCCACCTAATTCTGTGCTTAGATATAAAATGTACTTTGAAAGTTAATCCTTCATTATTACGTAGATTGTCGTGTTTCCTATCATGATTAGTAAACCAGCGTCACTTCTTGTAGGTGAGAATTATATAATTTTGTGAGAAAAAGAGTCGGTGGATAAACAGATTTATGCCTTTTTCCTTTCCTTCGCAGACCAATATGGGTGGTGAACGAGAGGTGGTCAGTGATGCCCGATACCGGCGACGTCTCAATTTGGTAACTCGGGCACTCATGGCCATCTGTGGCAAGAACATAGAGAATAGACTTCTTACTCAGGAAGCTGTACTCAGGGTTAGTTAATATCTGCTCTATATGCAACTTTTTTGTGGCTCCTGTGGATTGGTGAGTGTGATACAGTACTTATGAGGTACACAGCGACCTGTGGTGCAATGGTCAGCATGCTGGCCTCGCAAGAGAGTGGACCCGAGTTCAATCCTTGGGCAGGGTGAAACTATGGGCAAGTTTCTTTATGCCAGTTGCCTCATTTCTACCCAGCAGTAATTGGGAAACTGGACGTTAATCGATTTGCAGCTCGTGTTCCGAGGTAATGGTTAGCTAATGCAGTTGGCTAGTTGTCCGGTCTTCTCGGACTATTCCTTAGCATTGGGTCATGCAATTTGTTAAATTAGGGACTTAGGGTGTGGTTGTTGTGTTGGCAACAGTATTTACACCTTTAAACAAATTCACACCTAGGTGGTCCTAGGGCCGGCCATCCTCATACACGAGAGGCAACCATTATTATTATGAGGTACAGTGGGCCCTTACTTTACATGGGCATTACATTTTTGGAAAGCCTTGTGTACACTGAATTTATACATATTGATCGTAACTTCGTATGAAGTAAACACTTGTAAAAGTCTTGAATGCTATTCAACCCCCACACTCTTGTGTATTATACAGAATAAACACAGTTACATGGATAATTAACATGATTGTACAGTAGAGTATATACTGTTCTCTCATGGTTGGTTATCCCATGTCTGTGTGCAACCTAGGACACTATCTGAACCATTTAATTTGTTTAGAAATTAAACTTTTTTAGCCTTAGTGTAGCCTATATTGCAGTACTGTCCTGCACTGTACAGTCTTGGATAGCACAGAGTTAAGCCAATGAATGTTGAAGTAATATTGTGGAAGATGGATGTATCAAATTATTTGTCACGGTTTATGCTGTATTCACCATCCTTATCTTTTATATTTTCCAGAGTCTCTATGCAACAGCTATGAACATTAAGGATACAAAGGACAGTCAGCGGATGAACCTGCTTGGCCGAGACTTGAAGAATATTCATGATAGTCTTGAGGTATGAATACTAACATAAACCCTTGATTTCTGCAGGGGTTGTATTCCAGGAGAATGTCAGAAAAGGAGGTTAACCCTTAGACTACAACTGTTGGAAAACCTGCACAGTGATGTGTGTGCAAAAAAAAAAAAAATTAAAAACATAATTATATTTTAAATTAGATATATGTATGCAGAAGAGGAAAAAAATACTTACATTTATTCAACTGGTGGAGTGAAGTGAGTATGTGGGGGCTGAGTGACTAGGGGAGAGGAACCGAGAGGTGGTGGGTAACAGACTGCCACTAATGACGACGCACATATGTTTTCCATAATGAATGAAAGGTAGCTTGAAGATTTGCTACTAGGACCCAATGCACTTTTGTTATTGCAATTGGCACAATTAAAAAAGGACCAGTTCCAAGGGTGGTTGTTTGGAACCCAAAAGTAAATTCCCTAAAGAAACAATATAATTGTGGGGGTGGTTAGGTTCTGAACCACCTTACAAAACCCCAATTTTATTAATATTTAACCTCAAATAGTGATACGCATACACCTGTAACCTTTAAAAAAACTGTACCAGTACTTTTATTACTGTATAGGAGTACCTATCAAAGCCTTAATTTTTTTTACAAACAACAATACTGTACTGTTGGAGTTTATCAGTGAATTCCTTACAAAATTCATGCACCTCCATCACTACATTGAACAGCTTCTACAAACTCTTTCCTCTATCTAGTAGACTTTCTTCTGAAGCCAGTATACATTATAACCTCAAGTTTTATCAGCTTCATACAGTATATGTTTCTTCCAAGGTTTTATTGTTTTTGAAGGATTCTTTATACTGAGGTATTAAAGGGGATCTTAATTAGGATTCCCCTGGTCTGTGTGTATGTTTACTTGTCAGTTTGTTTCTTTTTGCACCTCCTCTACCTTAGTTCTTACTTCCTTAAAATTGTGAACTACCTAGTGAAGAGTAAGCTAGAAAGGGAGAATTGATCATGAAATTCCTTTTTCTTATGGAATCTAAAGTCAGGCAGCATATAAACTCTCCCATCTCTCCTGAAGTAGTGACCAGCCAGCAGGAACTGAGGTAACAATGATTAAATATGCCCAGGTTGCTAGGATTCATTGAGGCTGAGAAAGACTTGTTTGGGTGGAGCCTGTTGCCATGGTTATTGAGTGCTCAGTCGGAAAGTCATGCCTTTGAATAGACCTTCAGTTCTTCATAACAGAATTACTGTGTTATGTTCCCCTCATTGCATGTTGATAGCTCTGGGGAAAGGATATGTAATACAGTATGTCTATCCAGAGTTTAACAGATTCGCCTGAGCTGAAGTTAGGAGGTTCTAGCTGAAGATTTAAGAACCTTCACAAAATGCCTAGTATTACTAGGCTGCTAACTTTTGGGCTTTGCTAGAAAATGGATTTCAGGGTCATTTATCCAAATCTGAGATTTGATAAATAAATGCATTATTATTGAATTGTATCTGATTATAGAATATCTTGTTGTCAGGTGAGCCCAACATCTCTACCGCTCTCACCTTCACTGGAAGTTGCTGGGGTTGATGTGAAGAACTGTTCATATTTCAACTCCTTCACTGTCCCCCTGAAGTTGGCCTTCCTGTCCTCTGAGAAAAACACTGATCCAATTCATGCCATCTTTAAGGTGAGAATAGAAATATTTAGCAATTTTTTTAAATGTAAAAAAAAGTGCTAAACAGTACTCTTTGCTTATTTCCTAGATTGTACAATGCTTATAATTTTTAAAATTGGAAAAATATTAGTTCATGATGAATTTATGATTTATTATAGACAGCATATCATACCATGTGTGGTACTTCAGTTAATAAAAACCTGTAACAGCAAATGAAGGGACATTGTATTGCTATTGATTCCAGCCACCCTCCTCTGTAGTGGGAAATGAGTTGCAAAAAAAAAAGTAACATTGAAGAAATTGAAGTTAGGGAGGGGGAGGGAGGCAATGGCTGGACAGCAGACCCGTCGTCCAGTAAGGGTAGGCAGACTTATCCACCATCCACCTTGACTGTAGCGAGAACATTCGTCCGGGACTGTACCTTCAATTTTGAACCCTTCAATAGCGTACAGTACTAATATGCATCAAAGTCTGTAGATACAGGTAGCTTCCAATTTGCAAAGCTTTGGTTTATAAAAATTCAGAAGTTATGGGGAAAAAACGTCCCAGGATTTTATTTGTGAATGAAAATCTTGAAGTTATGGAAAAGAATTCTCTATATTTGTAAATTTTTCCTAAATATCAATGAAAGTATGCTAACATATTGCAGTTTTTTATTACTAGCATGCTTATTTATTTCACTAACTTATTTCGTTATTCTAGAATAGTACTGTACTCACTATGTTGTTAAGTCTTCATATAAGCTTTCAAAATGTTAGCTTTCTCCCACAATCATCAAATAACTTATCCTCAAAATCATCGGAGACACTCGCTCAGCCAGTTGCTTGATTGGCCACTTTCTCCTCATTTACTATCATGTAATAAGTGGAAAAATAAATAAATTATTTTTTCTGCATTTTTAAATTTCATGTTAATTATGTACTGTACAATAAAGGTGAAGAGCTGTAAGAGAAAGTGTGGTTAATGGCTATAACACAGTGATGATGAGTTCATAGTGTGAAGCATCTAAGTTTACATATCTAAGGTAATTGTGAAAGTTGTCATATTAACACAACTGGGCATTTGTTCCAAGTTTCATGGTATTCAGAGGCTTTGCAGCATTAATAGCCTTTCTGAGAAGTACAGAGGGTTATGTACAGTTTCCTCCACATGAACGTATCATGGCCTGGGAATGTGTGAGGGAACAGGTACAGAATGTGGCAATGTAGCGCCATAGTCATGGGCGTGAAACCCTGGATTACCGTGTTTACCGGTTTCTCTCAGTTCAGTCTTAGTTACTGAGTCGTGGCTGTATAACAATGATGCATAACATAACAAGCCCACAAGTCATTTCATCTACATTTAGAGTTGGTTCTCCCACACTATCGAATTGATTCACCCACACCTGTTTTGTTACCTGTTTTATTTAGGTTTAGTAATGTATTAATGTAAAGAACTGCCTCAGGCTATATTCCAAGAAGTGCCAATTATCACTATGTAATTTCTAATATTTCCTCATGGTTCTTTTTCAAGTTTGACCGGGCGCAAAATTTAATTGCCCAAGGGTATAAATACGTATAAAACCGTGGCTGATGTGACCTGTTATAATGTATAATATATACGTATACAGTGGTCCCTCGGTTAACTAGCGCCTTGGTTAACGAGATTTCTGTTAACGAGTTACCTTCCATAAGATTCTTAACTTCTGTTAACGAGCAATCCCTCGATCAACGAGTTTCTTACGAGCCGACCTGAACATGTTTTCGCTTGCATTTGGCGGTCCACCAGCTGTAGTATTAGTCCGCCAATACAGTAATCGGTTCTAGGGCTTAAATTCCTTACCATTTTAGCAAATATCAAGAAGTTTATACTATTCAATAATTTTAAAAGTTTAATATTAAATTTTTTAGTCATTTTAACAATTATTGAACATAATTGAAGGTAATGAAACTAGTTTTATGCGCACCATCCAGCCTCTCAACACACCATACAGGCGTCAGTCTTTGTGTCTTTTCAGTGGAGGTAACATCTTGCTTGAGACTCTCTTCAACTAAACCCTTTTTTTCTGTGTTTGCAAGCAAATTATTGGTCATTTTGAAATTTATTTAACGTATTGACTATATATAATGCAGTGCAGTGTTGATTTTAAGAAAATATTCTTGAATTACACCAAGAGAACTAAAATTTTATGGGCGAAATGGCGCCATGGGGTGACTTCTCTTCACCCCCCCCAATGCCTTCTCTTCTCCTTTCTTCTCCACCCCCATTCTAATTCCCATCATCATCATCATCATCCAGGAGCCTTCTACATACTCAAAGTAAGTGTACTTTTCTACCTTTTTTGTTGAATTTAGGCAATTTTCGGTGAGCTGGAACCAATTACCCAAAAACCCATTGAAACAATGGTTTCGGTTAACGAGCAACCTTCTAGTACGGATTGTGCTCGTTAACCGAGGGACCACTGTATAACCATATACGGGTTAAGTGACATTAGCCTGTAGGAACAACAGTTGACAAACGGCAGTGAGAGAGAATATGTGCACGCCTCTCGGTAAAACACTTGCCACCACAACTTTTTTAATTTTTTTATTCATTCTTATTGTCATTTCATGCTTATTGTTTTAATGTCACAAGATTAAAAATTGTCATTGGTGGTGGCTTATTGCGGTGTAGTTGAAGGCAATTGGTGAAACCAATTGTATTCTAGTATTGTGATGTATAACCATATACCTTAGCCTGTCAACAGTGAGGTGAGAGCACGCGGTATTGCCAGTCAAAACATATTGGTATAATTGGAGGAGCTAATGAGGTGAATTTACATTACCTTGGTCACTGAGGTAGGCATGATTGTCAGAAGGGGTATTGTTTGGAGGAGAGAGGTGGATGATCAATTTGATTTTGATGATGTTGAATTAGAAGTTGAAGATAAGAGTTTCTCAGATTTTACTGGGGATTTAGAAGAGGTTGATGGGGTTGACTCTGGTTTCCTTTCTACCTCCTTGAGGCTCCTGTCAAGAGAAACCTGGACAGCAGCCTCCTTCTTGCAAATTTCTTTGCAGCATGTAAGGCAATGGTTGTCTCCTTTAGAGATCTGCTGGAATCTTCTACGAGCTTGAAGACCTCGCCCATCTCCTTGACTGTAAACCTCTTGGGTGGAGCCCTAGTGACCTCCTTAGCAGTAGCAGGTTTTTGTTGGAGAGGCCTTAAGAATTTAAAGTGAATAAGTCTTTAACTTCATCTGCCTCAATTTCAAGCTGCTCACCCATTTCTACCAGCTTGTTAGTTACAGTCTTAATAGTCCTCAAATTCCTTGCAATCATTCACAAACTGAGGGCATGTCTTCCATACACAAATATGTTTCTTTTGCTATACCTCATTCTAGGACCCTGCAGTGTTCCTGGTGGTTTTGTTTAAGTTAAAACACTTCCAACATTCATTTAGAATTTTACCATCCTTACCGTCTGTTGTCTTGATTGCCTGTACTAAGGTTCTGCACAGGTAATAGGTCCTGAAGGAAACAATCATATCCTGGTCCATGAGTTGTAGCATGGAAGTTTTGTTTGGGAGCAAGAACACAACTTTAATGTGCAGATGAAAATCATTCAGGTTTGCATGGTGTCTTTACAGTAGTTTTTGACTTCTGGAACAAAATGGTGACAAAACCAATCCCCAAAGAAGTCCAGATGATGGGACATGATTCCTTCATGATGCTCTTGTAAACTCTGGTACGGGGCTCTCAGAATGTTACATTATTTTAGTGTAGCTGTATAGTTACATGCCCTTATGGGGGTGCATATCACCTTAATGCTTGGAGTGTATATTACTGCCTATTCCCTTATCCAGTCACCCAGGACAGATATCTATGTATGTATAGTATAAAGAATACAGTCTGTCTATCTGTGTGTTTGTATGTTCCTTAGGCATTTCTACAGTTTTGAAGATAAAGAGCTGAAATTTGGTAAGGAGATGTGGGTGGCATAGGGGATGGTTGTGCACCATCTCCTGTCCCTCCACAAGGGGCCTCAGGAACTCCCACCGGCAGGTCGGTCCACAGTTTTGAAGTTACCTGGGAATTTATTTCGTTAATAACCCAGACTGGGTCCATCAGCTTATTTTCTCTCATGAGTCTGTAAAAGTGGTTTTGTGATAGGAAGTGCATCCAGCTGCAATATTTGCCTAATGGCTACCGGAACACCATACCTTCATGTAATCGTGGAAAATGGTATTAAAATGATGATGGTGATGAGTCTGGACTAAGTGACTTAACCCCATCCCTCTTCCCAATGAATATACAGGGTACTTCATCACAAAGCTGGCTGGATTAAATTGTCCGATTTCACTGGACAAATGGACTGTGCACAACTATTTAAACATCAAGATTTCTCCCTTCAGTGGCAATTTTGCTTCCAAATACAGGTATCTCTTTTTAGGAGATGTGGTTGCAGTGAGAAGTTATAAGCTAATCAAGGGATTAATTTTACTCATCTTGGTTGAGGGTTTTACCTGGTTGAAATCCTATATGCTTAATGGAGATAATCTATGACTCATCTAGCCCAAACTTAGTTATAAAATATAGACGTTACAGGATTATTTTATAATTCTTTTATCAGTTTGTCAGTTATAAAGATTTTATATAGTAATATTTAATGCATACCTTCCAGTTTCTGACATTTATTTTGTTTATTAACCCATTAATAGAATACCTATTTAGTTCTTTCAATTACTTTTTTCTAATGATTTATTTCCATGCATTACTGTTGATGAGTTACCGGTATATATACAGGTAGGAGACGACCTCCGTCAAGACATGTTGGTGATCCAGATGATCCGACTGATGGACAAGCTGTGGCTGAAAGAGGGACTTGACCTTAAAGTTGTCACCTTTAGTGTCGTACCCACTGGGGATAAAATTGGTTAGTTAATAATTTGATTATGTAAATTTTAAGTTTCTTTTCAGTATCCTAATTTATATTTATGTGAAAAGTGACTTTTTTCTCCTTCAGGTAATTAAGATTTTAAGAGCTACATTGAACCTTGTTATTATTCAGTTAAACTTGATGGAATTTACATCAGTGCAACAAACCAGTACGTATTTTATTTATTTTTTATTTATTTATTTATTTATTTTTTCACATAGTCATTCTGCCTGAAAATGGTTTCTGCGACAAATTCGTTTTTACTTTCCTTTGCCAAGCTTCCTGGCATCACTGTGTTGAAGGACCTACCAATTTCACGTTGCTGTATTACCTATGGAGATGTCTTTTCCAGAAGTCTTCTTTCTGTAGAGTTTTTCAAAATGATATTCATTCACAAGAAATACTCTACCAGTTTGAGTAATAGCTTGTCTTTTATTTACCAAAAGTGCCAGTTCTTCTAAAGAATTCACTCGCACTCAAAATACTACAAAGTCAATCACCTGATAATAAAAAAGAAAAAGAAAAGGATCACAAAAGTAGCAGTTTTTATATCCTAAGTTGTAACACTTCCTAAGCCCTGTAATTCTCCATCAAAAGCTTTCAAAAAAAGAAAGGTCTAAGTGTTTCTCAAAGACCTCCACAGAAGTCAGCTGCTTCATGGATATAAGCAACTGATTGTATAATATGGGTGCTGTAGAGGTAAAGGATCAGGCAGCAAATAAACATTCCCATACTGCTCTTGGCTCCTCAAGGCATTGAGGGATCATCTCTGTTATGCAAAATCATCTCAGAACTTGTGGTCAAAGGATTTAGAGTGTTAGAAAAATACTAATGGTAATCAACGTAATTGCCTTAAAAGTCGTTAAGCAGAGTTTGAACTTGATGCCAGGTGTAATTGGAAGCCAATGCAATTCATTCAAGAATGGGATAGTGAGAGTCCTCAATGGAGAGCAAAAATAAGCTTGGCAACCCTGTTCAACACTGTTTGAACTTTCTTCGGTAGATAATTAGGATAGGCAGACCCATAAAAAGTTACAATAGTCAACCTCAGACAAAATAAGTGAATGTAATAGTGTCACAAGACACTGTCTGTCCAAAAACTGTTTCACAACATAGTATAGGTTTCGAATATGAATGAAGCAACTCTTAACTACTAAATCTATATGCTCTTTGAAATTCAATTTTGAGTCAAAGTACACTCCAAGATTACAAACAGAATCAATAGGACTGAGTTGTACTTCTCCAAAGTTTAAAGAGCCAGTATCATCTGTGCTGTCACCCTTTCTCGGATGACGATAATCTTAGTTTTGCCATCATTCAACTTTAGGTTTTCCTAGCCATCCAAATCTTAATATCGGACATTGAGGATTTCATTATCTCCTCAGTATCCTCGACATTTATCATTTGCACATAAAGCTGTGTATCATTGTCATAGAAATGGTAAATAACATCATAAGCATCCAGCAGAAATGCAAGACTACTGTTATAGACTCTAAACAGAAGTCATCTCAAAATTGATACCTGTGGAACTCCAAACTGCAAAGGGACCAGGTCTGAAAGGTCCCATCACACATTGAGATCACTTTGACAAATAAGACTCAACCAGTGAGAGTGCATCATCACAGACACCGAATGGCCAAAGATCCTGTAGCAACAGGTGATGATCCACCATGTCACAGGCTGGAGAGAGATTCAGCAAGACCAAGAAGGAGGACTTTCCTGTGCAAGTTTTTATTACCAAATTGTTATGAATTTTACATGCGGCAGTTTTTGTTGAATATTGTTTCCCATAGACTGACTGAGGGATTGCACCATTTCTCTCGAACAGAGGAACTAATTAATCCTGCATAGCACAGTTTATAATCTTCGATAAGAAGGAAAGGTCAGGCTTCTGAAAAGGTGGATGCAAAGCATTTATTCATGATTAAAAAAATAATGCGTAGCATATTAAAAAACAAGTGATACTTTTTGATACATTTATAGGATCAAGGCAACAAAAAGTCTTCTTCAAATCCTTGATATAGCGCAAAATGTTATTTACCCCTACAGGACAAAACGATGAAAGGGTGAGATTTATGGTGTAACTCGGTTGAAATTCAATTGAAAATTCCTCATTTAAAGAAATGCCATCAAGGTCACTTCTTATACGTATGTGATTCTTTGCCATAAAAAAATACAAGGAAAAATCCGAGGCAAGCTGAGCATCTGAAGTGGAAGCATAGTAGTTCCAGACCTCTGGTCCAACAGCCTATTCATAACTGCATAAAAAATTTTCTGATCACTTTCACAAGAGGCTACTTGACTTCTGTAGTCTTCAACTTTGCATGCCCTCACTGAGCAAACAACAGCTCTACACACAGTTATATACTGTGATCTCGTATGGTCTGTTCGCTGTCTGCGCCACTCTCAGCACTTCTACAATCCCTACAAAGAGAACTTATAGATGAGTCATACCAAAGAGAAACATCTTGTCTGTAATTCTCTTTGGGACCTCTGAACAATAAAGGTCTGAAATGGACTGGGAGACATCATTATGTAATTTAACCATTTCCTCAGAGGACAAATCAGAAGAGTTGACCTAGTATGCTAAATATAGTGGGTGGCTGGATTTCTGAGTGTGGTCAGACACGTAAGAACACTTGACATACATTATTCTTGCAGAATAATTTGTGTAGTGTTTAGATACATCCCTCCCTCCCTCCTCCTCTGCACCACACACTTACTCCACCACCTTTGCCCATCGGTGAGTACCAACACAAAATTATTTAGTTTTATATATATATATATATATATATATATATATATATATATATATATATATATATATATATATATATATATATATATATATATATATATATATATATATATATATATATATATATATATACCACAAGGAAAAGAAACACGAAGTTCCTAAGCGCTGTAATTCATATTCAGGTGAGTATATATATATATATATATATATATATATATATATATATATATATATATATATATATATATATATATATATATATATTAGTATTTTCTATAAAAATGCCATTGAATTTCTGTATATGTAATGTATTTCATGGGGCAAAGAGAGGGTCAGGAACGTAACTCCCGTATTTTATCTATTTCTTATGGGGCAAATTGATTCGCTTAACGTTGTTTCTTATAACGTCGCGTTTTCAGGAACTTAACCACGGCATTAAGTGAGGACTTACTGTACAAGATAAATATCAAGAGAAGGAGATAAAATACTACAGTACTCTGTCCAGTATTTGTACACTAATCAACTCAAGCATGAAAAACTACCATAAAATGATGATTATGATGGTAATGAGGGAAGGCATTTGACAAAGCGCTCCCCCTCCCCAAAAGTCATAGGAACTCCTCTTTTAAAATAAAACAACAATATACCATTATATTAAAACTTGAGAATAAATAAAATAGGTATTTACCTGTATTTGAAAACTGTACTCACTAGCAACAGTAACACAACCACTTGAGATCCTGCATTTCCTTTTGGGTCTCATCCTCAATCAACATTCTGGACTTCTTATTGTTATCTTGGTTGAAAGAGATGTTGAGTGCATGACTAAGGTCCAGATTTTATTGCTATTCCTTTTAATGGAATGTCATATGCTTTCTCCAAGGCCAAGCATACAACTATACTTTTTCCATGCTAACCTCTGGCCCATAAGCCACACCCCTCGTCAATGAATATAGTTGATTGGTTCGTAGAAAATGTTCGTGTAGCTGTCCAATTATTCAAACTAAATATGTTCACACTTGGTAAGCAGACCTGTTATTTTCTAAAATATTGTTAATTACTGTGTCTGGACTATCAAAATGCAAATTATTTCAAGGCATTAGCACTTCAGAGAGAATGTTAGAAAATTTTAAATATTTATCATAAAAGGTCGAAGTCAAAAATGAAATTCGCTTTCGAATGAAGTTTTTTCATTATTTCTTTGTTTTGTACCAAACATAAAGCAAAAAGAAACAAATGATACCAAAAATTATAACACAATTGGTAATGAACTACAGTTTGCATGGCTGGATATATCCCAAATCATTTACTATATGGCTGATAAAACTCGATAAGAGTCGATATAAATACGCGCAATTATTTTTATTTTGACAGTCCAGATATTTAACAGTATTTAGTTTGAATAAATGGACAGCCACACGAGCGTTTTCCAGGAACCAATCAACTATATTTATAGAAGAGGGGCGTGGCTTACGGGCCAGGTTAGCACGGAAATAGTATAGGCAAAGTGTGCAGATGCACAGTTACCTGCTTCAGCTTACCTTTGTATTTACAACTGTTTCTAATGTTAAAACAATCCTTTCTCACTTCACTAGTAGAAAAATAGAGGGGCTAGAAGATGCACTAAGAGGTCACTTGGACCACATTGCGCTCATCAACAATAGTAGCAAATCCATGTTCTACGAGATAAGGATAGCATAGGTCTACATACAACAATGGACACTGCAACACTGAGTGAGTCTCACATGGCTACTCACTGCTCCACCTGCTCCCACAAGGCCTCACACACTCCCCAAGTGCATAGTTGAGGTCACCCGTACTTATCAACACTGATCATTCAAGCTTTGCACATTCAGCCTGGCCAGGTAGTGAGAATGGGGACATCATATAGTGAAGTTGTTTAATCTACATTAAGCAACTTAAAACTTTTGACACTCTGGGAAAGAGCTTTGGAGAAATAAAGTCACCTTGGCACTTTATTATTATTTTGTTCCCACAATCTTTGTGCGATTTGATTATACAGTATAAGATACTTGTACAATTGTGGAAATGTGTTCCTACACCCCCTGTGGTAAGCAGTGTCTCCAAACGACCAACCTTTATGACCTATAACAAACCTATCCACCGATACCCATTCATTCATAAATCGTGATACTACTACAGTACTGCGATGTTGCCGTTTGGAGACACGGGCTACCACAAGGGATGTAGGAACACGTTTCCACAACTGTACCTCATGCCACGAATGATTTTTTCACTAATAAGCAATATTTTTCACATGCAGGTATCATTGAATTAGTTAAGGAAGCTGAAACTCTGCGCAAGATCCAGACTGAATATGGAGTCACAGGGTCTTTCCAGGACCGACCTATTGCTGAGTGGCTAGCAAAACAGAATCCTTCCCAATTAGAATATCAGAGAGCTGTTGATAACTTTACTGGTAAGGATAAATTTGTTATGATTTAATTTTGTAGCTCAGTATGACTGTGTTCATCTACAGTGCACTCTTACTATCCAGTCTCTGCATACCTGAAGACCTCTGGCAACTGATATCTTACCAATTCAATAATTGTTATGAGTTATACTGTACTGCAATAACATTAGTTTTATGATGGCTGGGGGTAATTTGATTCTTTTATCCATAACTTCATAATTATACTGTACTGTAGTACTCCTTTACATTAATTTACACAGTATCTCAGTTTATAGTACAGTAGCACTAAAATTTAAGTGTTTTAACAACCTCCTAATTTACTAAGATTTAATACAAAATGTTTATTTCATCCCGGTCTAAGATATCTCGACCTGCGATGGGTTTTTCAGAAACGTAAAACCCCATCACAGATCGGGGGATACCTGTAGTACAGTACTATAAACACACACACACATACATACATTTACTGTATGCAAGTATGTGTATGTGTGATAATTTACTTAAAAATATGTCTTCTTGCAGCTTCCTGTGCTGGATATTGTGTGGCTACATACATCCTGGGAATTTGTGATCGTCATAATGATAACATTATGCTGAAGACCTCAGGCCACCTCTTTCATATCGATTTTGGCAAGTTCCTCGGTGATGCGCAGAAGTTTGGGAGCTTCAAGAGAGATCGTACTCCATTTGTGCTGACATCTGATATGGCATATGTTATTAATGGAGGAGAGAAGCCTTCTGATAAATTTCAAAGTTTTGTGGACCTTTGCTGTAGAGCATTCAATATCATCAGGCGCAATGGTCAGCTTTTGCTCTATCTGTTTGCCCTGGTAAGTCTTGCAGGCAAATTAAGTTTTAGGAATACAGGAGGTCCCCGACTTACGAATGCCCGCTGATATGAACTGGGTTTAACTTGAAATTTTCAGTATTTTATTTACCTGATGACTAAATTTGTACTTTCATTTACTGTATTTTGTCATTCTGTTTCTTATTTTGTCTTAAATTAAATGATTTTAGATGTACTGTATATAAGGACTTAGGCTATGATTTAGTGGGATTTTAAACATTGTTTTATAAGTACGGTACCGGTATGCATATTGCATGTGTTCCGACGTACTTACGAACGTCCTTAGGAACGGAATCCGTTCGTAACCTGAGACCCCCTGTAATGTGAAACATCAGGAATGAAATGTAACACAAAGGAAGGAATTATCACTTTTTATTTTTTAAATAGGATTACCCTTTCAGAATTATTCATTTATTATAATTCAAATTTTTTTATACAATATTGCACCACTGACAACACATTTGATAACATTCCATGACTTGTATGTACAGTACTTAGGTAATGATTAATGTAATTGCAAAATCCATTTGGTAATAGGGTTAGAGGGAATGAAGGACAGTGAGTGAAGAGAGTGTTTATTTATGTACTTTGGATTCTGCCCATTGTGTGCTTAAACAAAAAAGTATTGCAAGAATTGTAAATGCATAAAGTGAGAGGAAGTTTGAATTCATGTAAAGGAGTGTTTTTCTAAAACACTCTTAATGGCAAGTCACTGTTTTCTTGTGTAAATTTCCTGGTAGTATCTTCTTGACTGCTCAAAAAATTTTGCTATTTGAGTTTAAGAATAAAAAGAATACCGATTAAAAATAAGATATTTGCACTTTTGTCATAACTTAATTTTTGCATTCAAGTCAGCTGTTCTTTGCAAGAAATATCCATTCAACAATCATTTGTTTTAAGATGGCATCATCTGGAATACCTGGAGTTACCTGGGATGCTGTGACATATGTTGAGCGATCACTGCTGCAGGACAAAACCAATGCTGAGGCTGGAGCCATGTTTTCTCGCATGATTCAAGAGTCACTTAAATCATGGTTTACACAGGTAAGCTGTTTTGTTATTTCAGTCAAAGTTAAAATAACACCTAAGGACCAAACAGTCTGTGTTCTCACTTCAGAAAAACCCTTAAATTTGTGTCTCGTCTCCCATCAAATAGATTGTCTATGAAAGAGTACACAGTAACAGCAGGATGCCTCTTCTTATAGTGTTTTTAAGGGGTAATATAAAGAATGAAAATACAAGGGAGAGCTGGAGGACATGCATTAGTACAAAAATGAGACGGTGAAGACTGAAATGGTTTGGACATGTAAATGAGGAGGGTGAAGCAGTAAAAAGAGCATGGAATGAGCCAATTAGGGGAAGAATGTTGAGGGAATACAAGTGAAGAGATGGCTCATGGAGGGACAGATTGGAGAAGGATGTGCAGTACATTGAACTACTAGAAGACTGGGAGATGCAAATGATGGTGGAGAATGGAGGAAGTGGATCAGAGAAGTTAATCCCTAACTGTTGGGAACTGACAAAAGGAGAAATCCCTCTTTATTGTAAATTAACATACTACCAACAGGGTTGTGTCATTTTATAAGTTATGATTGTAGTATGTACACTTGCCAACAAAAGCCAACAAATGTCATGTTGCCTCACCTGCCTCTGCATTGAACCCAGAGATTCAGAAACCTCACAGGTCTCTGAATCTCTAGGTTCATGAAGAAGCAGGTGAGGCAATGAATCTTTTTTGATGAGTGTATCTGTCACCCACTAAACCAATAGTTATTTAAGGCTAAGGGGAGGACACATTCCCCCTGTATTCCCCTCTAATGTATACCACTGGTTGTGCTTCCATGGCCAGTCAGTCCACTACCTCATTAAGATATAAGTACAGTTGGAGACACTATCTGTGAATTTTAAATTTATGCTGTTAATTGTTTTCTTATTTTGATATTCTGTTTCAGGTTAACTTCTTTATTCACAATCTGGCACAGTTGCGGTTTTCTGGTGATCATTCAGATGATTTACTCCTGTCATTCATCCCACGGACGTATACGTGAGTTGCACAACTGTTTTATATTTCACTTTCCATCAAATCCTCCTTTAGTTTATAATTTCAAAAATGAAATTTCATTAATTATTAAATTAACAAATCTCCTATAGCTACTCATCAAAAACTTGAGTGTTTTTAGAAAATATGCCATTATTATCTCATACTTATTTGGAGAATAATTTGTTCTGTCTCATTATTTTGGTCAGTTTTGTTTAGAATGTTAAATCTATTATGTAATACGTTTTAATGTTAATAATAAATGACAAATATATCAGACTCCTGTTTGAAAAGTTACCTTCATAAAGTTATTCTATGTTCCTTTTAAGGTTAGACTAGAGTTAGACATTTATAATGCTTTAGCAGTGTCTGAATTAGACTTTTATAGCCCTAAGGACTTTTTATGATTTGGCAAAGTTAGAAACTAGGATATCAGGACCAATCCTCCATAAAATTTTTTCCCCCTTCAATTTTGTGTATGATTATACGAAAAAAATCAGTACTGTATAGGGGCTTTGGAATACTTTGGATTCTCATTGAATCCTTCATTTATGGTTATTATTAAATTACCAAATTATTACTTTGATAACTTTCAGATTGGCACAAGATGGCAAGATTCGTATGGTGAGACTGTATAGCTATCAGAAACGATACAACCCAAACAAATACTATGTTTATATCTTGGAGGTGGAGCGAGAGGGACAGCGAGAACCAGCATACCTTTTTCGTTCCTACCGAGAATTCTCAGAGTTTCATCAGAAACTATGTCTTATTTTTCCACTTGCCAGAATACATGGGTAAGTGCAGCCCATGCTGTAATTTGTTGGAATGGTGTAATGTTTTATATTTAAAGTTCATAATTCATTTTCAAAAATGACCGAACCTGAACTTTGATTTTCATGCTTTTAGCTAATTATTTGTGAGAGGATTTTCCCATTATTATTTTTTGTACAGTATGTGTTGTGTGTGTGTGTGTGTGTCTAGAGACACACACACACATATATATATATATACAATACAGGTAAAGGAAATTACAGTCTCTAGAACGAATGACTCTTGTCCCGGCTGCAAAAATGCCAACAACTTTAAAACTACCCGCAGATATTTTTGGGTACATCCAAGGTGTCATCCGCGAATAATAGAGAACCGTGAAATAAAAATGTGTGAATTATCCGGGCATACTGTACAGCCACTACCGTACTCGACTTACGATCACCGGACATATGACCGCCCCAATACCAAAATTTTTTCAAATTACGTATTTTTGAGTCCCGACGTTAGTGATTGCGCTGTGTACTGACAAAATTTACGTTTGTAATTCCCTTTAAAATGGCTGGCATGCTTAAAAGTAAGAGTTTTGTGGTGCTGAGAAGAAAAAGAGACACCCATTTTACATTTTCTATGTATTATCTTCGCATTTTCGACTTAGGACCAATTCGACCTACAGCCTGGATTTGGGTCCCTAATCCCGTCGTAAGTCGAGGAGTGGCTGTATATACAACCCATAATTTTCGCTAGAGAAAAATAATTCCAACCAATGAATATCAATGATCATTCGATGGATATCATTAAAGTGAGCTGTATTGATCGTATATTGCGAGATGGTCTTAATTTATTACCATTGTTAAAGTGAAATATCGCATCTTGGGATACTGTATATCAAGGGTTACCTGTACAAAGTTGATGTGAAAAAAATTGTTCAGTTGGCACGGGGCTGTCGATGGCTGAGAGTACAGTACAGGAGTATATAAAAAAAAAATCCTGATCTGGGGAAAATTTTCTAATATCTTTTTAATCTCCCCTTTTAAGAACTTATTTTGCTGCACTAATATTTATTATTTTTATAGCAGCACGTTTTAAGTTAAGTTCAATAAAAAAGTGGGGGGGGGGGATCAATTTGTTGTTTCCTCTTCTGTATAAAGAGTGGGGGAGCATGTCCATCTTGTCACCCCACTCACTTGATGGGGCAACAGCAGTCCAGTATAGAATCAGCAAACCACATACCGTATTTTACGGCATATAAAATGCACTGTCATCTAAGACGCATCCCCCATTTTAGCAGGGAGTATTTAGGAAAAAACTTTTGTGTGTGTTTTCCTCCTGTAGTCTTAGTTTTCTTAAAATAATATATACAGTAGGTACCAGTAAATGTGGGGGAGAAATAAAAATAATAGCAATAAATAAGTTACAACAAAAAACACTATTGCCAAACCAGTAAATGAAATCCAAATGAAAGTTTAACACAGTCGCCATTTGCATACACTCCCCCTTCTTCACGATAGTAACAGAGACCAGCTGGGATACTACCTCCGCCGTGTTCCTAACAACGCTCCCCCGCCCCTGCCACCCTCTGCTCTGTGGCCCCCCCTCCCCGTCCCACTGAGCCAGCTAACTTGTGTGCAAAGAAATGTATATTCCCTTTGTGATTACCCTTAGACAATTATTTAATTTACTTTTTTCATAATATGTATGTAGGATGGTGTGTGCATGTAACTGAGTAAAAATAAATGAAGAAAGTTACGTATACTGTATCTACCCAAAAATACAAGTTGAAAAACAACCATAACACCTCACAGCCTGGCCCAGTAGCCTGGTGGTTACAGTGACGAGTCTAACCTAGCTACAAGGCCATGATTAATCACTATTAAGCACTATTCTATCAATAAACACTAATAATAACAACAGTAAATCCAAAGGACAAAAATTACCAAACGTTTTACCTGTACAGTATACCGAACAAATTTAGGTGTTGGATGAATTTCTCTGATTCATATTACTGTATACTGAAAACCTCCTTATACCAAACTGGCTGTTCACCAACTATTTCGGTATAGAGAGGCAATACAGTACTGTAACTTAATTAACTTTGTATTTTATATCATAGGAAGTCATTGGGCCTCAGTGTAAATTGTTGGTGACATCCCCTGAGAACATCACATTGAGTGCAAGAACTATATACTGTACAGTAAATAGTTAATTTTTTAATGGATCAAATTAATGCTGTAACTATGCCACAACTTTTTTATCCCCTAAGATTTTATTCAATGTTATGGAGAGCACCGAGAGTGGCACTGGAACAAATGGGAGTGGAGTTGACATTGTAAAATTTCTTTGCCTTATTAGATAGTAATGAGACATGTCACAATTCAGTATTATCAAGTATTATTTTATTAATTACTTTTTTTTTTCTTTTTTTTTTTTACCATATCGAAGCCTTCCCAAGGGTGTACAGATTGGACGCTCTGAGGTGAAAGCTGTGGCAGAGAAGAGAAAGCTTGAGATTGAGCTCTTCCTTGCCACTCTGTTTGACTTGGCTCCTGAGATTTCACACTCGGACCTAGTGTACACATTCTTCCACCCACTGCTGAGGGACCAAGAGGATACAGATATCCACATTAAGAAATTAAAAAACAAGGGTAAGGAAAGGCCATTCTATTTTCATACAGGTAATAAGGAAGAGGATATAAGGATCAAAATTATGTGTTAAAGAACTTTAGTAAAAGTTTAAGAACAATAAAGAATTTATAGCATTTTTGGATTTTAGAAAAAATACATCATGAAGTAGAAAGAAAAATTAAGTGAAAAGTATTGAATTGTGCAGAATAGATGGACAATTATTTACTGTTGTCCAGAGCTTTTATAAGATGAGGAAGAAGGACACCTCTGATGTGTAATATCAACCATTCATGGATTGAATGGCAAGAGAAATGAAAGCAAAAGTGATGGAGGGAGGGAAAAGTGTAATAAATACTGAGGTAAATTATCCTCTGCTTGTAAATAACATTGTTCTATTGAGTGATTCTGAATAAATATTACAAATATTAGCACAGAGTTTGAAAGAGTATGAATTGTACTGGGAAAAAGTAATTAGTGATTGTGAGCAACAGTGATGTAAGAAGTAGTGAAGGAAAGCAGAAAATTTTTGTCTTGAAAAGAGATAGTGTATATACTATAGAGGAAGTGGAATGTGTTATTTGGGAGTGAATGTGTCAAGAAATATATTGATTAATGGTAAATTAAACCACAGAGCAGAAGTAAGGAGAGAGTAATGGGTAGACTAAATAATGTATGAAGAGAGAGAGAACTGTGTTAAAGGAAGCAAAGATGGGGGATGCACAAGAGAATTGAGCCAAAATTTTGATATGGATTTGAAGCATGGGCTCTGGATGGAAATTGTTGTTGTATTATAATGTTATTACTGCACTTCAACAACTATGGTTTTTAATTATGTAACAAGGTTATTAATGCAATATTACATCAACAATTAAAAAATTTCGAGATAGAACTTTGTGGGAATACAAAAGAAAGGATCTAATTAGAAGTGACAATATGATGTGCTTGACAGCAGTATGTGGAGTAAATAAGATAGAAAGTAGTGTACAGATTTTAGGAGCACATGTGAAAATGTAAGAAGTGCCATGCAGGAGGTAAATCATGGAAGGATGGGGTGAAGGTGAAGGCTGCATCAGAATTGAGGGGCTGGATATCCTGTGGAGAGAGCAATTTGCATGTGTGAGCAGAGAGGATGATGTCAAGTGATTCTTGGGAAGGACAAACTGATGATGAGATTAGAGGCCTTGTTATGGAAGAGGAATACTGTACCACTAAAGAATACAGTACAATTTTTTCTGGTGTAAGCTTGAATGACAAGAATGAAGGGAAATTGTGCATGTGTGTGTGGCCAACCTGTATTTTGCTTTCTTTTAGCCACTGTGCATTGAGCAATAAAAGGCTTGAAAACAAGATAGTAACTAAAACACAAGATTCATTACTCAGTATTTTGTTAAGACATATGAATGATTTTGTTTTTGTGAGATTTAAATATTCACATGATTGGCATAAGAATTTGTATTAATTGTCATTCATGATCTTCTCAGACTGTAAACAAGTAGTACTTTTCATGTTTCGACTTAACACAAAAATTAATGTTGTGTACTTAAGTGATGGACACAGTTGGACCTGGGAGCTACATATCATTCAGTAAAAAGAATTACAATAAACAGTGATTTTTTTTGTGTTTTCTTAAGACTCTTTTTATTTGTTTAGAAGATCTTATAACTTAATTCTTTTCAGATAATCGCACATCACATACACCAGCCATTCCATGTGTGCCAGGGCAGGTGCAGGGTCAGGTCAAGGTCAGTGTCCAGTATCTGCGTGGCCAACTGCAGATCATGGTCCAACATGCCCGGAACTTATCACTCATAAGCACTGGTCAGGAACCTTCCCCCTATGTTAAGCTGTATCTTCTCCCAGACCCACACAAGAAGACCAAGAGGAAGACCAAAGTTGTTAAGAAAACCTGCCACCCAATTTTCATGGAACCAGTGAGTTTGAGTGATAGTGGTACACTGTAACTGAGAATTGTACACATACTAAATGTTGAACTCAAAATAGTATGTTCTTCTAACAGGGTTGCCATAGGTCAGGGAGAAAAATCTTCTAGGTTAGGGAAAAGTTAAGGAATTTTCATGAGTCAGGAAAAATTGATGGACTGTTGAGAAGTTGAGGAAAATAATCCTTGGTCAAGGAAAATGTTAATTTAAGAGTATACAAGAATACCTCGCTATTCACAACCCCAATATCCACAAGAACTCTTATCAACAATTTAGATTTTAATAACCCTATCTGATATTCACAAATCATACACTGCTTATTTGCTACGAAAAATTATGGTAACCTACAGTAAAATTTCCAACCACAGTCTAGCCACAGTTTTCATATTCTGCTGTAAGGCCCGCTTCACACGAGCGTGATTTTTTACGTGTGTGAGAACCCGTGCTGTTTAGAAATTGATGATGTTCAACGGAACTGTTCACACAGAGTATGTGCAGGTGATCTTCACCCCATGCCTGTACCTGTACTTATAAACTACAGCATGAAAAACATGCCTAGCACTCTAGAATTCTTCATAAGGCAATGGTAAATGCTAGTTTCCATTTTTGCACTCATTACACGTGTCGCACACACACATGCACATACGCATGCACTCACGCTCACTCATCCACTCACTTACTCATACAGTGTTCTTTTGTTTTGTTTTTATGGTACAGTAGAACGTCGATTTAAAGCAATTCAATTTAAGATTATTAATTTAAAGTGACACCCACAATTAAGGACAATGTTTTAATTTAAAGCGAACCTTTCCTATTTTGCGTGAGTCAATCTGGCGCATCATATTTTAAAATTCGCGCTTAATGTTTCTCTGGCCATCTACACTGTCCTAAGGGCAAAGCTGTACTGTACATGTACTCAAAGTAATGTACTAAATGATTACTAAAATTTATGTCTAGTGCAAACTATAGCATGATTATATTCAAATTAATCACTATCTTATGAGAATTCCAGCAATGTAAATTTTATTCTCCCCGGTCATTTTTGTGACAATTTATAAACAAAAACAAAAACTCAATCTAAAGGACATAATTAAACAAATAAATACATCACTAGACCTTCGGTGCCAACTGTCAAATGTGTCACTGTCACCTCCCCCCATCTTCCCAGCCAGGGTTGGGTGGTTATAGGCTTACAGTTTGTTCTATTATAATATCACAGACTAAAGTTAGGAGAATATAATTTGCATTGCTAGCATCCTTGCAAGACAGCAAATAATTTGAATATAAACGTCATATATTTTGCACAAGAGATACAAATTTTAGCCATTTGTAATAAGTTTCCTAATTAAACTAAAATTTGTATGTCTAATGCGAACTATAGCATGTGTATATTCAAATTAATCACTATCTATTGCCCGTGCCAACTATGTGGTCAGAGGTTCACGGCGCTGATGGTAGCACGATAGAACAGGCTTTGTGTGAAATATAACAAAGTCTAGGATTGCTTTTGTTGTCCTTGTGGCGCAGTGGTAGCGATCCCTGTTCACACGCCTAAGTGGGTTCTTAAGGCACAATGCCTCGTTAGGAGAACTGTGGATGCAAGCACACTTGAGAATTAAGCCTTCATTGTACTAGAAGGCTGTGTTTATTTGTTTGTTTGTAAGTCAGATTCAAATTCCTTAGTTAATTTTCTTGGTTTTGTTCAGGTTTCCTTTTTTATGTCAGTAATTTACCATGCCATGTGAATTGGAATTTCTTTGTACTGTTATGCTTTTCCACGCCAATATCTTTGTTATCATATATCTATGCTGCACCTCATCCAAAATCAATAGACCCCATGGTTATTACATACACTGATTTGGACCTTCTTTTCTATTTAAACATTTTGTCATTATAATTGATCAACACCTGAAGCTGCTACCCGAAGCTGTTTCCAGACAGTATTGTACCACAGCTTTACACTGTGTTTGGTAATTATGAATTTTTCAGGTGACATGTCCCAAGTACTATACATGTATGCAAGTAATATATCTTGGATTTTTCAGATTACATATCGTATGTCACAAGACATTGTCAAGCAGCGTGTTCTTGAAATAAGTGTTTGGAGTGAAGACAAGTTCAGTGAGAATATCTATCTTGGAAGTTCATACCTTCGACTGTCTGCTTTAGAGCTAAAAGAAGAGCAAAGTGAATGGCTGAGTTTAGAGCATCAACGCAACACAGCTGTTGGCCATACCATTCAGCACGAAGCTTAAAAGATCTTTGACTATGTTTTTCTGATTTATCAGACATCTGCTGTCTGCTTATTAAAGGTAAGTTTAGAGAAGGTAATTTTACATTGTATATAACAAAGTGCAAAGTATGTCCAGTGGTACGTGCAAAAGCAAATTTGTTCACCTCATAATAGATGAACATATGACTACACATGACTGTTTGTTAAGCTAAGTCAAGTAAGGCTCAGTGCTTGTTAATACCAAATATAAAATTCTATCCTAAAGTGTGAATGTTATCATCCATTTCCTCTGCTTGTTAAAATTTATAAATCACTTTTGAAAGAGGAAATTACCCACTTGTTAGTATCATCATATCCAACACTTGCTGTAAAGTTAACCTTACCTGGTAACCAGTTCGTCATAAAAAAAGAGTAGGATCATTCAGAGCAATAATAATCCCCTATATCCACTTAATTTTTGCTCATTTTAGGTATATCTAACAACATTTCTTGAGTAATTTTTTTGTGATTGGCGATATCATTGTTAAAGATATTATGTGTAATTCTAATTGTTTGTCTCATTGTTAATTTATACAATTTTAGATAATATATTGTAACATATTTACATGTAATAGTATATGAAAATACAGTAAAAATCTAAGACAAAGACCATCCATTGATATGTAAGACAATTAGCTATTTAAGATTTTTCTGGCTATCCACCTTGAACCAGGCAGCTCTCATAATAAATACTGTTTTATACCCTTGTACTGACCCCCTATAATATGCAATTGAGGCCTGAAGCATGCATCCTTATGTGCAGTACATTATGTTTTTGGTGTCAGCGGACTATAGCGACATAAACACCCATTCCTGCCAGGGCTCTTGCTGCAGGTTTTTTATTTTTATTATAACATCTTGTTGTTGAGATACATAATTATCATAAGTAAAATAAAAACTTTTGATAATTACTAATTTGAGGTTGTAAACATCCACTGATCCCTATTGCAGATCTGCATGATTCCTAACACATTAAGTTACAGTACTCCATCGCTTGCATAAGTCTGAACAACTGGAGAAATTAGTGTTGAAGTGAGAAGAACAGTGTCTTAGGAATTTTTTGGTATATATGATATTATTTCCTTTTGCAATACATTGACTGATATAGTTTTTGTAAATTTTTAATGAAAATTCTCAGTCCCACTTTCTTGTTAAATTGGGGGTCTACTGTACAAGGCAGAAAACATAAGTAGAGTATTATTGTAAAGTACTGAGCTATTTTATTGATTGGGAGCCTTTAGGTCTTTTTCCTCTATCATTTTCCTGTGAGTACACTGTGTATTCTAGTCACTAAGTGTTTTGTTGGACTTTTAAACATTTGAGCAGAGTCTTTGTTTATTAATAAGGTGTTAAGCACTGAGTGGGTGTTAGATGATGAGTTCTAAAGGATTCATCTTCTGTGTATTGATCATTTGAAGGATTTGTTTACTATGGCTGCTAATTGTAAACTACAAGCATTTGTCTCGGCTGTCCTTCAGAAAGATGTCTTTGGGGACAAGTGGCAGCCGAATGGATAAGGTACTCCCCACATAACCCAGTTATTGCTGGTTCATGTTCCACTGTGGAATGGGTACCTAGCATTACAGATGGAGAGTGAATGTGGTGGTGAATAGTGATGGCTACACAGCCTTCTAGTGCAATGAAGGCTTAATTCTCAAGTGTGCTTGTATCCACAGTGTTCCTAACGAGGCATTGTGCCTTAAGAACCCACTTAGGCATAACATGAATGAACTAAAGCTTTTTCGGATTATCTAGGGTTATGTAATCCCCCCCGAGTCTTTCATGAGGTGGGTTAATTTTAGGGTCAGTACAGTTATAGGTCACCTGGAGTTTATTGGCTATTTGTTCACTGTTGATTAGGGATAATTTGTAGTGCTTTATTCATTCCTGAGGGTCCAGGATAACACTAGGTCTGTATGGTAAGAGAATTATGGAATACTGTATAAACTTCCTGACCTTATGAATACATTGGTTCCAACTCTCATAGAAAGTACAATATATATATATTGGTGCCCAATCCTGGAGCTTTGGTCACACCACCTCCTCTTCCCTCTTTTTTCCTGGCTTAGGATTACAAGAGCCACTTATTCTTCTAACAATGGCCAGAAATAACACCTACTTCTGACAACTTCTGAACATTCCTCCTTTCTTGGGTTCATGATTAGTCAGCTAGAAATAAATAAAAAATAGCAGACTGGCCTGAAGTCAAAATTAGCAGAAAATAGATTAGGCTTGGTTAATGATGACTGTGCAGTTACAGCTCTACTAAGACCTACAGCCTCTATGGGTTATCTGTCACATCAAATCACGAAGGGGAGGGAAGAGTGATCAGTAAATCACCATGGATTAATCAATTAACCATGGCTAACATTATAAGGGATTGGTCTTGGGATGTAAGGCCCATGAGATAAACTTACTATGAGAGTGGAGGTTGGGTAGATCCTTGGGCATTCCCAATTCACCCATTTGGAAATGGTTGTCATAATTTTTCAAGTTGGGTAAGTAAAGGCAGTCAAGTGTAGTACCAGCCATGCTGCCTCTTTGGTGTTCTGTATCCACACTACCCAAAACAGGCAGTTATAACTATAGGAGCACCTTTAATTTTTATTATGAGATCTGCCTGGCAACAGGCACTACCAGAGAAATGGATTTAGGATCAGTTCTCCTTATTAAACTATTTAATTTTATCATTTATGCAAAAATATGTTACATATCTTTAGTAGATTAAATAGTTGTTATAAGTGATGGCATCTCGGAATACCTCAGGTTTCCATGACTGAATAAGCTTGTGCCTCCCATGTCAAAACCGCCTTTACAGATCCTAAGTAATTATTGTACATGTATAACTCTGATCCTGATACTTTTTGAAGAGAAATGGGGGCTTTACTAGAATTGCAGTTATTCACATTCAATTATCCATTTTTTTATACAAGATATTACATTTTGATAGAACACACTTGTTACATTGTGTCTATTTAAAAGTTGCTGGTAAACATTGTTTTGTTCATTACAATTATAGGATCATAAACCTAGATGGTTTATTTTTACATGAATGTATTTTACTTTTAAGGGCAAGAAGTTTGCTAGTCTTTTAATTAGCAAATTATAAATGGTTCCTGCACAATTACATATTATAACCTAAGGATTTGGTTCATTGGATACATGATAGAAAGCTTTTGCCTTGACATTCCAGTAATAGGTTTTATCACTCATCACCAAACAGAACAGGGTAGTTAGAGCTTAAAGAATAAGAAACACTATAGATATGTTGCATTGTAACTGTATATCATAGGTATTGAGTTGCATTCTTACATAGTGTACAGCCTTAAATGGTACAGTGATTATTATTGAAGCAAAATTCTTGTCTTAACCTCATTAAACTGTATGGTATAACTTACATCTATCATAATTTGAAGTTTCTGAAATATGATTGCTTTGGAAATTCATGAAACCTTACAACCACATCATCTTCCCATCAAAATTTCCATGATATCTCACTGGTGTCAAGGCCATTAATACCATTCTGTGTAAAGCAGTTACCTGTAGCTCAATTAGACTTCATGGAAACCACAACTACATGTTTGGATTTGGCATTTATGTAGTTACAGATAATACTAGCTAATATTGCTCACAGTAGTGTAAGCATGAACCAGATTGTATGTAGGTCATTTTGTAACTTTTGTAATGTGAAGGGGAATATAGTCTATCATTTTTTTATTAGATATGTAATAGAAAAAATCGTTGGATATCTCGGAGATCAAAGATTTTTTACTATTACTTAATATTATATTTTTTGATGATAAGATATTACACATGTTTGTGCTGTGCACACAGTGAGTAAAGTGAAGTCCATTATAATGATTTGATCTGTGCTTAATTTGTTTCTATCAAATTTTGTGAGAGTTCTCTATTGATGATAACTTTCACAGGATTTGAGTAGGTTAATGCACTGTATGCCTGTGATGCTAAGTGCTTTGTTATCTCTTTGGGTGACATTGTCCCAAGTTTAACAGGTAGTTGGATCGTGTTTCTACTAAGAGTTTATTTAGATACCTAAGCACAGACTTCACGCTCATGGAATGCTTTTGAATTTGCAGTCTGTTTCTGTATATAGGAAAGCAGATGAAGACCCACTACCAAATAAGTGCTATTATTTGTTGACCTCACCCTAAATTGACATCTACAGTTATGTTTGCACATGTGTCACTTTGGTTTCTTATGGCATGGAGGCAATTGTTGGATCTTCAAGGCAAAATTCCTTCAATTATGAAATCGGTAGATATAATACACATAGCCTAGGTATATAAGGAATTTCCTCAAACTATGTTCATGAATCTTGATACAAAAAGAGCTAATGTTAAGAAAATGTGTTTTCTGGAGGGAAAAGTAGATGTTTATCATCAAACAAACAGGCTTAACGAGTGAACATTTGGTTTTTTCTTTGTTTAATGAAGGTGTTTATGGGTACAGTTTGTGCATTTTGTAATTTCAGTACTGTACATTTATCCATAAATTTAATGATAATAAATACATTGTTGTTGCTTGACACTAACCAAGGGGATACACTCCTACAAAGCAACCACTGCTGATGTGATATTGGTATTTACAACACTGAAGCATAGGACTAATCTGATCTTGCTGATATGATTATCTCAAAAATGTAATAGAAGAAGAATTGCTCCAGGAGTTATCACTGCTACACTCCACTTCTCAAAAAATTATGGAGAATCTTTGGATAAATTCTGTATGTTTATTTTATCTCCTTCTCTGGTGCTAAGTAAATTTATCAATAGTTTTGATGTTATTTTGTGTTTTATTTTGTGATTCATGTAAGAGTCAACTGGATGGGTTGACTCTTACACCCTCAGTTACAAGCAATATACATACAGTGGGGTATGCTATAATGAATCTAATTGGTTCTAGAACCTTGTTCGTTATAGCATTCGTTCGTTATAGGATTAATCCGTTCCAGGCCCCCAAATACAACCACTTAACACTGAAAAATATAATATAAAATTGTAAAAAAGTGCATAAATATGCATCTAAACCCCTGAAATAAAGAATATCATTAATACTTGTAATAAAAAAACAATAAATTAGCAAAAAATAAAAATAAATAATGTTCGTTGTAGGAGTTTCGTTCGTTATAGCATTCTCAATTTTATAGGTAAAACCGTTCGTTATAGGAATATTCGTAGTAGGATCCGTTCGTTATAGCATACCCCACTGTAATAGGTACCCTTAAGGATTATGGACACAATCCAGTCAGTGATCACGTGTTCCTGGGATTGCCATAGACAAATCTTGGACCCATGTGCAGGTTACAGACATTGCATTTTGTTTCAACCATTATGTATTTGACTTTATTTAGAAAAGAGTCATTTTCAAACTGTAAAATTCTAATTTTCAACTAGCTTTCATCCTCTACCAGTTTATACTGCATATGAAAGTTTTGGGAAGTACGTATTATAAATTTCTTAAAAAACAGGTCACTATTTATTGATATACAGTATCTACATGTATAATTCTGGAAGATCTTGGCTGGCAACAGGAACTGCATTGTTAGTTATAAAAGATTTTATTTGGTTTAAGGGTAGATGAACTCGTACAGTGCATGTACATTGTCATTAATATAATATTTATTCAGAGTATTGAATGAGAAAAGATGAAAGTAGCAATTGAAGACTAAAAAAACGTCAAGTAATATAGAACATTCAGCAAGAAGATGGTATTGTTCTTATTGCAGATAAAGAAGCCTTACAAAATCTGGTTAAGATTATTGAAAAAAAAATGTGAAAAGTATGAGCGAGCTTAGAGTTAATGATATGAATAATAATAATGATTTACAAATAAAAAATAAATATAGAAATAAGAATTAAGGAAAGTAACATGGAACCAACACAGTTGAAAATTTTGTGTACAGTATAGTCTGCATTTACTCGCTTTTTGTTTACGCGTTTGGTCATTTACGCGGTGCCTTGCCAGAATAAAAATGCTTTAATTACGCGGTAAATTTGGTCATTTACGCGGCTAGCGGCTGGAGACGTCCAGACCACCGTGCCATTTTTTACCCACGCGGTCCATTCTTGACCATACGCGGGAAGCGGCACGGTGAGTGGTGCGCATTAGGCCGCTCTTATGTTATCGCTGACGTCATATGACGTATCAGACTGTGATTGGACCACACATCCTTACTACCCACGCATTCCCTCCGCCGCTAGCTGTGATTGGTCTAATGTAACATGACGTGCCCTGCCACCAGAGGGTAGAAGTCGCTGACCTAGCAGGGCCTGTCTCATTGTTTTCAGTCCGCGTATACAGTTCTCTCTTGTGCCCGCTATTCCCCTCACAACTCACAATGGCTTCTGCGGGACCCTCACCACCAGAGAAAAACATTGAATTACCTGGACCAAGCCATGATAATGTGAAGGAAATCATCGAGTTGGGGGAGAAACTTAAGCTCATCCTTGACAACGACCCAGACAAGCATCGGTATGAAGCATCTAATAACCATCTGACGAAAGTTATGGAGCCGTATATCCAGATCTATCTCGACAACATCAATGCTAGTCGTCAACGTAGTATTGAGGACTTCCTCGCCCGCAACCCACCACAACCACAGCCAGCCCAAGTCAGTGATAGTGATACAGCTGTATTGACAGTGAGGATATGGACTTTGAGAGGTTTGTCTGGGAGGCCCTGCAAATCTCTGCGAGTAGTGAAAGTGATTCACCGGAGGGCAACTAATCTGCCCTCTGCCTCGGAACCAGCTGCCATCCACGTGTACCGACCCAGCTTTTCTACTAACGTAAGTGTTAAAAACCTAATATTATTGATATTTCTCTTAATTATTAATTGTGTGTGCATACCATCATAAAATTAAGATGTTATTTTCACTACAACGTATGTATTGTGTCGGAAAAAGTGGAGTTTGGGGGTCTGCCGCAGTCTCTATTTCAATTAATCCCATATGTTCTGTTATTTCATTTACGCTTTTCTCGTTTGACGCGGGCCTCCACGGGTTCAATTGACCGCATAAATGAGGACTATACTGTATTTGAGAAGTAGCTAATGTTGGGATGATTGATATGAAAGAGAAATTATAAGAAGTGTATATCAAGAAAAATAATACAGTATACAGTATAATAACCTTTGATACTTTTTAAGAAACTGCTGAAATGCTTCATATAGTCTCTGCCCTGCTGTTTAATTGTGAACACTGTCAGCATAAATCAGAGGAGACTAGTTTTTTAGTTGAATAAATTTATTGACAAAGCTTGCCTATTCTGAGTAATTCAGTCAGGTCTTGACACTGAGGGTGGTATCACTTCTCACTGCCACGCAGGACAGAAGTTCATACACAAAGAAATACATCTTATTCACTAACAGTATATATAGGTCAGATTCATGTGGGTGATGTCACTGTTCACTGCCATGCAAGACTGGTTCATTGGATGTCATATTCTAATTTGAAGACTAATCAGTGTGGGCTAGCAAATTTGGGATAAACAGCAGGAATGTCCTCAAGCACCCTGATTCAATGTAGTAATTACAAAGTTCATGATACAATAAGTCAGGTGACCTGAAGTCTTTGACAGTGTCACATTCAATAATAAAGTGTTCAAGTGTATGCTTTAAAGGTTTATCACAAAGTATACGTGCTGAGTGTTCCGGTATGGGTACAGCATTACTAGCTTGCCAGATGTGTCTGTATCCTAGCCTAATTCTGGCCACGACTACATCACATTGTCTGGTTCTGTCCTTATGCTGGCCATACCGGTACCTCTCATCACAAAATTTGTCTTATTTACTAATGCTGCAACTGCCTGGTCTCTCAGTATTTCTCAGTTCTTCTAGATCAGAGTTCATGATTCTGACTTGAATGTTTTTAAGTACAGCATTGGACAGCCACCATCTACAAAAAAGAAACAACAATGTACAGACAAGACAAACACATTTATGAATAAATAAAAAAAAAGTATATATTCAAACAAATTACATATTAAAATGATAAAATGATATCCAAGAAAAGTTGAATAGTAAAGTTAAATGCAGTTATAATAATAACAATCACTTTTAAAAATACTATACACAATGTAACTAAATTTAATGTTGGGGTAAAACGGGTTGACCACTCTAGAAGCTCAGGAGTTCAAATGATTACATTTGTGGAGATTATTGTTTTTTCTGCCTTTGCGAAGGCTATTGTAATATAATTGATACATCACATAGCATATAAAATACAATAGCACAGATTTTATGTACAAAAAAATAGTTCCACACGCAATCCATCCTCTAGGTGTTGTGACACAGTTTATCCAGGCACTCACCAAGCTGACTCAGAGATGTGTGGCTGCTGCTGTGCTGTGCTTTTTGTATGTCATGCCATCACTTCAGGGGAAGGAGTGCCTCCACACTTATGTTCACTTCCCACACAGACATACTCTTGCTCTACATCTTTTATATTTTATAGTTTTATATTATATTTTATTTATTTCTAAACCAACTTTAAGAGAACTGTATTGCTTAACTGAATTTTGACCTAACATTAAGTGAAAAAGGGTGTCAAAATATTTTTATCGCTAAAGCGAATTAATGTTAAGTGAAATAGCGCTAAACGAGGAATACCCGTATTGACCCCAAAGAGGAAGGAGAGAAACAGCTGGGGACTACTGAATAGTAATACTGTACTGTACTGTATCCTATGTTTGCCATTGTACTCAACTTTTTGTTCCTGTTTATTGTACTGTACAGTACCTGTATATTCATATTTTTTTTTTTTTTTACTATAAAATACAGTAACCTGTATGTTGAACAGGAATACTTTATTATTTTTTATTAGTTTTTTCATGTCTTGTGGTTCAATTTTTCACTCTAGGAATTCATTTCCAGTTCTGTACAATTTTTTTAAAAATGTAAGGGAAACTTACTTCTTTTGAATACTGTACAGTATTAAAATATCTAAAGAAGTCAATACGTACTGTAATCTGGAAACGACTCTCCTTAGCATTCCTGAATTCTCAAAGTTGTACTGTATTGCTCTTATCTGTTACAGTTTTACGTATTCATGTTGAAATATTAAATTAACATTACTGTCCAATATAATCAACGCTGGGGGTCACACACTGAGGAGTGCCTTTTGATGTCATATCTCTTGCACAACCCTTGTTGATTTGTGCTCTCACTTGGATACATGTAGCTCAAAGAGACTTGTATACAGTACATCAAGGCTATTTATATTATGTCTAAAACTGTATGTAGCTCTGTAGAGAAATCATGCCACTAAGATCAGGTAATTATCACTGCACTATGGGTAGCCAGTTTGACACGAATGTAAACATAGCTATGTACGATTGGTAGTAATGTCCTTGAAAATACAGTATACTTCTTTAATAGCTATATATTATTAATCTTAGCAGTCATTACTTTTAGCGGCAAAGGTGGAGGAACAGTTATCACCAGAAATAATTTATGGAATTGCACCAAAATTTCAGATGTCATTTGCATGACTACAAAATTAGAAAATGGAAATGACAATGCACAGAACTTGACCTAACCTATCTAATCTCACCTTTCCTAACCAGGGGGCAGAGCCCCCAGACCCCTCATCATATAAAGGTGTTCGTCATATTAATATGAAGCTGGGTCAAGTGCAACGATGGCATTTGACTGTTACACCTAACATGTATTTTCCTTCAGTGTCATATCCCTACTGCCTTTTGGACATTTGCACAGCCTTCCAAGAAGTCCACGATCATGTATTAAATCTTTAACACGATTTTGATCCTAAAGAAGCACAGCTGA